CGAATGGAGTGAATTTCCACTCTTTGGACTTTAGAGTATCAAACGTTGTACAAATTCAGAAACAGCCATACCAAATGTAAAAGACGAGTGTTATCTCATGATTATTTAATTGAATGGATAAAGGCTTTGACGCCTAAAGAATAGTTCTGTAAAGCTTGCTTAGGCCTATATCAAGACCTTTAAGGTTCAAATTATTGAACGATCGCACCGTAATTAAAACACTGACATACCTGGTATAGTCATCACAGCAATGAGATTAAATGTATAAATGTGGTACAAATATTTATAAATAACCATAACAAGTGCAAAGACGAGTGTCGTCTCATGGTTACTTCTGTATAATTAATTGATTACTCAAATATACCTAATCAGAGGCTCTTACGCCTAAATGATACACTCTAGTTCTGTAAATATTGTCTCTATCAAGTCTTTAAGGCTCAAATTAGTGAACAATTGTAATTAAAACAATGGGTGATCATACCCGGTTGCTGTGGCATGCACAAATACCAAAATCAAAAGTCCAGATCAGAAATTTGATTTTTGAACAGGACAGCATTAGCACGGAAAAATATGGAAAGAAAGTGTAAAAAGTTCGCCAATTCTGTACCGCAACAGGAAGAGACCCACAGTTTCAGACGTAAGTAATGTATTACCGTGGTATAACGAAACAATAATTGCCTGCTTTGACGGAGTCCATGGGATGTTGAACACACCCTCGGGGCAAATGTCACCCTCGGCTTCGCCTCGGGGGCCATTTGCTTCCTCGGGGCGTACAAAACACAATTTGACCCTGTCACAACAGGGTTACAATAATAATGGCGCTACGTGATCACTTGTGCGAGTTAGTTGTGCAGAACACGTGCCCTGTGCCCGTTCCAATTAGAAATGAAAACGCGTATCGGGATACGCATGCGACTCGCATAATAGATTTCAATTACAAAAAAAAATAAAAAAAAAATAAAATAAAATATAATTCCCGATGAAATAACAACGTAAATGGGGATTGAACAGGCGACTTTTTCTCCAAAGCCGCAAACGTATCTCGGACTCGTACAATTTGTAATAGTCCCTTATTACTTGCCCTTTGTAAAGGCCCTGTCAGACTGTCTGCGATCATTATATGCGCTCCCACTGCGTCCTGGAAAATGGCGGGGGCGCAAAAACAACTACTAGATCGCAGCGACAACTACATGTTAGGTTGCCTGAGGGGCGCCGGAGGGTCTTAATGGTCTCCGATGAGCGCCAAGGTTTTCAAGCAAGCTCAGAACAATCACAACACCTCTGCACTCAAGCCAGGGCGCCGTAATGACGCAACTCGGGCGCTGTGTGAGCGTGAATCGTGCGACATCGACGTGGCATTGACGCAGCTTAGGCGCGAGGCAGTCGATGTAGTCTCCATGAGAGAGTAACTCGACTGTGATGAACTTACAATAAATAATTTTGAAACTGGACTGTGTATTGACCGTTTTGTCTTGGTATTTAAACAGCGCAAGTGACGTCACGTGAGCGTATTCTGGTCGGATAGAGAGCGTGACGCGAGCTACTAGGACGTATCAATATTGTAGACGCAGTGACTGCGCAGCAGCAACGACTAGATCGAGTAATTGGGCTTGACAGGGGCCATGGGCGTCGCCAGGATTTTTTTCTAGAGGGGGGCAAATTTTTTTTTTGCCAAAAAAAGCTTGCATTCCTCAACACATTCTCGATTTATCAGTTTTAGAGGGGGGCAGGGACATTTTGCCCCACCCCCCAACTCATTAAATTTACACCACTTTGTCTTCGCGCCTCTTTTTTTTTTTTTTTTGCTATTCCGGGGGGGGGGGGGGGGGAGGGGGCAAGTGCCCCCTTGCCCCCCCCCAGGGCGCATACAGAGCGAGTTGAGCGCATCGTAAGCGCGGGATGAGCGCAATATGAGCGTAGCTTGAGCTCAGTCAGTCAAGGTATTTTTTCTCAAAAAAAGGATTTTTATGCATTTTGACGATATTATTTCACGGACAAATCGACTAAAAATTAGGTCATGAAATTTCCGGTTTTTTTCGAGAACGACGAAAGTCTCCCAAATGTTGAGGTAATCAAATGAAAGAGTGAACCTTCATCTACAAAAAGCTCGTGAGCGTAATGTCTATAATATTTTAAGAATTCGATGTATACCTAATGTTTCCAACAACTTCCATTTTTCACAACGCGAAAAGATCGTCGCCATTGTAAAGCATAAAACGAGGAACCCAAACACGGTGTGACCTCGTGACCCATACGCCCACTGATTGGTCGAGCTCGCGCTCGAGTATGGCCTGCTTAATATTCATAAGTCATTCATTGCGCGAATAGCGCGTGCTATTCACAATGTTTTCAGGCCAACGTACGTCGGCGTACGTTTACACGCGTACATTGTGATTGCAAATCATGAAATCTCGCAAAAGTCTTCATTTTTCAACTGGCGATTTGGACCAAACATTAGAAGTCTCCTGCGCGTGTTTCACATGAAAATGAAGCGTATACTTTCCTCTATCCACTAAGCCTTGTCATTTGTTTTGGCCTTTTTTAAGAATCGAATGTACACCTAAAAACTATCGGTCCTCGATTTTGTTGATAAAAAAATATGATTTTGTTTGACAGTTATTTTTGTTATCAAAATAAACACACGATTTCAACTTTTCACTTATTTAGCCATCTTGGCCAAACAGTGCATGTATCGAGGCACTTTTTGTGTTTTTATGTAGTCTCGAATAAATCTCGTAAAATCTCGCGTACGCTTTAGGGCCATGCATGCTTGACCTCGGGACGAGAAACTGAGGTCAAACAAGGCTGTGTGCGTGACACGGCTACTGACTGAGCTATTTTCTGGCCACTCAATAAAGATTGTTAAATTTATTAAATATTTTTGGTCGCCGTAAGGTCTCCTATGAGAGCGCATATAATGTGACAGGCCCTTAACCATTGACGATGTACTTGAGCATGTGGTCAACAGTGGAACGTCTACGTTTGGCCTTAGAGTCTACTTTGCAGAGTATTTGTGCAGACACCCCATACTACACTCAAAAAGCTGTTCCAAATAAGTTGGAAGGTGGTATGAAGTTGAAACCAGAAACTGACTGCAGCAGGATTTGAACCAGTTTTGGCCAAAGACGCTAGTGATCGAAAGTCGATCGTGCATGCATATCTAAAGGCACGACTAGACCAGCGTGCCTGCTCGCACATAAGGGCCTGTCACATTATATGCGCTCTCATAGGAGACCTTACGGCGATCAATTTTTTGTTCATAAATTTAACAATCGTAGCGAGGACGCAAGAAAATGACAATTTTCTGTCTCAAAGAAGCTCAAGCTACGCTCATACTGTGCTCTTCCCGCGCTTGCGATGCGTTCAACTCGCTCTCTATGCGCCCATGTCAAGTCCAATTGCTCGATCTGGTCGCTCCCGCTGAGCTGTCACTACGCTCTGCTCGCTGTTGATACGTCCTAGTAGCTCGCGTCGCGCTCTCTATTCGACCAAAATACGTTCATGTGACGTCACTTGCGCTGTATAAATACCACGACAAAACGGTCTATACAAAGTCCAGTTTAAAAAATTATTCATCGCAGTCGAGTTACTTTCTCATGGAGACTACGTCGCCTGCCTTGCGCCTAAGCTGCCTCAATGCCTTTACAATATCGCACGATTAACGCTCGCACAACGCCCGAGTTGCGTCATTACGGCGCCCTGGCCAGAGCGCAGAGGTGTTGCGATTGTTTTGAGCATCTTCAAAGACCTTTGCGCTCATCGGAGACCATTAAGACCCTCTGGCGCCCATTTGGCGACCTATGTAGTTGTCGTTGCGATCTAGTAGTTGTTGTTGCGCCCCAGCTATTTTTCAAGGACGCAGTGACAGCGCATATAAGATGGCAGACAGTGTGACAGGGCCTTAACGTCTTGGGAACCCTGTTAGTAGCCGTTTAACCTTTTCTTATTTTTTCCCCATAGCTTTCCAAAGGGAACCAATCAGCGATCGCGATATGGTTTATAGTCAGTCATGCGCGCAATAATGAACGTTCGGCGCTGAACACTCAGCCTTTTCTTGGGAAAGTTTATAGTCCGAGCGACAGTTGTAACCATACGCGCTACGTGCGGTGATCGAGCATCGCTATATTAGATATGCAACGCAGTGATACTACTGCTACTACTACTAATAAGATCAAAATCTTACAGCGCAAAACATAACCGATGGAAATATCGATGCGCTTTACAAAAGAAACAAACAATGCTATAAACAAAATAACTATGGAGGTCATAAGCCTGATAAAATAGATGAAATGTGAGAGCAGTTTTGAACCGGTCCAGTGTGTCCACAGTTCTAAGAGGGATAGAAACACTAGGCGTTCCATAGCCTAAGTGCAATGTGTGAAAATGCCTTGGAGCCATATGACTTGGTTCTGTGTGTTGTTGTAGTGAGGAGCCCCTGATGAGATGACCCGAGCGCTCGTGCAGGTTGGTATTGAAGGAGCAGGTCGCAGATGTAGCTTGGAGCTTGTCCCTTGAGGGCCTTGAAGGTGAGCAGGAGAAGTTTGTATTGTATGCGCTGTTTAATGGGTAACCAATACTACCGGTATCAAATGGGAAACCGCCGCTTTGCTCGAATATATTAATATTTACACCAACGGTCTAATTTAAATAAAACGGCCACGCCCCCATTGCTGCAAGATTCCCAAGACGTTAGTGCGAGAAATTAAAAAAGCAAAACAAAAACAATTGTGCAAGGGCGCTCTACAACAATGCAACTATCGCTATTGATCACTCAGGTCTTGGGCCAAGACCAGATTTAAGCCTGCGACCTATGGAACACCATTTCGACTTCCTATCAGAAGAGCTATCCAGCTTCAGATTCAGGCGTCTCCAAACTTGTCTATGTTGACTTTCGAGGGTCGTGAGTTAGGAGGTTATGTGATGTATTTAATTATGAGATGGAAACTGTTCAGCAAAATTATTATTTGTATAAAACTCACGTCAGTTCATGGCAACAGGTCTCATCCTCTGCTTGAAAGTACGCGTCGGAGTAGCGACGATTTCATGGGTATCTTCGACAGTCTACACAGCACGATGCAACGGATAACTGTCTTGAAATCTGGGTGACGGGACGCATAAATCATAGGATTCATGCAGCTGTTGGAGACACAGATCATGCCCAAGAAGGGAATGAACTTCTTGGAAATGTCTGAGATGACGGAGACTGTCACGAAGTAGGGTGCGACGAGCACAAAGAACACCAAAACGACCAGAAACAAGCTGCGCGTGATGCCGACACTTCGGCGAGACAGGTGCCTCCGATTGGCCGGCTGTTCCCGGGTGGCGTGGGAAGCTGAAGAGGACGGACTGCTTCCTCTCGGCACTGGGTTGTTTGCAGTAGATACCGACAAATGGTTGTTTGCTGGAGGAGGTTCATCGGCTGGTAGATGTGGCTGCCGGGGTGTTCCTGGTCTTGCAGGTAGCCTCATGACTCCACCAACCACAGCGAGGGGCTGGTTGGGAATGACGTTCACTCTCCTTCCTTGTCTTCGAACTTTGAAGAAGATGGACGCGTAACTTGTAAGGATACACAAGACTTGTAACGGGTAGTAGAGGGACACCGTGATTTTGGAGAATGTACCGGAGCCCTGGGCTGTCGGGTTGAAGGAACATGTGCTCAACTTATCATCGTACTCGTAAGAGCCAAACTCAGATACAATCGGCAAGAGTCCGACTACCAGGGGGATGAGCCAGGTTAAAGCGACCATTGCTGCCAGACGATAATGATTGCACAACCAGACCCGGTCACCCCGGCTTTTCCGGCGGGTAATCAAAGCGCGATAGACGGCGATTGACGCAATGTTATTTAGGCTGCATCCGATGCAGACGATGGCTGTAAATCCCTGCAAAGCGCAGAGACTATGTGAAACGAGAAGCCTTTCCCTGTTCTCGCTCAGCACTGCCAAGACCATGATGGGCAAACTCAGACAAGTGAAGAGGTCTGCCACGGCCAAGTTGACCACAAAAACGTTGGTGGTTGTGCGAGGTTTACGGGAGAGAACCACGGCCAGCAAGACAGAGCTGTTACCCAGCACACCGGCGATCGAGATGAGACTGTACAAGGCGGCTAACAGCTGCTTTTCGGCGTAACTGTCATAAACCGATAACACGGAACTCACATTGTCGGCTGAAGCTGGCCTAACGCTTGCCATTCTGTTTTCTTGTGCTTACTTGCAGCAACTTGGATCAGTACAGTACATTACATCATATCTTGAGTTGTGGCTAGGCAATGTCGTATCCGTCGAATATAAATGCATCTTAGTTACAATAAAAGCCTGAAATTCGACAAGGCACCTCTGGTCAACTCAGTGATTCGTGATGTGTCTTGCGCCTGCGCGCTAAGCGCGAACGCGCTCTGGCTGAAATTACGGATACTGTCAACTCAACATTCAGTTATATATCTAAGGTTGAAATACGGTCAAACGTCGTTACGAGCAGCTCGCATTTATAACACGTCATACACAATTTACTTACTGTTCCTACGTGTCTGAGAAATAGAAATAGAAGTAGCTACCCGCACGCTCGGCGCACATAGAGGCCTACTACTACCCGCAATTGCTTTTCTACAACCAAGTACAGCCCTGTCCATAATGTGCGCATGCGTCAGTTGGTAATGGAATGGTTCTCGGGCTTAACTTCCCTTAAAAAAAGTAAATCTATATAAGAAAGTATATATGGCTCCCCTGGCTCCGCCAATGTTCCTGAATTCAAGTCATTGCAGCTACAGTTTATTCATATGTAAACTTTGGCATGTCGTCAACTGGCAATGGATCTGATGATTGATCGTTTAGATCCTTGTGGGACAAAGGCCGTTTTATTGATTCAATCTTTATTGAATGGATTATGTGAATTCAAAGAATCGTGCATAACCCTCGCACTAATGGTGCACTTGGCCAACCACTTAGTAGTGTTCGTGTCCAATGTTCCTCAGACTGTCACAATAGACAATATCTCATTCCACTCACACTTTTTAACATCAGGCCGTAGGCTTTAAGACAGTTGTTTGTATTAAATGTCAATTTTTCAAATGTCATACGGTGTTGTCCCGTCCATTTCAATGTCTATTGTTAACTGCATGGGCTTCATTTGAGTCTGCAGTCCGCAGTTATGACACATTAGACTCTGATGATCCGATCAAAGCGTCATTTCTGTAGCTGCTTTTATTTTTAAAGTTGTATATAGTTCCTGTCGTGTCTCGTGAAAAAAAGAGTATGAGCAAGCCTAGTGAGGCTGGTCCCACTAGTCTAAGTCACAAGTGACGGGGAGTCGGGCAGTCAGTCGGGGAGTCAGTCAGTCAGTCAGTCAGGCTTGCTTTAAACGTCGAGCTTCTGCCGTGTCTAATTCAAATAATGACCCAAAATGTGAAATTATTTGAATTAGACAAAAATCCAACGTTGCTTTAAAGTTGACCTTTAAAGCAACTGCCAGCTTTCTGCCAAAAGTTCGTAAAAAAATATATCAAGGGTGATATATTTGAACAGATTTAGCAATTTCAGTAATGTTTTTTCGTCTAAAAGTAGCTTATGAAATTGGCTTTCCAGTCATTGTTTTGAAGCTACACATTTTATTAAATATGAAATACAATTTTTGGGGTTGGGTTCCGCTTTTTTTTGACTCACCCGGTATGTGAATGGTTTCCATTTTGTCAATATCTTTGTTTAAAGGGTACCCATCAAAGTTTCGTTGATTAGATGTTTTGATCCCGGCGCGGCCCACGCGTAGTTTTGTCCACTGAACTCGATCATCCTCTACTTGAAAGTACGCGTCGCAGGAACGATGATTTCATGGGCATCTTTGAGAGTACAGCGGATAAACTAACTGTCTTGTAATCCTAGCATTATTTGAACTACATGTATTCTTAAAAACCCTTGGGCATTCACTAATACAGACAGGCCTATAAAAACATGTTGCCTGTGGATACGTGTATGTCTGTGATGATATAGTACATAAGCCTACATGAAATATTCATGGTAGCGAACGGTGTACCTGTGCTATTTTGTTTTCCATCAATGTCTATTTTTACGAAACGAGGAATAACAAATTACCATGGAGATCGAGTGAACTCCTTTATGTTGGGGATTAGAAACGAGAACGTCTCCAATCTTATTGAAAAGCTGATTAGAACGGAAAGCTTCGGCTCTATGTAAGATAAATATAAATATTTTAACCGAGCGTTAGTTGAATTTGTATTATGGGATGAAATCTTGCTTAAGCCGTTTGGATTCCCATGCGGTTTGCACTGTCGTATCTGGCCCGCGAATCTTTTTTCCCAAACGACATCCGTTTCCCATCTTCTATTTGGTCCGTTACATGCATATCTGATGCCTTGTTCTCTACAACACAAACCCAAGATAGGCTTTACGTCTTGTGAGAAAGGTAAAACGAGAAGAAGTGAAAAACGCTCACTGAGATTCGAGCTCGGATCATCTGATTAGAAGTCAGGACTACAATGTACTTCCAACCATTCCACGAATCAGCTTGCAATCGCCGGTGATTTAAACACCATTATTCCTTGTTATATAACTTCTATACTATAATTCCAAGAATCTCTGTCTGTCTGTTTGTCTGTCTGTACTTCGATTATCTCCAGAACTCGGCACTGTATGAAGTTGAAAATCGGCGGGTGTATTGCTCGGGACCCCAGAATGTGCAGTGGCAAGTTTGAAGTTGTTTGTAAGAGCGGTTCTCGAAAAAGATGCATAAAAGCTGTACATTGGCCCCATGCATGATTTGGCCTGCTTGTGACGTCGCAATTAACACTACGCGCGTAAAGTTTTGTAGACAAAAGAGACGCGTATTGCCCCATTTATATTAGTCTCATAAACCTCTGTGTGTCTGTGCCATAGCATAGAGATAGCTAGCTGACCTCCACTGGGGGACTTTTCCATTATCAACAATGGATACTTCACTGGGAGGGGGGGGGGGGCGGCGCTATTCCATCATCACTAATGGGTAAATAAACTATAGCACACTTTTCTTCCTCATGTTTTCCTACTATAATTCGAGGAATGTCTTTGTGTCTGTCCACATGTATAAACAAATATGCGTTCAACCTGTGACATCTCTAAAGCCCTGGACATCATGAATATGCATAACGCAGTGGGAGCGCCCTCTTTTGATATTGTCCGATCTCGTTTTGGAAACAAAATGTCGCGGCCCTGTCAAATGCTCGTAGGGGGGATTTTTCTGAGGGGTCATTTGCCTGCACTTGCCTTCAAATCAATGAAAAGCTCTTTTTTGTCTACTCAAAATTCTAAATTTGGGAAAGCGCTGGGGAGACTTCCAGTGGGGGATCGAAGGATGGATGTGCCCCTCTGTCTCTCTTCAGGGACGAACCAAGGTATGCAAGGTGGCCATGGACCCCACTCGAGGAGCACGAGTATGCCATTGAACCCCTCCGCTCAGGATTTTGGGAGAAGCAAAAACTTGCTTTTTGTAGTATAAAGTTTAGAGAAACCATTCAGAAAGTGAGGCTCAAAGAACTCCTTTATTTCCGCAATTTGAACCAGGGTAAAGCAGCTGTTGTCCCTCTCTTCGTAAAGTCAAACTTCCCTGGAACAGAATGATGCAGAACAAAATACAGACTGGTCCCTGCATCCACCCCCTAAAAATCATGGGGACCGGTAGCTACTAGTTCCCATTCAGTGGCGCACCCAAATGGGGGGGGGGGGGGGGGGGGGAAGCTCGGGGGGCTTGAGTACCCCCAAGAGGTTGTCAATTTGTAGTCCCACGATTTAACCTTGGTGATATGTATTTCCTATTTTCGAGTAGTATAATAGGGTTGTCAATGGCGCCACCAATGTCAAAATATCCACTCCCCGCCGCCCCCCCCCCCGAAAAAAACCCCAATTTTTATTCTGCGGCCAAAACTTTTGGGCAGCATTTTTATAAAAGAATTCAAATTTCTAAAAAAAAAATTGAAAAAAAAATTGTGAGCCCCCTCCCCAATGCCAAATCCTGGGTGCGCCACTTGTTCCCATTTGAAGCCATGGATTGGATCATCTCTGCGCGTGTGCAACATTACTGTTTGTTTTTCAAAAACGATGTGCGCAACTTTGTGCGTGGGTGACATTTTTTCAACACACGGGTATAAAAAAGCCAGTGTCTCCACGTAGGCAACTTTCAAGCATTTCAACTGCATAGGCATGTTAGGTTTCGAATACTGAAAAGTAGCGCCCCTCTCTTCAATTTAGAGTTGCCAGAGACACTTTCAAATTTGACGAGAAGGGAAGCTCATCACTGCAGGACGTGTCGTGCATGTGCAACGCGTCGTATATACAGCCGCCGTGCGCCCCAAGGGTCATCAGCTCCGAGTCAGAACAGTCCGAACCAGTGGAGTTGTAGTGATGATGATGCATCTGCTATTTCCGACCTCAAAATGTCCGTCAGCCATTCAATGGCCTTTTCCTCAGCTTGGTGCACTGCCTCCCCTATTCAGGCGGGTGAGTAGGGCTGTGATCCGGACTAAGACATATTGAGGGCGCCCTTTACAAACTCTAAATTTGAGGGCGTGGTCTCCCAATCAGTTCATCAGGGTGGTCAAATTTATCAAATTCCCGTTAATTTCCATAAAGCGATTGCGCGTGTGTGGCCGAGGGCCCTATTTTAAGGAACCTATTCGTGACCAGGGTTTTTGCTTCCCGAGGAGAACTGCACGGCGCGTGTGGGCGAGCCTAGAAACTATATACGACTCGTTATCTGAAATTTGTGAATCCGTATAGTACTTGAACGGCTTAATAGGGCAACGATGTGTAATTATAACCTCACGTATTCATATGTCTACATTGATTGAAAACTTTGACCCTTGTTGTCTTTTCGCAGGGTGAGGTCAAGATAATGCTTGCTTTTATTATGAATCGAACTCGATTTCGTTAGCACTCACCCCTATTTAAGGGAGGTGGTGACCTCGACTTTCTATAACGTCTCATAGGACAGAGTGCGCAGGGTCAACACTTCAGCTTGGGCACGACGCATGCGCAGGGAATGTACGTGCAACGACCATGGCGGCGACCCACAGTGCTTAATGCGGTTCCTAACGAATGTGGGTGAAATAGATCAGCGGTCACTGATCGTGCCTTAACCAGGGCGCTATGTTAGAGCAAAGTATTTAATGTCATGGGAACAATACTGTATTTCCAATCTTGTCGGCTGAGGCAAACTCAACACATGGTGCCAGATTAAAGATTGAAATGATACTTAACTGCATATCACAGGCTATAAGAAGGTTCTCGATATAACTACCCTTTAAGATTGAGTCACTTAACTTGACATACTATACTTAACCATTTTTTTTTTTGGGATTAACCTTTGTATACACCCTGCACATCGATGATTTCTATTTGATTTTCACATTGCCTTGTTCAGTTTCGATCACTGAGTTTAAAAGCTCGACACCCCCCCCCAAACCCGCCCATCTGAATACGGAGGTAAAAGGAAAACAGACAACGCTTAAATTAACACTCATAAAATTTCACAGTCCAGCAGCTTTACTTATGGGAAATAATATATATTAATGAAAAATAAAAAAAAGGAAACGATACAGTGAAAGACATTATTGTAATTTAACCTATTGAGAATCGTCTATATACAAAAACCACTATAGCACTACTTAAATAACCATGTTTTAAGAATTAATAAGTCTTCAAGAGTTGTAGTTATTGCTATGCTTATTGTCGACGACTGTTGTCTTTTGTGTGTTGTAAAGCTTGTAAGAAAATCTGACCTTTTAAAAACCTACTTCAGGGACTGATTAAAAGTTTGCAATCACTGATTATGGCGCTCCATACCTTGTACTTTTATCTGCAGTTAACTATTTAGCAGTAACTGCGCAGCAAACAAATGTGGGAAATAATTGTATAAACTGCGGCCTTTGGAATCATAATTACCACGGAAGTAGATTACGGAGACAGAAATCAGGCCGTTTGCCAAATATTTGTGGTCGTTTATTTACTTTGGCTCAGGTAACAAGTGGTCATGCCCTGTTACCTTGATAGCACTTTGCGTTCTTTTTGTAATTGTGTAAGATCTCCGAAACAATTTGTGTTTGGAGTTTGTATCAAACCTGAGTCTGTGCTTTCAAGGGACATTGATGTGGTCTCTGACTTAAACTTGTGATTTTCCATTCTGAAGGTTTAGGGCCATGTCAGTGGGGTTAGAACTACCCGTCATTCTGAATCATAACAGATATTTTGAATAGACACTAAATGTGACGATCTTCGAGGAAAAGTTGGACTTTTTCAAATAGTAATAACATTTGAAGCCCAATATGCGTTCGCGTATACCAAGGAAACGTTTGTCATGCCTTTTTTTTCAGGCTGTGCCAGAAAACTGAAAGATTTCATCCCAATATGACGCATTTAAGCAGAGCCGCTCACGAGGTTTAACGGCAGTTGGGTATAAAGGGATTATTTCCAAAAGCCCGAATGCTGTTTTCTCTCATAATTTGCGTAATAAACATAGATCGTCTTCTAATAATCGCCCTTCTAGCAAGATGGCGGCTTTTTACGCCAAGTCGCCCTCTTTTGAAGTTGGCTAACTCTCTCGTTCAATTCACGCTCTGAATTCACGTTATGGAACCTGTATGTGGAAATTGCTGGCCGAGATGTTTCCCTTGTATTAGCTGTAAAAGGAATTAAAGATACAGTTTTCTTTTTCCTCCCTTCGCAAGTGCAAGCTTCAAGTAAAGCCCAGCTGGAATATAATAATTTTCTGTCAGTGTCGCTAACAAGAAAAAAATGGAATGAAATATTTTATAGAGGATGGAATTTTGCGTCGGAGAGATGTAAATTATATATTTGGTTTTTGCTCCTCGTCGACTTCTAATCTTCGCCCGAGGTCCTACATAGCAAGATGCGATGATTAGAACTTTTTTTGCAAGCCCTCGAAAAACACTAAGTATACCGTATTTATAAAATAATGTACAAAGTGATGTTTTGGTAAGGCGGCGTCAGAATTGGGTTCGACTGGCATTAACCGGCAATAGCAAGTGGCTTTAGACGCCCCTTAAGTCGCATAATCTTGTAAGCCGTAGCCTCTTTATAAAGCCCCAAACCCATTCAATGTACAATTGAATGGCGCACACTTGGTAGTAGCACATCTTTTGCCATAAATTGTGTTCGGTATGAAAGCCCGTAGCAAACCGAACGCTAACTAATACCCAGGCATGTAATCGGAAGCAGAAATATTGATCTTTTTTGGCCTAACCATGGTCCAAAATAAATTCCGTAAAAACCCCCAAATTGTATTAGCAAAAAGAAGGATTGTGATGTACATGTGTACATGCGAACGGTCTCCCCCTAAAGAAATAGTCGTGACAAGGGTGCATTTGTAGTTAATATAGTGTGAATGATTTTAGGATTTTATTGGCGCTCCCCACCTATTGATTTTCGGAGGCCTAAGTGTCTGGAGAAAATAACCGGTCTACATTTCAGCACGCCTCCCTGAAAAAATTCTGGATCCACCCTGCTAGCCCCCAAAAATATTGGTTCTAGAACCGCGCCTGGTAATACCCCATTTTCTATATTCACCCTTAACCTTACTCATGGTTTTGCTGTCCAAAACGGTAAGTACAAATATAAACATTGTTTGGTCCATACCACACTTGTAGAAAACAAACAAACAGAACACAAGTTTTGAAATTCACGACATACCACCCAATGGCCACGCGAAAAGTATGGTAAAGTTCACTCTCCATTGTTCACTTGCCTCTAATGATGATAAACTGACAAGATTTGGTTGCCTCAATTATCAACAGCCTGACTTTTGAACGTTGTTCAGGGAGATAAAGAATAAAAAAAACCGAGCAGATTGTTCAAAGTTCGGTGCCGGTTGAGATCAGTAACTTGCTGCACCCGAAGTGATTGGTTCAGTTGCGTCCCCAGGTCAGCACGGTGACAAGCTCCCGTGGATGGTAGCAGCTTAAAACAAACTTTAAGGGTTTAAGGCATAGTGGCCGATTTTGGGGTGGGCGTGCCCTACTTAGGCCTTTGTGACTTTTCTCCCTTCGTGGCTGCTACGGGAGAACTTCAACATTTGATTGTTTGGATTTGCTTTCGTGTGACTTTCAGCCACTCCATTTTGCATCTGATGCTGTAGGGAGAACGCCAGAGACATTCAGTGGAGAGAGAGAGCACATCAGATGTAAGTTGAAAGTTATTGTTAAAGATTATGTAAGCCTACCTTGAGTGATAGGTTGGATAACGGGAAAGCACCGCGCGAAAGTGATATTTGAAAGCCATGCCGTGTTGCGTTCGTTTATGGAGTGAATCGAGGACACACACGTGCAACATCATCGGTGAATCGAGGACAGGAACCAAATCGAGGACGACCTCGATTAGAAAACGCGTACAAAACCAATGAGAGCGGTTGCGAAAAACTTACAAACAAAGGAAAAGGGAAGAGGAACAAAAGAAAATCCTCGTTCTACGCCATAAACAAACGTGTATGTATAGGTAAAGGTTTGCTCTATGTGGTAACGTCGCCATGGCTTGCTCAATGACCGTTTTTACCAAAGATGGTAGGACCACGGATGAACAGGCCTATTCCTCGGACAATATAAAGGATTCGTAAGGCATCGTATTGAGCCAATTGGAGCTTATTATCAAGACTCAAAGAACTTTTGTGATTCGCCGACGTGCTTCCGGTGGTGAATTCTGCTTCAAAATGGACTTTCCGACGAAAAGAATGGCTATGACATCAAACAAGTAAAAATCATAACTCTCAAGTTTTCGCGTTTGTGTAAGATTTTTGTGCAATGAACTAGAAGGCTGCATAGCTGAAATCATAAAAATAGCGGATAACAAAAATTGAGAGTTACAGCTATCGTTGCTGTTGTATTTACGAGAATGTGTTCAAGGCTTTGGAATATAAAACAAAAAACGTAATATAGGCCTAATCTTATTAAAATATCAGGAAGGGGTTGAACTGCACACAAAGTAATATAATACATGTACATGTACAAGAGTTGGTTAAATAAATTACAACCAGTTTACTTACACATTATTTCGGTTGTCCATGTTATCTTTGTTTAAAATTAATAATTTTCGGAAAGCTAAACTAATTCAATGTGACACTTCCCTTTTGTAAACTACATGATACAGGGGCAGCGGAACCGGGGGGGGGGGGGGGGGGGGGGGGGGGGGGGGCTCGGGGGCAGACGTGCACGGACGTGCCCCCCCCCCCCCCAAAAAAAACAATCCCAAAATGCTGGATACGCTGCTGCACCGACGGAAGACGCCTTTTACTAAGCAAGTGCTCTTTTATGATTATGCCTCCCATCGTTTGAAAACAGTTCCGCCGCCGCTGTATAAATGACTTTGATCTTTTCTTGCCACAAGTGTTCCTCCTGCTTGAATTAAAGGGATTTGAATTGACTTTACGTTATTAAGCGGCTCTCTCCCATAAGCCCTTGTAGTATACGGAGTCAATTATCTGCTCTGAATATGCCTTCGAATTCCTTTTGGAAGTTAAGCTTATTCCATGGAGAGATGAGTTTTCAAAAACACCGTCGCTTGGAATGTCTATGAAAGTGGGAGAGGTTTGAAAGCATTTGTACATGGGATTACCAATTCTAAATGCGATACAAAAATATAACTTGAAAAGATTTATCGATTGAAATCCCAACGAATTAATGGTGAACCTTCTATCCAACTACAAAATGCCGCCTTCGCTTTCAACACGGTTCACATTTTGTAACCCTCACCTCATTTTAATCAGTCCTAGACCAAGTTTGCAGTTATTGTTTGTAAGTCATTTTTTGCCGTCAACTATGACTACAGTAATGGAGGTAAGGTATACTGTTGGAAGCTGATAGACAGTATACCATTTAGTTCTAATATTATAATGTGGAATTTCTTTCACGATATATAATATACTTAATCCACTTTAACAAAAAATAAAACCCGAGCCCTCCTGCCTCCCCTCTAAATGGTTCAGGATCCGCCCTTAATTATTATGTAACAAAACAAGTTTAAGGTTCTTGCATTTACCATTAATTTTAACGATAATGTTAGACTTTCCATTTCTGATACATCCAGGAAGAAGGAGCTAGTTACATTCATTGTAGCACTGTTGTCCGCAAACTAGGCGGTTATGTTTTATTTGCTATTCTTGTCCCGTCTGATTATTTGGAAAAGGGAAAAGAAAGAAAATGATCCATCTTCACGCGTGGTTACAACTTCGGATTACAAGTGATGGACATCATCTGCAAATATACAAAAATAAAATTGTCAACATAATTATGGTGAACTATATCCCACTTGATGTCAGCTAAAATAGCATCATGCATCCAGTGAAATCGTCGCGCCTAGTCTGCTGTCATTTTCGAGAGAAAGCAAAAAAGGAATTCCCGTCATTTCCTTGCGATGGTTAGCACCAAATACTGCCCCAAATTGACCGAATTTAGTTAATTTGCGTTTGATTTCATAAAGTGAATGAGACTTATTATTTTTCTGAATGATAAACCAGGGATCGTACCACAAGAATGTGTAAATCCAAATGTATTGATAAACAGTTTGAAGGGAAGGTCACTAAAAATGTAGATGTTTTTTGTGCGTGTGTGTTTTGTAAACAGTTTTCTCAAAAAGTGTGATATCTACTGAGCTGAAATTTCGGCAGATCATTTTTAATAATAATATTGAATTGTTGTTCCCTGAATCGGGGAAAAATATACATTCCTGCACTAGGTGTCCAAGACATTTGAACACAAATATCATAATATTAAGGTCTAGAATCATTTATTCCTTTACTGAATATCTAATATGTTTGTCATGATTTACAAAGTCAGATATACTCTTTTTCAGCTTTAAGGTTTTAGGAACAACTTGATGTTTATTTTGCATTCTATCGCATACGCCGATGGGTCAGACTGATACCCAGATTGCCAGCTTTGATTTCTTCGTCTTTTGCTTCGAATAAAATTGTAACAATTACGGTTAGTGTTTGAGCTTCCTTATCTTAAAACCTCTGAATGGGCGAAATCAACCTAGGTCCTAACCCGGACTTTGTTTGTTTCCAACCTCAGATAAGATAATGTTACCCATTGCCGAGCAAATCTGGTTCCTTTTGTCAGAGGCTACATAATTGATACAACTTTGGTTTTTACCAAAGAGAACGTAAGCGGGGGCAAGATAGTTTCAGATCTCAACGCTAGATCTCAGGTTCACTGGCACAAAGGTTAGCCGCTTGAGTAAACAGTTTTCATTTTGAAACAGGTGAAGTCTAGAATGGTTCACGTGCCGTGTGTTTCGGTACACCAGGCTAGAGGTCAAAAGCTAACGGCTTTTCTGTGCTTCTGTGCACTGTGCACTTTGTCAGGCGGAAAACACTAACTGATATTGTGTATCTTCGAAACTGCTAATTTTAAAGGGAAAATACAAAATTTGGAAACATCGAAAAATAAAACTATTAAGTTTTTATTTTTACAAAATACCTTACTAGGATGTTGGTAAATGACAGTCTAAAGCATCCTGTAAAATATTATGGCACCTGGTGTGAAGTCATTTTCAAGAAAATTGTTATTTTTGTGTACATTTCCAACAGTGGTCGGCCGACCACCATTGGAAAAACCTAACTATTTTCAACTACTGCTCCAAATTTACCATTTTTTTTTCAGTCCAAATTTTGTTTGCTATTGGTCACATGTTCGTGAACGGGTGCAGGCCAGCTAGACTGGTTCCCTTACTTTACAATTTTCCGGCATCAATACATTGATCCATTTCATCTTAAGTGGAGTCAGGGAACCAGACAACTTGAACAACTTGAACACAAAACTTCAAACATGTCAGTGTAACAATATTTGAGCTATTATATTAACCCCTCAAATAGTTCATTTCTGAAAATTACAGCAAAAGCCAATGATGTGCATTCCCTTTAATAATGCATCCAGGAAAAAAGAAATTCTAGAATGTTGGTATTTCTCTATAATTTTCTTTAACTGTACCTTGAAGGTCCAGTCACTTGTCGTTGGTTAAAGAGATGAACTCTCTGTCATGCCAATTTTCTTTGAGTGAACAATTAACAACCCAAGTAATTGCTTGGAAATGAAAACAAAAAAGGAAGACAAATAATTCCTTAAGATTTGGAAACAAAGATATGTTGCTCTCTGAGCATTATCTGACGGGACACTCCATCTCCAAGATTGCTTTATCAAAACTTGACGATACTAATTACGTGACCAGAAAAAAAGTCCAGTGCTTCCACATAAATTCTCCGAATCGAGGGTACTCTCATGCAGTGGCTGAGGGTGCATTAGCCTCCCTCATCCCTGCTTTTGCGGAATCAGCCCCCAGCCCCTTCCCTAAATCAGGAAAATAACATAACCACTGATGCCCCGATGAAGACAAACTTGACATTATACAGGGCGACCCCTCAAAAAAATGCAACTCCGAAACGTTTGAATTTTTTTTCTGAACTGTGATCAGTGATGTTTGTTTTGTTACATGAAAACAGCACGTCGGCTTGCTGAGAATATGCTAATCATGTAACACAACTCAATTTCGGTCCATTCCAATGGCGTTACCACTGTTAAGGGATTTACGCAGACAGCTGTACATATTTGTGCATGAAATGCATGTAGCGCATTATTCATGTCCTAATCCTTATAAACAACACGGCATATAGTGTGACCATAGTACAATGAAATTGATGGAAACACCTTATATTACCACCTGAACAGATATCTCGTCCTTGTAAGTTATATTTGAAACTTTTCAAGTGAAAGCCAATTGCACAGCGGGCAGCAACATGTTTCATTGTTTGAAGCACCCTCGGAAAGATGAAAAATCACTTCTTTTACCTAATTAACATTTTTTTCAGTAACCCCATATGCTGCCTTAATGATCTTTTCAGTACTTGAAAGAAAAAAAATTAATCTGATATCCAAAACATAAACATTCACCGATCACGTTTTGTAAAAAAAAAGGGCAAATGTTTTAGTGTTGCAATTTTTTGGGTCACCTTGTTCACCTTGTGTTTATTCAAACTTTATTCTTCCTTTTTTACTTGTTACCAGATTTGACTTGAAATTGTATTAGAAAATAATATTTCAATGTGATTATTATTTTTTTACTGATATCCTGCAGTCATATTCGCCATGGATCCGATGTGGGAATGGTTCTGCGGCAAGAACACCTCTTACATCTTGGGCTCCTCGCCCACCCCGATCGAGCAGGGGATCAACAACACCTGTTTCGTGAACGCTCTGGCCACCATCCCCCATGCCGGTTTCGTGGTCGTGGCCTCCCTGATCCTGCTTGGGGTCGGGGTCTGCTCCAGCTACCGGGGCTACAACACCCGTTACCTGCTTCGAATGCCGGGCCACACCTTCCGATGGATTGTGAGCGTCTTCCTGATCTACATCCTCCTGGCAGGGTTGGGTGAGGGGCTGCTCTCCGATGCCACGTACCAGGCCTGGGACCTGCCGACCCAGCCCCACCTGTACGCCGGCTCTGCCCTGGCCATCGTCACCACTGTGATATCCCTGATCTACTACCACCACATGGAGCTGTGGGAGCTACCCGGCATGGACTTCCTCCTTCTCCTCTATTGGATCTTGGGGTTGATGGTAGAGTTGCTGCGAGTCATGAACCTCTACCAGATGGATTTGGTTGACGTTACCATCATCCGGTTCGACCTCTGCTGCCTGACCATCCTCGGGTACACCATCTTGATTTTGATTGATCTCAACATCATCCGAGTCAAGGTAGGCCTGAAAACACTTTAGACAAAAAGGGGCAAATGACTACACAATGGCGTTACAATATGTTTCTATTTTTTGGGGAGCTTTAAAATTTACTTCAGTGAACAAACAATAATTAATCAACTTTGACAAGAATCAATTTATTTCTTTAGTGACAGTAGAGTTTAACACTAGCAGCTCCTATACGCTAGTAAACCCAGAGTGCACCCGATTTGCTTGTTAAAATAACAATTCTGTTTTGAGTTACTAACTATCAGTGCACTGACAAGAAAGTGCACAAGAATAACACACGAAGCACAACCCCAGGCTGGACTCGGACCAGCTGATCCACAACCTGCGGAATCTGAGGCCGATCTTGAGTTTAATGCTCCAGACGCGCCGTGCATTTAGGTTGGACACGTAGACCCTTCCTAGCACGCTATCACCTTACATTAACGGGGAGTCGGAGACACCCTTCAATGGTAAAGCACTGTAGGAGCTACTGCACAAAAGTATAGCTGTTATAATGCATTAGCTATTGAAATGGGCCTCCATGTATGTTCAGCGGTAGCGTGCATTGAATGGTCTATCCTTACGCCAGACCAAAACGTCCTTTTCCAACCACCCATTTTTCACTGAACAGGTCTTCGGATTGTGTCAGAGCGGCCCGGTCGAGTTCCCGAAGGATCTGATGAACCCTGATGTTGAGTACATGTACTACTACGTCAACTTCATGTCACAGCAGTTCTTCTGGTGGGTCAACTGGCTACTGTCCCTGGGCTATAAGCGACCCTTGGAGCTGGACGACCTAGGAGATGTTCCTGAGCGGCACGAAGCCAAGTACAATTTTTATAAGTTAAAGAAGGCACTGAAGGTTGAATTGGTAGGTGGTTTTCCGTTTAGTTACCGTCTCAAATAATTGTGCTACCAACCCAACCCACCCTACACCATCCCATTCCAACCCAACCCAACCCAACCCAACCCAGCCCAACCCAACCCAACCCAGCCCAACCCAACCCAACCCAACCCAACCCAACCCAACCCAACCCAACCCAACGCAACCCAACCCAACCCAACCCAACCCAACCCAACCCAACCCAACCCAACCCAACCCAACCCAACCCAACCCAACCCAACCCAACCCAACCCAACCCAACCCAACCAAACCCAACCCAACCAAACCCATCTAAACCATCTCCTTGTTCCTCCTGGTTCGTTAGGAAAAATGCGCCAAGAATCCTGGGACGATTCCCGCAATGTGGAAGCTCTACTTCAAAGTCTACGGCGTGAAACTGATCGGGGCTGGCGCCTTGAAGCTGGCATCGGACTTCTGCGAGTTTGTTGGACCACTTGTCATCGGAGGCCTGACGAAATACGTCTCTACTCTTTCCTACCCATCGGACGGGCCACCGGTATGAAATTCTATCGCAAATTAGTAAACAGCAGTAAAAATTACAACAAATAAGGGGAACATCGTGGTTAGACCATGTTATAATCTTTTATATATAATACGGTACCGGTATGTGTTTTTCCGAGAAGACCCTGGTTGCACCGCAAAGTTCCTTTTAATAAAAAGCAAAAACAAATTGAAAACACCTTTGTCAGTCTTCGGTTAGACATGTAGGTTGTTGCCAAATGCATGGGTCCACACAGCTTAACAAAATCTCATGCTAGAGTAAATTTTAGGGTGGAATTTGTTGTTGATCTGAATAAAAGGAAATACAATATGGATGCATAGGTCTAATCAGGCTTGAGCACTCGTTGCCTTCTATATAGTATCTGTTTTAAAAGTATTCCTATATAGACATGGGCCTTTGGGAGTCATTTTACATATACATCCCAAATCAGGATAAGAGATAAGTAGAAATATCGACTCGAAATTCAGAGAAATCCTCTAAAGGGTGATTTCATGCGTGAATGCCCCTTTTAAGGACTACCCCTGTAAAGTGGCGATTTTAGAGACACGGGCGTCTGCAAAAGTAAGGAAACAGGTTCTAGTTCCAATCAAGCAATCCTGTGAATTCTCCCAAGCAAGGTCATCTCGGGCAGCACTGTGTATGTATAAACAGTGAATAAGAAAAAATTACGTCCATGAACGGCTAAACCTTTTAAACTGAAGAATTGATCATTGTCTATGTTGTCATAGGATCCGCCTCACCGTGTAACGTTCAATGAATTCTTCGGCAACGGTTTCGTCTTGGTGGTCTTGCTGTTCTGCGCCTACTGCATCAAGATTGTCTGCCTGCAGGGCCACATGCACCGAGCTATCCTGCAGAGTATCAACGTGCGGGCTGCGCTGCAGGTAGGCTTCATTACCAAATTTATGTTCCGTGGGCCTTAGGCACCAGTGTTCCGTAGGCCCTACTCCGAACTAGGCACCAGCACAAATTCCATGTCTATGCCAAGCTGTATTGAAACAAGCCAGTCCAAAATGGTAGCTCTTAAAACCTGCTGGCACACAGTGGTATGTTTCGTAGGCCCTCAATTTTTTCGTAGCCCACCGTATTGGATAATACGGGCCTGCTGTTGAGGAGAAGACAGAAGACAATGAAGAAAATAATGCTGGGGGGGGGGGGGGAACCTCGGAAGAATACTTTAGGGAAAACCCACGGAATCAGTTAGGACCAGTAAACCCAATCCACATGTGGACCAGGGCAGTGCTCGCGTTCATTTTTATACCGGCTTGATTTAGGTGGGACAAATTTTATTAAAGAAGCTTTGGAGTGCATAACTTTCAGGTAAATCTTGTTTATGTGATACTAAACATGATCGATGCAGACTATTGGTGGCGCTCTTTATTGCTAATGTTTTATATCCCTATTTAAAAAGTGCACGCGTTTCTCTTTCGTTGTTTTCCCAGGGACTGGTGTACGAGAAGTCCTTGCGCCTGTCTACCTACGCCACCACTGGAGGCATGATGACGGTGGGACAGATCACAAATCACATGTCGACCGACGCCATGAACATACTCTTCATGTTCCAAACCATCAATTACATGTGGTCCATACCCATGCAGGTAGGTCGACAGAGGACACCCTTTCTCACTCTCAGTTGGAACAGTATGGGTATATGTCGTGTCGGTGACTAGCCCCGCTCCATGGTGTTTTGTCCAATCACAGCCGTAATGTATGTCTGGCATGCGCGCACGCACAACTGGAACATGCAGTCTTCATAAGCATTGGGGAACATACATTGGGAAAGCGCACATGATTTATGACCCACGTGTATAGTGGGCGTGGCCTAATGGATCAATCTACAGGGTGTATCAAAAAGGAAACCCAGATGTAAATGTGAATTATAAAAAATCTAATAAATATTTTCAAATATGTTAAAGATCATGTAAAACGCCACTGTGTCCTTTTAAAAGATACCTTGATTGTGTGTCTGTGGCCACCGGATGATTGAGCATTCGTTGTTGATCCGTCAAGGGTCAAAACCTGTACTGGGCCAAGTTTTACCTGGCTTGTTATGCACAGGTTGAAATGGACTAGACTTCGTGCGGAGCTTTGTGTGGAAACTGGAAAGAGTTGGCCACGTTGAAGGCATTGGGCCATGAGGGGTCAACCTCAACAATAAGAGTGGTTAAATCACAGTTTTGAATCAAAGGACTTCTTCCTTCTTTAAATTGAGCCATTCCACGTGCACAGAGTGCCAGTTACCCTTTTGAACAAAATTGGCCCAGGGCAGGTTTTGACCCTTGACAGAAAAACAACAAATGCTCAGTCATCCGTTTCCACAGACACACAATCTAGGTATTATTTTAAAGAGGACACATTTTGTCATACTGTGAACCCTTATGATTAGGCTGTATCTTTGGTCATAAATGCTCTCATTGATATGGGCAGTTCCAAGACTTGGAGACCAAACATTAAACAGTACGTTGCTTTTCGGCAAGGAAAATTCACACCAAAAATATGTGAGTTTGATGGGCTGTGTGCTGTGACTTGATGTCGTCTCAACCTCAGTCTGAAGTTTTGATGAGGGGACAATTATATGTTTGTATTTCCTGAATTTTCATTAGCGTCAAAACAACCCATCAAAGTAAGGATGAAAGTGATATGAAAACTTATAATATATCGAGTGCTTACAGATTAATTCATAACCATCATCTTATAGGTCAGACGTGTGACTCATCTCTTTTGATCAGGCCTCAGTGTTTTGACGAAGAGGACACATTTTGAAATGCCGCATTATGCATTTATGTAGATTCCCACGTCACGTGGAATCTCTCCTATACAATGGACCCATCCAATTTCGGCCGTAACCCCGCCCACCGTTGGTTTAGGCGCAGTAGATGTTTTGCAAGATTATAATTCCTGTTGATTTGTAAAACAAAAAATGTTTTGCTTGATTTCTCAGGTGATAATCATCTTGATCCTGCTGTACGTGCAGATGGGAGCGGCCGCTCTGATTGGTGCTGCCTTGTTTTTAATAGTTTTCCCCATCCAGGTTAAGATCGCTACGATCATCAGCAGAAGCCAGAAACAACTCCTGGTAAGCTTGGAATACCGTATCAATAACTCCCGTCAAATATTGTTGGTGAAATGATGAACGTTTGCATTGGCGTTCTTTTATATTATTTCGTCCTTTTATATTATTTCGCCCTTTGGACACAATAAGATGGCGTTTTTTGTTCTAACACAAATTTTATTCAGTATAGCGCCCCATTAATGTCCGACATATCTCAAAAAGGCTAATGGATGAGTTGAATGACAGTGATCAACATACTATATTTTACCAACATTTACATTTTTTTTTTTACAATCACATTATAAGCGTCATCTTGTAGAATAGTCCAAATTCTATATAAGTAACCTTACCGAGAGATCTCGTCAATGTGAGCGAGATCTCGAGAGGAGTCCATGAATTCCAATGGGCTGATGACCTCCTTTTAATCTATGTGTTTTAAAAGACACACTCTGACGAGCGCATGAAGCAAGTCAACGAGCTGCTGCAGGGCATCAAGTTGCTCAAGATGTACGCCTGGGAGGATCTGTACTGCAAAGGCGTAGAAGTCATCCGTGAGAAGCAGCTGCGCTCCTTGCTCAACGTCAGCGCTGGCCTAGTCTTCACTAGTAAGTCGTGAGAAACATTACCGGTAGAGGGCGCTAACAATATAATGCCATAGTGCTGTAAACAGTGCCATTGCAGAACTGTCAGCCGTACTAGTAGTACATGTATTGGCTTCGTTGCACTCTCTGTTTTTCGAAACCTTTAATTTATTGAAAAATTTAATGGTACATGCAAGTTTTACTCACCAGGTATTCAAAGTGTAATAGCAGAGAGAAAAGTAAAGAAGATGTAATTATAAAGTTTGCGGGTAACACCATGTGGAAAGAGATTTCTTCTTGGAAGAAGTGTGGTTCTGAAAAAAACCCCGGTTGGTTAAGTGTAGGACTCGACGTTTCGGACAGTGTGCTCTGTCCGTCCTCAGGAGGTTAACTCAAGTCTCCGCCATGCAATGCTTCAAGTCATATATAAAGAAGATGCACCATTGGACGGGAAGTAGATATTGAATTTAAATTTGACATGCAAATTTATGCCCCTCGGATATTTAAGAACTTCATTTTCTGAAAATGAATGGGCAGGAATGCAGTGTAATATTTGGTAAGCAGCCCCATGCTAAGCAAGAAGTGTGCTAAGTGCAGCCAATTATTTGGTTTGTTAAAAAGGAAAATACCAGATTAATTGTCAGTCAATGTATATCCGAGATTCTCCCTTGACTTTTTGGATAATACATTTGGCCCAGAGCTGTTGGTTGATGAATGAAATTGATTATTATCATGTATTTGTCTTACAGTATTCTTCACGGCTGGCACTCCGGTTGTCGTCACCCTTGTTGTAAGTAACTGTTCGCAGAAAGCGAATTTCATTTTTTCTAAGGATGTTTTCTGAAGGTTTACTTGAGTGAGAGACGCCATACTTGGACATATCATGTCAACATATATTTCGAGACACTCTCCGCAATGCACGCCTTGTAAGTCTAGCACACCATTTAGCTCATTCCAAAAGGTTCTCAGATGATACACTCAAAATCCGCAATAAGCCAAAATGTGGTAAGAGTTCATTTAGGGTTAGTCAGATGGCATAAATGGTAGTCCAAATAACGATATTTTCAACTCAGGTTAAGTGACAAAACTATTTGAAAAACAAAACCACGGCTGGCATTTTCCTTTGCGACTAGACTTACAGTCAGCTTCCAGAGCTAGAAAAAAAAATCGGAATTTTGATGTACTATGACGAAATACTAAATTAATATAGCCTACAAAAGCGAAGCAGATTGCATTTGAAATTTTGTATTTAACCCTGTGTTTTGTTTTGTGTTGTCTTGAGGTCCGACGTCAAGTACACTCTAAAATCTGTGTTTAGCAATTACACACAATCTTGCTGTCACTTTGTAAATATGTTTAGAAGCTAAAATTTAAGTGTTCAATTGCTAAACAACAATGTTAAATCGCTAAACACTATCCATCCTTACTCTAAACAAGTCATCTTTAGTTTTTAAACATTTTTACAAACTGAAAGCAAGAAAGTGTTTAGAAAGGTGTTCAATTGCGAAATACAGTATTTTGCAGTTTAGATCTGGTACACGGTACCCTCTGGAAACATGTGCACAATAGGGAACAAAAGATTGTATACGTCTCCACACAGCAATTTCTATAGGTGAATACGTCTCCACAAGGTTATCACGAAAAAGATAAATGGATTTTACTCAAAAACTAGGAATTTCCAAGGTGTGTTGATTTCCAAGGTGTGTTGAAATTAATTCTGGTTAGGAGCATTTCGAAAGTACACTTTAAAACTCAATAACTTTAGTACACAAGAAAAAGAAATGACTCCACAACTATAAACATTTCAGTATTTGTGTTTTTGTGCATTCCAATTCATTATTATTATTTCTTACAGGCCTTCGGCATCTACACCCCTCTGACCGGCAACACCCTGACTCCAGACATCACCTTCTCGTCACTGTCTCTCTTCAACCAGCTAGCCGTGCCGCTCTTCCTGCTCCCATTCTCCCTCTTCCTCCTCGTCAATGCCATCGTCAGCACCAAGCGACTGGCCGAGTTCTTCGTGGCGCCCGAGGTGGAGGGGATTGGCGAAGACACTGATGAGCTGGAGGAAGGCGAGGAGTGCCAAGAGGTAGCGACAAGTTTGATGTATAGATTGAATTTTTTGACTGTCTGGCTTACTAAAGTGATGAGGGATTAATTGATTATTGATTGATTGATTAAATGATTGATTTATCGACCGATTACCGATAAATTGATTGCTTAATGATTTATTGATCTATCGATAAATCGGTCAATTGATCGATCAACTGATTGAAACATTAATTGATTAATTTATCAACCAACTAATCGATCGATCGATTGATTGATAGTTCGATTGACCGGACAATTGATCAGTACATCGATTGATCGATTGATTAAACATTGATTGAGTGAACATTATTGGCCGATTAGCTGAACGTACTGGTAAATTTTCCGGCTGACTGAATGACTAATTAATCGGTTTGTTGATTGATCAATGACTGACATTTAATAGACAAACGAGATATCCAATGACCGGGTAATTGCACGATTGACTGAATAATTATTGATTGATTGATGAAAGATCGATCAGGGATGGAAAGATGAGTGGATTGATCGTTTAATTGATAACTTTGATCAATCAATGCATTCATTCATTCATTAAATGGTTTATTGAATCAACTCATGTCTCGCAGCTAAGGGCTGAATTGAACATGATTTACAGTAACGGGACAAAAAAATAGTAATCCCATAAAATACCATTAGGCCTATTAACATTAAAATAGTAAGAAGTCGAATCATGTAAATACCACATATAAATCCAGCTTAACCTTTACATGAGTAGTAACAGACAAACAACGGGCAGACTTCAGAACTAATAAACTATATAAATGAACAAACTACTTAAAATGAACAAAGACTTAACTTTCGGAAGACTTTCTAAGGCATTCAATGTTTATTTTCTATTTTTTTCCCCGCCAGAACGGCGAGACCAAGAAACTACCGATCGAGTCTGCCCGGCAAGCCAACTTTCACCAGACCAGCAGCGCGGACGAGGCCGACGAGGAAGAAAAAGACGAGAAGTCGGGGCTCCTCGACGGCTCTAAGAAGCCCCCAAAGACCGACTATGGCTCCAACGCCCTGCGTAAAGCAATGGGACTGGAGAAAGAAGAGCCACTGGATCCTAAAGTGGCCTTCAAGGTATAGACTATAAGGCTATATTTTTGTGAGCGTATGAGGGCACTGTATATTTGTAAGTTAAATGTGCCAAAGAGTGGCACATTTAAATTAGGACTGCAATCGATGTATCTAACGCGCGACACAGTGCTTAAATTTTGAAAGTTTCTTTTTGTAAAATCAATCCTCGCGGCCAAGGGTTAGTAAAAGAAGGCGCACGCGCCTGTGGAGTAGAGGGTACGTTTTACCACTAGGGCTGCTGCGGTTCGCGCGCCTCGACTTGTGAGTGTGGTACCACCTCAGTATGGCTTCTAATTAATGATGTCCGCCAAACTGGCGAATAAAGGTACCTCTCATGACCAAAGGAGCCATTTCCTCATCGCGGCGTAGGCCTCGGCTCCACCTCTAGTTCTCGCTGCAGAATTATTCCATGGTTTTTAATGTCCAACAGCATGGATGAAAGTCATCCTGCATCAATATGTTTTTCAGATTTTTATTAAATTGCAGATGATTTGTGTCATTAATTATTGGTGAATTTAACTTAGTTAGGCTGAGCTGCCATTGTCTTAAAAAAATAATAGGTGGAGTTAGATGTACGTTCCATTGTGCAGGTTTACACTTGTTATTGGTACTAAAGTGTTGATCGGTTTTCCACCTAGGTCTCAAGGGGTAATTTCCTGTGGGATCCGCAAGGCGCTCAGCCTTGTCTGACCGACATCGATGTTGAGATACCGAAAGGTAATTTCTGATGTTTTCTTCAAGGGCTATTATTTTTCTTATTAGGGACAGAATTTTTTTAACAAACCACCGTTGGATATGCATACATATAATTACCTCTTTGTTTCAATTTTTTTGTAATGAATTACCGAACATTGTACCAAAAGAGAGACGTTCCCATAGACTTGTGCACAAACATAAACCCTCTCATAACTAATTTGAAAATACTCTCCTGCCTTCCAAAACTATTCAATGTTACCTTTAACGAGCCAGGGATTCGTTTTAATAGCTAGAGCCACTTGCGACAACAATTTTTGTTCAAGATATGGTCGTTAAAACCTTAGAGAGACACTAAATGCCTTCCTAATGACCAATGTCTCACTATAATGTGTAGTAATTTACCAGACGGTGTGTGTTTCCCTAGCAGTCTATATATGTATAACTTTGCTACCTATTTGTGACTCAAATGTTATTTTGTCTCTCAGGTAAACTGACCATGGTGGTAGGCTCCGTAGGTAGCGGCAAGTCATCCCTGCTTGCTTCCATGCTGGGTGAAATGACAACCGTCTCCGGTCGGGTTCAAGTCGGGTAGGTCCAAAAAGATGTTGGTAGTAAAAAGGCGGCACTGATCCAAAAGGCCGGAGTTGCAATCGATGTCAGGCGCGAGGCACTAGTCATTCAGACCCAAGTCAAGTTACAGGGTTTTTAAATGAACAGTGACAATGATAATAATGTACTACTTTTTGACGTGACTTGTGACCTGGGGCCAATTTCACGGCGCTGCTAAGCACAAAAATTTGCTTTGCACAAAAAAGTCTGGCTTATAAAAGCAGGTTACCAGCCAAAACTTTACGTGCTGTATATTGCTCGTGATTAGTATCCAGCTGTTGTTTGCTTAGCATGAAAATCCCATGGAGTTTTGGCTGGTCACCTGCTTTTATAAGCCAGACTTTTTTTGTGCTAAGCAAATTTTGGTGGTTAGCAGCGCTGTGAAATTGGGCCCGGTTTGTGACCTGTCTTTTGACCTGACTTGTGAATTGACTTGCGATTGGCTTGTGATTGACTCGAATGTAACTCGAAAGGCTCACAATTTTAAGGATATTTTTTTTTACAGGGGTGAAGAAGTGTACACCACACACAAGAAAACTATTCCAAGGAACAGATTGAATCAAATTAATAGAATGTTGGGCGCCCTGGGACAAACTATTTTTCGTTTTTGTATCTCCTTATTTTGCTTTCGGGGGAAGGGCAAGTGCCCCCGTTTCCCCACACCCTAGCTACGCCCATGAGTGGAAGAACGTTGTTCGAACGAGTTCCCCGATGGACATTCCTACTGAAGCAGCTCTTGCTGACGCCATTCCCATATCACGCAACTTTTTCTGAACAATCACCCTATCCTGGGTTTCTGTGTCTCAGCTGAACAAATTATTCTCAACGAGACAACTATTATTAGTAGAATTATTAATAATATGCACCTGTTTGAATATATTTTGTACAGCGAGAATGAGACGATTGCTTATGCAGGACAGAAGGCCTGGCTTCTGAACGCCACGATGCGTGACAATATACTGTTTGCAGAGAAATACAGTGCCAACAGGTAAGTTAAGTGTTACCAAAGTGGAAAAGAACCGATCACTGAGAGTTGAGCAACATAATTGGAATCGTATGGTCTAACACAGTTTGGACAAGTCAAGAGGGTAAATTCAGACCTCGTTAGTCGGTCTTCAGAAAACGCTGTATCCCACAAATCAAAACGTTGATATTTCAACAGAAACAACAGAGAACAAAAGGAGGAAAGTGGTATATATTGGTACCCCATGTAATGTGTAAAAGAGTTCACAAATGAGTTAAAATTCTTCACAAGAACCGGCAATTGTTGCTCTACTCTGTTTTCTATGAAAGATTGGACAAAATATAGACTGCATGCGCTGTGGGGCCTATTCTTGTCAAAATATGTAAAATTCTACATTATATGTTAATTGTCGGCCGGGACAACATTGCTCAACATGAACATGTTTACCAAGGTGGAGCAATGGAGATACCAAGGTGGAGCAATGGAGATACAATACATGTACCAGAATTGGGAGTTTATCTGGAAACCATTTCCTCTTAATCATGCAGGTACAAACGTGTGATCGAGGCATGCGCCCTAAAGCCGGACATTGATATCTTACCTGCTGGCGATCAGACAGAGATTGGAGAGAAAGGAATCAACCTGAGCGGTGGACAGAAGCAACGAGTCAGCGTAGCCAGGACCATGTATTCCAGCAAAAGCGTCATCGTGCTGGTAATGCTGGATTTGAATATTCCTTCGTATTTTATCTGAAATAACAGAAAACTGCGTATACAGGGTGTACTAAAAAGGAAACCAGATGTAACTGTAGATGATAATTATCTTGTAAGATCGTGGCTTCCGGTCACATCGAAACTATTGGCAATTTCAAAGTCAGTCGGTAAGAGTCAAAACTTTTTTCATTACACTTATATAGCTGTTAAGATATTCCACTTCTGCAAACTGCCTACTAGTACTGACGTCAGTCAATCAACCTTATAAAAATTACTACTATTGATTTTATTCTGTTTTTTTAAAACTGAAATTGAACATAGTACCCATTACAGCGTCAAATCCATCTCCGGTGACAATTTCTTGATACTTTGATTTTTTTTTGTTTATTACTCTTTTTCCTTGAACAGGACGATCCCTTGTCTGCCTTGGACGTGCATGTGGGCCGTACTCTCCTGGAGGAAGGTATCAGCAAGTGGCTGATAGGACACAAGAAGACGGTCATCCTGGTGACTCATCAGCTGCAGTATCTCAACAGAGCCGACCTGGTAAGTAGGCCACACCAGCAATCTTCAATACACTTTCTGCATAAAGCAGTATCTTGAACCCCCCCATAAATGCAGTTACATTGAAAGGTCCCCTCATGCGTATCCCTACATGATGGCTGCCGCGCACAAGGTCTATACAGGGTGCACTGAACTAATTCAAGTGAGAATTTCTACGCGAGTCATTAGCATAAAAAGTGCCCACACAATTTCTTTTGAAAACGGAGACCGTTTGGCTTTAAAAACGGTGGAATTGTGTAAATATACCCAAGGATCAACTCCCTGGTTTTTGGGCTTCCATCTGAGGGCAGGCTTGATAACATTACGGATGAAAAATGGGTCCTATTTGCCTGTGAAAGTGGAAGGATGCCACTTGTAAAATGGCTACATGCAGGCTTGGGAACTATCACTTTTCGGGAGGTGATTTTATTTGGGTGTGAATATTTAAAAATGTTATTGGCTAATGTACCTAAAATTGAAAAGAAATGAAAAGATGAAAGACAAGACAATATTTTAACTTTTGTTTGAGAAACCTCAGTGATGTTGGCTTGCAACTTATTTGGCCCTGAACTTTGTTGATTTTACACTGTTTTCAATGGGGCTTAAATTAGTACAGAAAAGCTGGAGTTGGCGCTGCAGGTCGATCTTTCTTTTCCGCAATGCATCGTGGGAAAAGTTGACATCCGATTGTTCATGTTGTGTCAGGCTACAAGGGTTTAATAATGATTTGCTTGAATTAAGCCTTTTTCTCAAAAACGAAGAAGGCATAATAAGAGCATTCTTTGTATTTTTCTTTGGTTCTCATTTTTGACCGACCCTATTTTGGGCTTACGACCAAGGGGAAAAACCTTTATATTACCGCCGACCCTGTCTGGGACCACATTAACAAAAATAAATGGTTTTATAATTATTTTCAGTGGATTGATTCTAACTCATGAGAAAGTCATCACAATAACAAATGTAGAGACAATGCACACTTGGCATCGTTTAAGTTGGCCATCTGTACGGGTGCAACTGCAATTGTTGTCTTCAGATTTATTTTTTAACCGACCAATTCTAATTCAGAAGCAAACAAAATATGACAACCCTTGAAATAAAAAGGAAAGCCCTAACGCAGAAGAATGGAGTGTTTGTGCTACCACAAGTATTGGTCATAAGTCATAATGACGTAGGTTTGTGCTTGACAATAGTGACGTGAAGTGTCGTCACCTTTTCGAAGGGAAAAGTATCGATCGTATTTCATAGGTATCATTCTTGAGAAAGGTTTGTTATATTTTTATATGCCATTGTTGCGTTTATACAGATCATAGTCATGAAGGACGGACGGATCGCAGCCCAAGGCGACCTGGATGCCATCATTGCCGCCGACCCGGACATGTACAGCGAGTACGACCAGGCCGTCAAAGCCGTCAGCGACATGGAGTCCGAGAGCGAGAGCGGCACGGAGACGCTGCTGGAACGGGAGGCCCTGCGCCGCAAGTCGGCCCAGCTCATCCGGCGCGTGTCCGCTCAGAACGTGGTCGTCCAGCCGGCCGGCAAGTTTGAAGGAGTGGGTGAGTACAAATGGCGACAAAGGCGGTCGCGTGCACCTTATCAATTTCTCTTTCTTAAGATAACACTGTAGTAATTAAAATTTTCAAGCCCATCACGACTTAATTTACAAGCCAATACTTAATACAAGTAAAAGGGATTACCCTTAACCTCCAAGGCATTTTTTTTTTAGCTAAGATGCAACCTCAATCCTGCAAAATCCTCCAAATACCTCCATGTAAAAAATGTATACAGCCTGTTGTGTAATTGCATACAATCCTCTATTATTTTTTGAATGTGGTCCTTGGAAGGGTGACCACTGCCTCAATCCTGCAAAAACCCAAGCAACTACTGTCATGTTGAGGCAGAACCAGTGACATCCTGGAGCAGTGGGGACTGGGGATGATTTTAAATGTAACTAAGTATAACATGATACGGTTAAATGCAAGATATCGGCAGTTTAGTCTGCGAATGTCTACTTGGTCTACATAGGTGAAAACTGATTAATATGGACAAACAAATAATAAACTTGTCCTTGTATTAAAAAAGAATTCGGAATTGACCTTGAATATCAAAATTATGAGCGACTGGACTAAAGATCGACTGCTGGTACTACCGTTCGGAACGACTTCACAGTTAATAATGTTCAATCGATACATTACGTTCGTCTGTCTGCAACCTAATTCTACTTAAAACCAAATATTTTGTTCCACTCGAACCTCTCCGAATACATTTTCGGATTGGCGCGAATTTGGAAGGCTAAAATTTGGAAGGAAAACTAAAACGGGAGTGTGTCCAATTTTTTTTGGGAAATTAATATGTACATTGTTTTATAATAACAATCATAGCGGGTTCTTATAAAGCGCTTTTAATTGAGATTAAAGAGCTTTACATCATTATTACCCCTGATCATTGGGCCTTTGAAACATTCCAAATACAATCTCAGCTCCCTGGGGAGTATATACTCCCGGTATGCAGCTCGATGCTGCCATATCAGCGCAAGACAGCTAAAATCAATCGCAGTTACCATCTCTGCCCTCACAGGTCCCCATAGACTCCTGGGTAGGGAGAAGCGATGAGTGCCAAAGTGCCTGGCCAAAAGACACACGCACCACAACCCCAGACCGAAATTGAACCCACAACCTGCAGAAATTACCCGCCGACCACGAATTCAATGTCCCAGACCACGAGGGCCACAACACTCCACTCTATTGTTTTAAACTTGCGTCGGCCAACAGCGTATTTGTACACATACTAGGCATATCTTGGTACAACACTTTTAAAGATGAACAATTGTTGGCTTTGAACGTATTTCCCTCAATTTTTTTCCTTCTTCAGATGACAAGGAGTCGGGTGTCTTGATTGAGAAGGAGGAGATGGAACGCGGCTCGGTCTCCTTCAAGGTCTACGGCTACTACTTCCGGAACGTGGGCATCCTGCTGAGCCTGGTGACTTTCTGCTCCGTCCTGCTCCTGTCCGGTCTTCAGATCGGCACCAACTTCTGGCTCTCAGCTTGGTCCGAGGCAGGCTTGAGTAACGAAGTAAATGTTCATTTTCAATTATTTTCAAAACATTTATTTCCTCTTCTCTGCGAAAAAAAACCCCCAATTAAAGGTATAGTGAAGGCCTAATAAATAACATGGACAAGTAGCGGTTGCAGCACATACAAAGCACAATTTGTGTGAAGTTTGCTGAATTACTAAGGACAAAGAAGCATCTAGTATTTTCAAGAACAAGCAAAATTATTTTCTATCCGAATTTAACAAACTTGGATTACCACAACTCCCTTAATGATTGAAATAAAAGCACGTGCAAATATTGCCTACACTTAATCAACACAACCATATTGATCTATTTTTAATAAACCGAGCCATTCCGGTGTGATATGAATATCGGACTCCTGTGAAAATCGGACTCCTTTTTCCTTTTATTGGTTAAACCCTCTCACGTCCCTCTCCTTATTATTCAATTCAATTGGACATTTATTCTCATATTGGTGAAAATCAAAGGAAAATAAACAATTACAGATCACCTATTTAAATCAGAGATAATCAAGGACTTATTGAAGAAAAGAAATATGATATGAATCTTTTATTACATTAAAGCCAAATCACAAGTTATATTGCAAGCGAAATCAAAAGTCATGACACAAGTCTAGTCACAACTCACAAATAACATGAGACGGACTACGACAAGGGGATACCTTTAGTTCTAACCAACAGTGAACTGGAGTTGGGTTGACTTATGATCGACTTGATACTGACGCGAGATGACTTGTGTGGCAGTGTTGTTGTCAAGTCAATCACGAGTCCATCACAAGTCCCGCCAAGGACAGCTCAGTTTAGATTCAAGTAAACCCAGGAATGCATTTGCCACAGTACGGTTCATTTGAAAAGCTTGAGACTTGACTTGTGAAGGACTTGTTAGGACTTGTGAGGACTTGTGATTGACTGGGCTACAGCAATGGTGTAAAGACTTGACCGCAACTCTTGTAAAACAAGTGATGGACTTGCGAGGACTTGTAATGGACTCGTTATAAAGACTTGACCACAACTCTTGTAAAACCTGTGATGGACTTGTGAGGACTTGTGAGGGACTGGACTACATATACAACACTGTTGTAAAGACTTGACCACAACTCTTGTATAAATTCCATATTTGAGTTAATTGGCTGAAAATGGCCTTCAATTTCCAGACTGGATCCAGCAACACGAAGTACCTGGCCGGCTATGCAGGTCTGTCCGCCTCCCTGCTCTTAGTCCGTTTGATCTCCTCGACCTCGCTGATTGCGGCATCCCTAGTGGCCGCAAAAACCATCCATCAGCGGATGCTTCGGAATCTCATCAAGGCCCCTCTCAGGTAAGCCTGGAATTTTGTTATCATTTTAAAGTGTTATCAGGAAAACAGAATGAACACTTTATAATGGTCGTACTCTTACAAAGATGTAGTCGGATTTGAATAGAACAAAGTCATACTTGACTAGCAACTCATGGTCTGCTGAGAAATTTTGTATATACAAAGTCAGACATATAATTGACGATTATTCAGCTGAAGACCAGCGTTTTTTTTTTTACGTAGTGACTACCTAATCACTATGGAGTACCATGGAAACCAGTCAGGACCTGTGTTACCTGTGGTATATTGCCATTGTCTTAACAGTGTTCTGATTATTGTTTAATACAAAAAAATTCTTTTCAACGAAAAGAGGGTATACGTAGGCCATGCCTCTAAAAACTTGAGATATAAATACTGTTAATTCATTAGTGTGGGAAAAGGTTTCTATGGAAGCTCGAAAATCAGTAATTTTGAGTATTTTTTTTAAAAATGTATATTCAGTCTTTTAAGCTATACTTTAATACGCAGAGAAAAAATAATGTTAAATTTTGATTGTTTTCCCCCAGATTCTTCGACACTACACCAATTGGCCGCATCCTGAACCGTTTTTCCAATGATACCACCATGATCGATTCGGTAAACATTACAGATTTAAGCTAGGTCGGCATTCCCACTTCGCATGCGCACAGGTCGATTGGACGATTTTCATTTTGTGCTAAATAATTTCGCCATATGCGTGCAAAATCAAAGTGGGTACCAGCGAAATTGAAGTAAAGTTGTTCATCGGACGTTAGTACAATGAAAGAAAATATAGAGACAACTACTTTTGCAGTAAATGGTTCCGACATATTTTGCGAACTACCTTTCTCATTGCATGAATTCATTTTTGCAAATTGTAGGTTCAGTTACCAATGTGCATCAACTGATGTACATATTTAGGCCGACTTTGGTGTCTACCCTGATTTGAAAATCATCAACTTGCGATGTTCACTACTGAGTTGGAATATCAATCAACCTTATATGGGACACTTTCCAAAACTTAGGTGACGACAGACTAATAGTCCCTTTGGAAGGAGTCATGGGCATGCGTAAATATCGTGCAAAACAAACCCAGGGTGTCTCTCTGAAAAAAAAGCATCCATCGAACGTACGGCTACATGCCCCTTGGTAGCTTTTATGTTTCAATGACGGGCGCACCGATTGTTTTTCAAATTCAACCTAAGAACTTTTATTCACTGTTGTTCACCATATACACGAAGGTTCTGTCTTGAAACTTACTTTTTTTTTCTGGATTCCATCCTGCAGAAACTAGCCCAGACATTCAACTCAACCATGGGCAGTTTCATGGCGTGTTTCTCCGCGGTGATAGTCAACACTATCGTCATGCCCTACTTCTTACTGTTCTTCACCCCCATCGCCATCGCCTATTACTTCTTGCAGAGTTACTTTCTGTCATCCTCCAGGTAAAGACAAAGATGATAAATCTTAACCAAACTAAACACGGGCAATTCATGGAGTTGCTGACCCCATCAATATTGCTAAACATTAGAAATCATTTGAATTAGCAAAATAAGGTGATGAGCTCATTTGCCGTAAGATTTTACTCGATATCACGGAGCTGCCTACCGCAGGGATATATTGGTATCAGAAGGTTGCTAAGCAGAAAGAAGATATGAAATAAATTTTCTTGGTAGTGAAAATGAAATGGAGAGCTGCTTAGTTAGAGACCTTTGCTTGAATGTACTTAGTTTAGCCTTGTCATGTGAGTGAATTTGATTGTGATTGTTTCTTATAGCTGATATTTGCTAACCAAGCCATATATCTTCTTAGCAGTATTTTCTGCTCAGCATCTCCTTGCAATTAGGATAAAGATCAATCTTGACTTTTGCGGACGCTGAAAAAAAATTAATTTTGATACAAAATTCTATGTTGTTTTATATTGTTTATGTTTTATATACATTTATACATTTAATAATTGAAAAGGCTGAGGCAGAATTGCTGGAAGAGATTTGGTGAAACCTTTTGGTTTACGGTACCTCATGGCTTTTTAATGCCTGGGCAACCAGACGATGCAGGCGTAAAGTTACAGCAAGTCCAAGGGCCTCTTCTAAAACATTGAATGTTCTTAATCTAGATTGACAAAACTGTTTTTCCATACTAGGGAAATGCAGCGTCTTGACAACACCAGCAGATCGCCCATATTCGCCTACTTCTCGGAGACCCTGAACGGACTGACCACCATCCGTGCTTACAAGTAGGATTCATTGAAAATTTCGAAATTGCTTCGTGTTTTTAAAACAGCCTCACTTAATCCAAGCTTCTATTGTTTTCTACCATTGTTCTCGTTATATATTTTTTTTTAATGATTTTTGTTTTTCGCTTGCTTGTTTGATTACAAGTTTTCCTTTCAGCTGTTAGATCTGTTCACTGGTCTTCATTCGCTTTTGTTCATTATATTGTTGTAGTTTTGTCTCCAGTTTTGTTTAAAAAAAGGAATGCCCCAGCATCGAATCCCACCGATCTTATGCCACCTTTTTCCCAAAACGTAAATCGTGTTTAATCAAGTCTTCCAATGGAAATGAGATTCACCATTTCTTTCTGATTCTTGGCTCTGGAGAATTTGTTTTAAAGAGGTCTGAAATCAGAGAAACACTTTTTGAAAGCTGATGCATGCGTGCTATGGTCAGTGACTATGCTTGGTTGCAGAACAAAATTGCCTCTGACACTGATTTTGTCTTGCTCCAAAGATATTTCGTCTTTGCGGCTTTCGTCATTCATTCACAGTAACGATTTTCCTTTACGTTACTCTTTTTAGCCCAATCCCTTGTCAGCACCTTCCTCTTTAAATACGAATGTGACTGAACTCCCCCACTCCCCCTGCAAAAAAAGGAAAGAAAAAAACCCACTCACAACTTGTCAGAGCTACTCCTGAGTAATGGGCCATTCAACAGAAATTTTAACGGAAATCAAGAAGGGATACAATATTTACACTGGGAGATGTAGCAAAGTAGAGCAAATGCCTACATGTTTGCTACAGCATGTAAACAAACAATAAGAAAAGAAAAATAAAAACCGCCCAAAAAATATAATTCCACACTCATTGCAGGGTTCATAATTTTCAATCTGATCGTCTTATGATGCCGTCATGTATATAGACATTTAGGGAATTTTGCTAGCTACATTTTGTTACCCCTTTTGCTACCGAAGACTGTTAATCGTCCAAGAAAGACAACAGTTTATAAAAATTGATGCAGTTTGAAAAGATTCAAATTTAAAGAGTAGGGGAAATTGCTAAGCGTTAACACACACGCCCGTAATTGGCCCCTTTCTAACAAAGCGCGGGTATTTCAATCGCGTGCTCCCATCGGTATTCCTTGTCGTACGTTTCATGCAGTGTGACATTGTCACGCAGCAATTTCCACTCGCGTACTCTATAATTTCCAACTTTTCAAACTGCATCATTTTTCACAAACCGTTGCCAATGTTGGAACAATTTACAGACTTTGGGGTATCAAAATGTAGCTAACGACATTCCCCAAAGGTATATATCAATGATGTTATCATAAGACGATCATATTCAAAAAGATGACCCCTCCAATGAGTGTGGACTGTTTTTTTTGCGGTGTTTATATCCATCTCGTCTTTCCTATTAGGAGTCAGAAGCGTTTCTTCAACACCATCATCGAGCGCATCAATAAGAACCAAGTGGCCTACCTGTATCTGCAGACCGCCAACCGATGGCTTGGAGTTCGTCTGGTAAGATAATGGACCGTCCCGATATGGACCGTTCCAGTCATAAGCACCTCCCACTTTTACTTCGTACACATTTCTTTCAGTGCTTTGGATGGAACTCGGACCGAGCTATCGCAGTCACATGACAAAAGGTCTTGATCTGATTGGTCAATGCGCACTGTAGCTCAATAGCGGCCCTTAACTTTTCCGAACATTGTATTGAATATGGCTGTATTTGCACATAAATATATACATCAACTTCGCATTAGTTGTTCAAGTGTTCAAAAGTTTCAAATATTGTAATGTTCGAGCTTTCTTTATAAAATGCAAAACCAGGCACCAAGTCTTCTTTAAGATAAATCAAATCGTTTGTACTGTGAAGTAATCAAGCCTTTAAAATGTTTAGTTAAGTCAATATATTTACAACGTTTAATTTGTCTTAATACATTGTGTAAAAATCCACTTAGAGTCATCAATGTGTAAAACAGCCTTATAACTATAACGATTTTGAAATCGCTATTTTGTTTTCTCAATTAGGATTTCATTGGTTCCCTGATCGTGTTTACTGCCGGTATGACAACCTTAGTTGGTGCCCTGACTCTGGGCTTGGAGCCCAGTCTTGTCGGACTGGCTATCACCTACTCGCTCCAGGTAAATATTCAAAAGTAAATAAAACAAAAATGTCCTGGATGGACATTTTTATGCCTAACGTAAAATGACCAGCCTACATTTATAGAACAGATACCTTTTAAAGGTAGAGTATATCATTTGCAGCTATCCAAAAAGTAACTGACGAAATTATAGTTCAAAAACATAATTGGTTTAAAGATAGTAATGGCATTAAACTACCTGTGAAATGAATCTTTCTGGCATGCTGACATTTTGAAGAAAACAATAGAAGAAGGTCTTTTCCAAACACGCGTCTAAAGATGCATTTTGAAAATGTCCGTCAGTAGTTCGTCCTTCATTCGGCCAAGCCGTGAATGTGTGCGCGCAAGTGTTGACACGACTCGCGCGCAGTTGCTATAATCCGACGGTTCAGTGCTTGACACTGCGAAGCTGCAATCGGCTGAATATACGGGCGCAATTCAAAACATGATTCGGCAAGTTTTGAATGAAAATCGAGATCCTAGAATATTGTTTTCTCGGTATATACAGCATTCACTGAGCTGAAACTTCACCAGGTTAGTTGTAAAGCACTCTTCATTAGATTTTGAGCACTTTTGTTGCTTCAACCGAAAAAAACCCATTAGTAACAAATGATATAGTCAACCCTTTAAATGGTGACTATTTTGAGTAAGGTTTTACCTATTTTAGGCTGAAGTTGAATCGCTGCTTACATTTAGATTTCATTAACTTTGATCTTACAAATGTAGACATTCCCCTTTACACATGAAAACAATTAGACAAGATTAGGTAAGATACTGCCGTTAGTTTTGTGGTAGTTTTTTAAACAGTTATCTGTAAATAATAATCATTCGGAGTTCTCCCGGGACACATTCCTTATGCATGGCAAAACATAGTAAATGGTGCATTCCCACTTACTCGTCATCAAACATGAATTTCTTGGATAAATGCACAATGCAGCACCTGTTGTATGATTGATTTGACTTCTTTTATAGATTGCCGGCTTCCTCAACCTCCTCGTCCGAGGCGTGGCAGACACGGAGATGCAGATGAACTCAGTGGAACGGGTTGCTTTCTACTCCAACGTAGACAATGAGCAGTATGAAGGTAAACATGAAGCACCAGACGCGGTTCTACGGGGGGGGGGGGGGGGGGGGGGGGGGGGGGGCCTGGGGCTGTATCCCCCTCCAAAAATGTGTGTAGCCCCCCCATCAAAAAAATCAGTAAAAAAATGGCAGTAGCCAATTTTAAAAGTTGACGTGCGAATTATCTCGCCCCCCCCCAAAAAAACCCCGTATCCACCGGGACAGGTCCTCAAGGCGCTACATCAATATTACCCCTGCTCATTGGGCCCATGAAACATTCCAAATACCATCTCAGCTCCGTAGGAGTATACAGCTCGATGCAGCCTGTTAGGCGCAAGGACGCTTCACAATAACCATACATATCACAATATCACAATAACACAATAACCATACATGGTATTATAGTGTGCATGATTGTAGGATTTTATCAGCGCTTCTCATTGAAAATGTGGTAAGAGACCCCCCCCTCCACCTATTTAGTTTTGGAGGCCTAAGTGTCCGGAGAAAAAAACCGGTCTACATTTCACCCCTGCTAGCCCCCCCCCCCCCCCCCCCCCCCCCAAAAAAAAAATAAATAAATAAATAAATAAATAAATAAAAAAAAAAAAAAATATATAGGCTATAAAACCGCGCCTGTGAAGCACCTAACATTCGGGTAATTTCTATCAATGTTTTCCTGTCCCTGTTACATCTGACATCTATGACTTTATAATTCTGATGCGCTCCTTATTCCAGTCGTCCTCCACGAGTGATTACGAACACAAAACCAACAAATAAAACAACATTTGAAGTACTTCTTAATGATACTTGAATGGCAAATTACAAAGTACCCAGGTAATAAGGGACAGAAAAAAATACAACAATTTGGATCCTCAATTTATAGTATGACCCATCTATAAATAATAATGCAACATAAACAATTATGCATAATACTGAAAACCCACACAAAAGCAATGATGTATTTCAGTACAGCTTTCCTAACTGTTTTATTCCACAAAAAAAAAACCCACCCCAAAACAAACAACCGAACCACATAACCCCGCGAGGTCGGCACCAAGAATGGAATTGTCAACCAGATAAATACATTGTACTTAATTGGCCGGATGTGCTTAGAAAAGTAAAACAAGAAGTGTATCGATAATATTTGTAGCTCTAAGAAGAACCTACGGAAGAAATGAACTTTCGGGAAAAAATATACACCGCCTGTCGCACGTGACTTTTGTGGTAACTTATAGTGTAGCAACTTCCAACACGTTTTGGGCGAATTCGTCCAAAATGATGTAACATTTTACTAGAATTCATAAACAGAGTTTCCGGTAATTTTTTTCCTGTGGGATGCGGTTGTCTACAATGCACCATCTTTGTGCTTTGCAGAAAACTATGTATAGTCTAATATAAAAATGATACAACAATTTGTCACATTCAAGCCTTTTGTAATTATTGAGCAACACACAGAGAAACAGAACCTATGTTCACAGTGATTGTACAACAAGTTATAATAAATGTTAACAATGAGTATATATGCTTCATGTAAAATTAATATCTGTTCATTACTTTTTTCAGGGAGGGAACCCCCTGACGATTGGCCCAAGAATGGCCGGATTCAGTTCGACCGGGCGTCCGTCCGCTACTCGGCCGATACCGACCCCGTGCTTCGAGCCGTGACGGTGGATATCGCGCCTGGAGAAAAGGTTAGATTTACCGGTCCAATAAGTCTCGATTCATCACTGTTCTCAGCCAAATATAATCCCCTTGGCAAATTTTTGCGAATCAAATTATCTTTCCATAATGATTGGTAATTAAAGAAAACCCGGACAATACTTGCCTACGTTGCTTTCACAATTCAATTCAATTCAATTCAATTAATTTATTTTCATCATGTAAAACATAAAACTCGACTCCTCGTTCTGCTTTGTTAAAACATTTACATGTAGAAAGACACACAAATCGCATAAAAGAGTAACCGAGTAAGAGCAAGGGTAAAGATTACAACCGGGAAAAGGGAACAGTAAGAACTATAGAAAGACTGGAGGAGAACAAAACAGGCAGAAGGGAAAGGGGAAACAGAACTTATGAGAGGTATGGTAGAAATTGGAAAAATAAAAAGGGATGTGTGAGGAGGGCTGGATAAGTACAGGAAATTGGGAGAAATGAAACGTGATAATCTGGCTACACTATAAAATCACATTTACAGCACAGCATAAAAAGGCATTTATCTAATATAAGTCTGATTAAAATATGATATGAAAAGGAACTGTGTAAAAAGGAATGATTGTGTCGTGTTGTATTAGAGTTCGATTCACCTAGCTTTTTTTCGCGTTTCACCCGTACATTGTTATTTTTTAGCACTACACAATATATTTACTTTTGAATGAGACACCAAGCAAAAAAAAATCACCAGCGTTTATTAATGGAATAATTAAATAAAAAGTTCAATTATTTGTTGCCCGGTAATAACTCAGGCCATTTTTTTTGCGTCGTAGGGGCAAAGGCAAGCCAAAATGAAACGTCCAAAAATACGTAAACAAGTAGTTTTCTCGTTGAGATGTTCAATACAAATTGCATATTCGTTCATTAGGGGGACCCCCCCCAAATGTTTTGAAGAGCACAGGTACGGACCTTTAAACAATCCGTAAAATATATCTGGATTTTGCTTGAACGTCCTGAGTGGATTGAGTTAGTGACGATTTTTTTTCGCTGGATCAAACTTTAAAGTTTCAGATTCTGGGTGTACTAATGTCCAGAAATAGTACTTTGATTATATCGCCAAAACAGGAAACAGGACAACAATAAACCTAACTATGAATACATTAATTTGTTTTAGGTTGGAATCTGTGGCCGTACGGGAGCTGGTAAATCTTCCCTGACTCTTGCTCTACTACGTGTCATCGACATATTTGGAGGTATGAGAAACATTGTAATCGTCAATCAGAATTCTTTTTTGGGAGTAAACGGTATTGATGTCTTAATAATCAACCCATATTGTTTTTCATAGTAAAAAAAAACCAACTGTCCCTTGCGGTTTTTGTGCCAAGTAATAATTATAAAATCTTGGGATAAACAGATATGTGTACCAATTTCCTTACTTGTATGTATTATTTTGTCTGTCTATATAGGCCTATATACAGGTAGTTATTATAAAATGTTTGAGATCGTGTTGGTTATCGGCAAATGCGAATGATGTCTTTCAAAAAGAATCTTGTTTTGCAGTATCAACCCTTCTAATTGCATGATATAAGAATGGGTGCCTTAATCATTTATAACAAGAATGTTGAGTTCAAGTTATATTTCCTATGGCATTCATTCAAAGTTCAAACTTGTCCAGGCGCGGACCCAGCCAGCTTGGTTAGGGGTTATTGTACACTATTCTGTAATATAGTGTTAATAATCGTCGGATTTGAACAGCGCCCCCATTGAAGTTATGGTACGAGCCCCCTCCCCCCAAAACTATTGATTTTCGGAGGCCCAGTGTCCTGAGAAAAACAAACAAACAAACAAACAAACGTGTTTACATTTCAACATTTTTGGCTGTTGAACCCACCCCACCCCCTCCCCGCGAAAATTCCTGGATCACCATTTGTCAGAAGTGGAGAGTGTACAGTCAGACGGAAATGAGAGTATTATTATTTCATGTTTTCAGTTTTCTTGATATATTCCTTTTCCTTGCTTTGACCTTCTACCTTTGCTTGAATTTCAACAAACTAGGCCTACATTTATTACACTTGATTACGCCCCGCAGGTCGCATTGTCGTCGACGGTATTGACATCAAATCGGTCCCGCTGAAGACACTCCGAAGCAAGCTGTCCATCATTCCCCAGGATCCCGTGCTGTTTACTGGTACCATCAGGTAATCACCAATTCACATTACGAAACCGAGGATAATATGTAAAGATTGCAGTGTTCAAATATCCTCTTTTTACTCAATGATAGGTTCGCCCGTTACGTCATTTTCATAAAGAGATTTCCTTTTTTGTTTTTGTTTTTTAAATTATAACAACATGTTAATTGCAGTGTTGTAACTATCTGGGCCTCAACAGGATGCCCGTGCCTTTGCGGGTGCCCGGTAAGAAAAAATTGAATTGAACTAAATTATATATATCATTTGCCTTCAGTGGTCCCCCTTGAAAAAAAAAATGATGCACCCCAAGTGGCCCCCCCCCCAAGATTAACCCTAGTTATTAACCCTGGTTAACTAACATCCGTAGTATGTGATTCACGTTGTTTGAGTCATTTATACAGCCTCATCAATCGCTCAAATATATGGAATATCGACCATGGTCGAGGGTTCGAATTAGCATTTGACCTCTGTCTACTTTTCTATATTCCAGTATAGAATGTGGCTGGAGTCTGTATCAATGTTGTACTAACCACTATCATGTTTTTAATTTTTTTTTCATCGACAGGGGAAATTTGGACCCACTTCACGAGAAGACCGATAGTCAGTTGTGGGAATCCCTCGAGATATCTCAGCTCAAAGACGTTGTGGCTGAGTTGGACGGTGGACTGGGTAAGGACTCAAGTTAGAAGAAAGATGGCGATTGAAAGTGGAGCGCGCAACCAAGAGGTTTCAGAGTGGCAAAAGCAGAGAGTTTGAGGCCAACGCATTGGAAAAAAACCAACACAAAAACAGGCCATCGGCCTTTAATAAGGTGTTTTCATTTCTGTTTTGGTCGTACGGTAGGATTTTTTTTGGTGGTCACAGGTTACTTTAGGACAATGAAGGAAGATGTAAACCTCGGGTTTCTGTAGATAATTGTCTTCTTGCTGATGTTTCTTTCTTAATGTTTGGTTCGCCATTCTGTTTTTGATTGTGTATTACAGATGCCCTGGTGACTGAGGGTGGTGAGAATTTCAGCGTTGGTCAGCGGCAGCTGTTCTGTCTGGCTCGTGCCTTCCTGCGCAAGTCCCGCATCCTCATCATGGACGAAGCCACCGCCTCCATCGACTTGGAGACGGTAAGATTTACTACAAGGAAGCCTAGCTGTGCATATAACGATCGTTCTGGTCCAAGACTACAAAATCAAATCGTGGTATAGAGGTATATCAAAACAATAAGGAAACTGTAATCACCATTCAGGCGAAGTCATGTTTCTAGTCCTGAAAAAGAAATGCACGAAATCTCAGTTACTTTAAGCATAGTGTCCAATTTCGTTGAGCTGCTAAGCATTGGTTAGTTCTTTCATCAGCAAAGCAGAAAAAACGGAAAATCAGTCAACAGTATTACACATGACTTTAATTTTGTCTTGTGTCTTATTTGTGCAAAGCAAAAACATTTGTGCACTTTTGCGTATCAGCTCCATCGAAATTGGCCCTGGTCTCTTCCCTCCTTTTGTTTATCTCGTTTACCGATGGCTTACCAATGTGACACTGAGCACAAGTAATGATGTGGCATTGCACTTGGGAAAAACTGATTGAAAGAATAACCAAAATTGAACTGTTGGAGAAAACATAAACATTGGTGATGCAAGCATGGTGTTCCCGACCTTTCTTTGTACATGCAGTTATACAATAGGTTGAGTCTAATTTCCCATTCCGTTTTGCTTGATTTGCAGGACAAGCTACTACAGAAGGTGGTCATCACTGCCTTTGCTGACAGAACCGTCCTGACTATTGCAGTAAGACATTCCGTTTTTATACTTTAATATTTACTGAACGGGAAAGAATTTCAACCAAAAAATAGCCTCACATAGTGTGTGTATAGGAGACGCCGCACCGACATATTGTTCCTTGATTTCTTCGAGCGTTTTGTACACAAATTGTAAACAGTGTTCATGCGTCGGTGAAGGGTAAAAAACCTAATATTGATTTACATCAGCCCGACGAACATTTTATGAAGTGTCAAAAAATGGTTAATTTAAACATGTGAAAACTTAATGAGTAGTTAAGTGTCATCGACGAAAGATTATGCTTCCTTGTTTTGCAATCACGTCGGAAACTAGACAGGATTCCAGTGTTTGATATCAGACCACTGAAAATCTAAGCCATTCGTGTGTTGCCAATTGCAAGTTATAACACATGAATCACAGTTCAATCACAAATCGCCAAATCTCAATCGAGTGCCGATAAGCTGTTCAAACGGTGACAGCCTTATAGTCCGAAGGTTCGATAGTCCGAAGGACCCATTAGTCCGAAAATAGAATAAGGTTAATTAATCCGAAGGCTCGATAGTCCGAATAGAAGATAGGTTCATTTTCGGAAGAACGAACCCCCTCTTATGGGAAATGTGTGCATTCGGATTATCGAACCTTCGGACTAAAGAACCTTCGGACTATCGGGCGGCCCCCGTTCAAACAAATTTGACAAGACTTTGTCGCTGTTCACATCTTGTCTCTTGTGGCCAGACTTGCGATTGACTCTGTTAATGATGTAATAATGAAGAGAGTAAAAATAGTGTTTCTAGTTACAGCATTTTTTCTTCTTTGTCTTCAGCACCGAATCGCCACCATCCTGAACTCCGACAAGATCCTGGTCTTGGACGAGGGCAAGGTGGCCGAGTTCGACTCACCCGACAACCTGATGCAATTGGACGGCAGTCTCTTCGCGTCCTTCGTCAGAGACAAACAATAGAGTGTCGACGAATCTCCCTGTACCCCCGGGGCCGGGGGAGACTTAGGTTGCCGGAAAAGAATCTCAACATTTTCCGGCCGTCGCAAATTTGAAAAAGTGGGAGACACTAGAGGGCGTTTTACATAAACAAAACTTGTACTTACATGTACATAGCCCTTTCAACCCTCTACCACCATTTTCTGCCGTGGAATTTACTTTAGATGCACACTACAATCTTTGTTGCAATACTTCTCTTTTTAGCTGTTTCGGCACGCCAGCCGAAACATCTCTTGTTTAAACTCGCTTTTGGTCGTTGGCCGTTCCACCACCACCACTGCCCTGTTGCTACGCCACCAGAAACAGTTAGAAATGCATACGGTAGTAAGAATGAGCGCGGTTAGAGCTTAGTTGAACAATCGATTTGTACATATTTCACCCATTTCACGGCCATCGAATCAGTTTTTTCGGTTGTTTTGTTTCCTTTCTTTGTTTTTCTTACATTTATATCAGTGTTAAACATATATATTCAAAGTAAAATAAGTATAAAGGAAACTGAAATGCATGTACGTATACAAACTGAAATTGCCAGATATTCCAAAACTTTATATAAAATTGAAAATATTACAAACGTGAAAAAAAGATAAATTTGATTTTGTTTTTAACGGTTGTTTACATAAGGTCCAACATGCTCTTCTGCGGTCTGCAGTTGATTGAATATTTAACCATGTTAACATGAGAATTATTTTGCCGGATTTATTACAATGTAGGTTACAAAAAAAGTGTTGATAATTTTTAAGATATAACGGCTTTGTCCGTAAAATACGCTTAAGGCTGTGACGTCACGAAGTTTAAATTTCACCGAGATTGCTCTGAACCTTAAAGTGCATTTAACAAGTGTCAATTGTAATCAATTATTCATATGCTATTGTGCTGTATATTCCGAGTATGACTAACCGATAGCTTTGGACTCTATGCATGAGTACCCCCTCAACGGTGAGAATGAGGATGAGCGCAAGACCAAAGGACCAGTTCGTGCAAGCTGGTACGCATACATATTAAAGATAAGTTTTGAGTAACGCGTGTGAACCAGCGAAATGTCCTTCGCAGACTCAGCTTCTTTCGATTCACAGCGCGCCCTCCTTCGTCCAATGCATGGAGTCCTTAGAGGTGACGTCACGTTTCTCAGTATTGTTGTGGTAGTTTAGTTTATTAACTCCGCCAAGGAGGTTATGTTTTCATCGGATTTGGTTAGTCTGTTGGTTGGTTGGTTTGTCTGTTAACAAGATAACTAAGAAAGTTATGGACGGAAATGCATAAAAATTTTTTTTTTACAAGTGGTCCTTGGTGCAAGTACAAATCGGTTCGATTTTGGAAGTGATCCGGATCTGGGTCCGGATCCAGGATTTTTTTTTAAAGGATTCTTCACCATTTATGCGAGCATTTCTGTTGGGTGCACTGACAACATGGCGGCGAATTGTTAGCCTTTGCAGAGGTTTGCGCTCTCTGAGTGCTTTGTAGCTTCATCATGTAGTAAAAAAGTTGGAACTTAGAAGTTTCAAAAGGATCCATTCGTACGTTTTAGTTTAATGTAAGTTACTTTGCTATATTTAAAGGAAAAAGCTCAATGTAATACATGTACTTAAGAAGATGCTTATTTGAGTGAATAATTCAACAAAGTAATAAAAAAAGGCATTTCAAGTTAAAGGTAAAGGTTTTGATTTTAGGATATCGATTATACTATAAACGTTTAATTGTTGAATCTCTTTCTTGAAAGAAATCATACTGCAATAACGTTTGCAAAATGCAATGATATTAACAACAATATTTGCTAGGACTATTTGAACCGCATGAGTGTTTTTGTTTTCAAATCGATTTCAAAAGCCGCAGCAAGCTGCTGCCCATATAATTGATTTTTTTGTCACTATTTACATCGACAAACATTTTTTTAAAAGCAAATTACGTCATTAAAAACAGTGTTCAGCACCTGCATCACAGGAATTTATGTAGAAGCTGTTATTAACGTTGAGATTAGTTTTTTCCTGCAATCGTTTACTTAAAATTAACGTTTAATTGACAATTTGTAACTTAGGATGAGGTTTAAATGAAAAGAAAAGTGTCACTGGTTGGAATTAATAGCGTTATCAACAAGATACACTTTTGGATTGTAGTGAGCATTGTCTTATACGCATTTGTCTGTCACTATCAAATGTTAAGAACTAACCTGTTCAGTTTTCAGCTCGTAAGAGTTTGAGGTATAGAATATCACTTAGTGGATGAAAATTCGCAACTTGGGACTTTCAAAATTATGATTCTTTTGGAGACCATACAATTGGTTACAGGTTTGAGTACGCAGTTTTCAAGTAAACAGGCACACAACGCATAATGATAGCCCTAACCTTGTGTTAATGTAATTAGCTTTTAAATACTTAAAATTATAATTTGATCGTTGCTTCGAATAAGGGAAATCAATAAAGAATGTTTAAAAATCACATATTTGTTTTCGTTGTCCCTCTGTGTATATGTCAACGTTTACAATCGCAAGTATATAGTCCTGTTTTATATGCCCATACCTTGCTGAAAAATTCACACAATCAATATCCCCCTTTGGTGCCGAATTGTGGCAGAGATATATTTGAACAACCTTTAAAAAGTACTGTTATCTTTAACCTAAAAAATGTTTTATAAGGTAATGTGTGCGAAGGTTCACGTGGGCCCACATTAAACTGCTGAAATTCGGACTTTGAAAAGTTAGTTTTAAGTACCGCGATACGTAACGTAAATAAATCTGTAACGTATCCTGGTCCGTTACATGTAATGGCTCATAACTTGTATAATGAAACTTTTTGTTTTTTTATTGTGTATTCTTCTGAGATATATTTAGGGTTGAAGCTCCGCGTTTGTTTAATGGTGAGGGGTAACAAATCAGTTATATGAAATGGAGTATTGGGGAACGCTTATGTGAGTTTTCATGGACAACCTCGTCCACAAACATTGGGTTATGAAACATTGTCAAAAATGTGAAGCGATGCGTAATATTCAGTAGAGCTTGTTATTGTCAAAACGTTTGTCAGGTCCTGGTCAGGGTCCTTTTTTTTATTGAAATAGAGGTTACTTCTGTTTCATTTTCGGGAAGGTTGAAAATATTCTAATCCCTTTGAAAATCAAGCTTTGAAAACACTATGTGATAGTTGATATTGTGTAATACCAGGGGCTATTAATCCAGGTCTGGATCAAGAGGGGGGGGGGGGGGATTATAGCTACCAAGAGGGGTTTTTAGCAGTCATTTGCTGTGTTATTCTGCATGATTTTGCTATTTTTGTTTTGCGGCCAAGATGGGGTTCAGACTCCCTAATATCCCGCGTCGGAATAGTGGAATAGGGTTCGTGGCTCACGATCAGAGCTAGAGGGTCAGGCATTTGAATCCAGCTGCTGGCCATATGTTGTGTCCTTTGACAAGCCACTTCACCCCCATTTGCCTTTCTCCACAAGAAGTATAAATGGGGACCGGGATTTGCTGGGCAGTAGCCCAGTTATGGACGGAAATGCATAAAAAACCAAAAGTTTTTACAAGTGGTCCTTGGTACAAGTACAAATCGGTTCTATTTTGGAGGGTGATCCGGATCTGGGTCCGGATCCAGGATTTTTTTAAAAGGATTTTTCACCATTTATGCGAGCATTTCTTTTGGGTGTACTGACAATATGGCGGCGAATTGTTAGCTTTTGCAGAGGTTTGCGCTCTCTGAGTGCTTTGTAGCTTCATCATGTAGTAAAAAAGTTGGAACTTAGAAGTTTCAAAAGGATCCATTCGTACGTTTTAGTTTAATGTAAGTTACTTTGCTATATTTAAAGGAAAAAGCTCAATGTAATACATGTACTTAAGAAGATGCTTATTTGAGTGAATAATTCAACAAAGTAATAAAAAAAGGCATTTCAAGTTAAAGGAAAAGGTTTTGATTTTAGGATATCGATTATACTATAAACGTTTAATTGATGAATCTCTTTCTTGACACAAATCATACTGCAATAACGTTTACAAAATGCAACAATATTAACAAAAACGTTTGCTAGGACTATTTGAACTGCATGAGTGTTTTTGTTTTCAGATCGATTTCAAAAGCCGCAGCAAGCTGCTGCCCATATAATTGACTTTTTGTCACTATTTACATCGACAAACATTTTTTTAAAAGCAAATTACGTCATTAAAAACAGTGTTCAGCACCTGCATCACAGGAATTTATGTAGAAGCTGTTATTAACGTTGAGATTAGTTTTTTCCTGCAATCGTTTACTTAAAATTAACGTTTTATTGACAATTTGTAACTTAGGATGAGGTTTAAATGAAAAGAAAAGTGTCACTGGTTGGAATTAATAGCGTTAACAACAAGATGCACTTTTGGACTGAAGTGAGCATTGTCTTATACGCATTTGTCTGTCACTATCAAATGTTAAGAACTAACCTGTTCAGTTTTCAGCTCGTAAGAGTTTGAGGTATAGAATATCACTTAGTGGATGAAAATACGCAACTTGGGACTTTCAAAATTATGTTTCCTTTTGAGAGCAAACAATTGGTTTCAGCTTTGAGTACGCATTTTTCAAGTAAACAGGCACACAACGCATAATGATAGCCCCAACCTTGTGTTAATGTAATTACCTTTTAAATACTTATTATATATTATATTATAATTTGATCGTTGCTTCGAACAAGGGAAATCAATAAATAATGTTTCAAAATCACATTTTTGTTTTCGTTGTCCCTTTGTGTATTCATTCATTCATTCATTACGGTTTATTACACATCTAAAATATCAAACAGCAATCAAAAACTAACAATGTCTGATTTACAAGTTAAAAACAAATTTATTTACAAAATAAAACAGAAAAAGTTGGCTTACAAACATAGGTCAACGTTTACAATCGCAAGTATATAGTTCTGTTTTATATGCCCATACCTTGCTGAAAAATTCACACAATCAATATCCCCCTTTGTTGCCGAAATGTGGCAGAAACTATATTTGAACAACCTTTAATAAGTACTGTTATCTTTGACCTAAAAAATGTTTTATAAGGTAATGTGTGCGAAGGTTCACGTGGGCCCACAATAAACTGATGAAATTCGGACTTTGAAAGTTAGTTATAAGTACCGCGATATGTTTTTTTTTATTGTGTATTCTTCTGCTATATATTTAGGGTTGAAGTTCCGCGTTTGTATAATGGTGAGGGGTAACGATGAATTTATATTAAATAGAGTATTGGGGAATGCAGATGGAAGTTTCAGGGACATCCACAAACATTGGGTAATGAAACATTGTCAAAAATGTGAAGCGATGCGTAATATTCAGTAGAGCTTGTTATTGTTAAAACATTTGTCAGGTCCTGGTCAGGGTCCTTTTTATAAAATTAAAATAGAGGTTTCTTTCTGTTTCATTTTGGGGAAGGTTCAAAATATTCTAATCCCTTTGAAAATCAAGCTTTGAAAACACTATGTGGTAGTTAATATTGTGTAATAGGGGCTATTAATCCAGGTCTGGATCAAGAGGGGGGGGGGGATTATAGCTACCAAGAGGGGTTTTTAGCAGTCATTTGCTGTGTTATTCTGCATGATTTTGCTATTTTTGTTTTGCGGCCAAGATGGGGTTCAGACTCCCTAATATCCCGCGTCGGAATAGTGGAATAGGGTTCGTGGCTCACGATCAGAGCTAGAGGGTCAGGCATTTGAATCCAGCTGCTGCAGTGGCGTAACCAGACTTTTCAGTCTGGGGGGGCACAGGGGGGGCACCAGCATTTGATGGGGGGCACTTAAGTGGATACGGATCGCCGTCCTGGGGGAGGGGTCTAAGGGGAGGGGGTGGAAAATTTTCGCATACGGAGGATGGGCTAGATGCAAAATGGTGCCACATTTGCAGCTCATTTGAAGAAAATACGAATTACTGTGCTTCTTTGTCCTTATGAAAAACCAACTCAGATGATGGGAGTTGAATATAACAAAATATATATATATTTTTTTACCAACCCAAATCTCAGATGGAGGGGCACTCGGGGGGGGGGGGGCACTAGGTTTTCCAGGGGGGGCACGTGCCCCCCCCCTGGCCCCCCCCCTTGGCGACGCCACTGAGCTGCTGGCCATATGTTGTGTCCTTTGACAAGCCACTTCACCCCCATTTGCCTTTCTCCACAAGAAGTATAAATGGGACCGGGATTTGCTGGGCAGTAGCCTGCGGTGGAGTGGCATCCCAGCCAGGGGGACACAACTATTCTCAGTCGTTTCATGCAAAGGAAACCAGAGCTAAACGAAATCCTGATGGGCCACATTGGCTCCCCACAGGCTACTCCGCCGTACATCCGCCATTGGATAACGTGGATAAAGTTGGGGGAGGGGCCAATGAGGTTCAAACGTCCACACAGACTTCCAGCCATAGCCCGGTCTGTTAATTGACTTTAATATGAGTTCACCACTCCTCTGTCAAGTCTGCAAGTTGGCAAAAAGGGCCCACAGACATTTCCTACGCTATTTTAAAAAGGTGGTTAATTCTTTTGCGACCGACCGCCACCTGTAAATGCTACCCTCAAAGCCTACATTTCTTTCAAAGGTTATTTGTGGAAGTTACACAACTTTTTGTGTGTAATCTACGGGTCAGCTTGTCATGTGAACCCACGCACCATTGTTTCCCGACACTTGAACGTCAAACCTGTATACCGAAGTCCAAGGTTGTTTTGTCCTTCGACGTGGAGGATAGGACCACACAGACGCAAACCAAATGCTCAAGCTACCACAGAATGCTGGGCTGCACTATCAGTAATGCATACGTTTCAGTAGTTCAAGCCAAATTGAAACTACCTGAATAGAAGTAACCACTCTGTGCTCCCTACTCGTACTACAGTCACATGCTTTGGTAAGATTTTTTTTGCATAGCCTGCAGTGATACTTGTATTCTCTGTTAATCGTTTTGTTAGAGATAATCCTTCTGAACGAAGGCATAATTTTGAAGGTTTCTTTTGCAGGTTTAGAAATGTTACCTTGGTCCAGACAAAATGTAAGATGTCTTCAGTTATATTTGCATTGTGTATCACACACATTTTCCTCTTGTTTCTCTGTACTTGATTTAATCTCGAAACCAAAATTTGTTGTCGAAATTCATTGTATATTTTTTTTAAAATATATTGCAGAGACAGAAAAATGCAATATAAAAGTTGTATTTTGAAGTCATCATATTTTACAATGTGCAATGATTGCTAAACTTGTGCCAATTGCTCTGTTGCAGCAATACAGGGTTATTTTTGAGAACCTATAGGTGTCATGAAACTTTGTTCGCTAGTTGCACTTTATATACTGAGATAATTCAAAGATCTGTTGATATTTTTATTGACAAGGTAGTCTGGCATTTGGCATTGCTTCTACATCATTCATCACCTATCTGTCGAAACTGTTTTCTGCAACTGCACCGCCTTTTGTGTGTTCATAAAAAAAGCTTTTTTATAGAGAACGAACTTCATGTTTGATTTAGAATAAGTATTTAACAGTGTGTCAAATGGTTTTCTCCACATCTCTTTGTAATTTACATAAGCAGAGCCTTTACTGAGTAATCCTGCACTGTAAAACCCACCTGTCGGTCATAATGTAGGTCCGGAGACAGATAAAAAATTCTCCCAAATTCTTCAGGAAACATCAAAGACTGACATTGACGCTGTTCTTTTACGCCTCCTCGCCCCGCCTCGCCGGTTCTTGAGTGTAATGAATTCCAACGTTTGGAATGTTAGACCACGTATGAGATAATTATCTTAGTTTTATTATTAGAATGATGCTACTTTGCCACTTATTATACATCATTTCATTATTTTGATATCTGTTTCAAGCTGAACAAAGTATGGATGAGAAGTGGGAGTGGTTCTGCGGAGTAAACTCCTCGTACATCGAAGAGCCGTTGGATTGGTACGACGACGTACGCAACAACACGTGTTTTGTGGACGGTCTGGTAACCATCCCTCACGCCGCTTTCCTCCTCCTATCATCGCTCATTCTTCTCGTCTTAGGATGCTGCACCAGCTACCGCCGAGTCCACACCAAATATCTCTTAGTCTATCCGGGCCACAGCCTGAGATGGCTGGTATCCGTCCTCCTTCTTGTCATGATTATTGCCTCCATCGGTGAAGGCATCATGACGGATGAGACCTACCAGGCCTGGAAGCAGCCCACCCAGCCTCATCTCTACATTCACAGCATTGTGGCCTTCGTAGCTGTTGGTGTTTCGTTGATTTACTACCATCACATGGAGCTATGGCAAGTACCGGCCATGTCTGGTGTGCTGCTGGTTTACTGGCTGTTCTCACTTTTCAATGAAGTCCTCCGTATCTTGAGTTTGGAGTATCAGCATGAAGTCGACGTTCACATCGTCATCTTTGATGTCACCCTCATCAAACTTGTCGGCTATATCGTCTTGATACTAATCGAGGCTAACGTCATCAGAACAAAGGTAAGATATTGAAAAGATTATACAGTGTTTAGGGATAAACTGTTCGCGTGAACAAAATCAGTGTCGAAGAGCTCCAAGAAGCTTTTTCTTCTTCAAGTGAAACATTACACCTAGCTTTTAGGCTTTAAAACATTTGGTTGTATTGTATATTGCAGTTTGACGACTGAACAAAATATTCCCGCCCATTTATTTTAAAAGAGTGACATTTTGAAGAAACTTTGTATCGGTGATTGAACGACTACGTTTGTGACCAATTTGAAATCGTACATGAAACGGCCGTTGAAGAAGCTGTTGTCATCCTCGTCCAAGGAGATAATAACACTTGAAACATTGCATAGTATACTGCATGGCAACTACTCAGGCAATGTTTATCGAGCCGGTAATGATAAAGTGCAAGATATTGCGGAGCTGCGCAACAAAATTTGTTGTAAAATCTTAGTCATTGAAACCGTCTGAAAAAATTGTGCTGCGAAAACTGCCTCTCTTGCAACTCTTGTTTCGCTTGCTTTTCCCGAAGCTTTTCGGATGCTGTGCCATTACGGCTCCCTTACCAGAGGAACTGAAGAAACCCGACATGCTGTTCATGCACTACTACGTCAGTCTGTTCTCCTCACTGGCCTTCTGGTGGGTGAACTGGCTCCTGAACTTGGGCTACAAGAAGCACCTGGAACTGAGCGACCTGGGCGTGGTACCAGACAAACACGAGGCCAGGTTCAACCACGAAAGGTTCCGGAAAGCCTACAGGGAAGAAATGGTATGTGCGTGGGGCTATTACGGGTACCGTAGTCTAGGCTTTTTGGTATTTAGACAATTATAGCAAAGCACTTTTTTGTACAGGCATGTGCAAACACGTGACGACCCATAGCCATACGGAAAGGTATGGTCAAAATTGGATTGTAATCATGTTTGTTATAGTTCATCCAAATTCTGGAATACCATAAATGTACCTCTGTTTATAAGAAAGATTCTAGCTATACAACAAATATGGTCACCCAAACTGAGGGGTTTACCTCACTAAATAGGCCAAATATCCCCCGCCGAGCTCACGAATTAAAGTTATACACTCAAATATTACACAGTTCTGAGGGTCATGGAATTGAGATATTTGGCAACTTATGCATGGCCTGCACGTATGGCCTGGACTTGGGGCTTCCAATTCATTCTTTATTCTGAGCATTTTGGACTCGCTTGGGTCCTAAATTGGCGCTATTTAGCTATTTAGCCATCTTTCAAAATGGCTTCTTTTCGAGTTTGGGAAAAATCGTTTATTTAGGGTTGGTGTTCCTTGGGTGAGAATTTCTCCAAAAAGTCATTGGTCAACCCACCAAAATTCGAAAATAAAATAAAAGATGACATGTTGATCATAATTTGTGTGCAGCCTGAACACCTGTTAGAATTCTGAGTAGTTTAAAAAGAATTTGAACCATTGGGGTTTAGCACGGGTGTCTATGGGACTGTTATACTGGGGTGGACCCTGAGGAGGTCGAGTATAATGTGGCCTTCGTGTACCTACAAGTTGATGAAGTTTCAAGCGATTAGGTGGTTTTGAAGAATGAAGCTTGAAACTAGACAGCCAAGCACTTTTGCCTTTTTTTTTTAACTATTGGTATAGATGTGAGTGTTATTACAAAGAATCTCCAAAGGGACACTGATTTAAGCTCGAATGCGAGTGCAGATCCTTTTGAAAACTTTTGAACACTTTTATATATCCGGGCCGTGTCAACTGCTTATCCAAAAAAGCTTAAATTTCTCAGCAAACATATACATTTTTCAGCAAACCTTGGAATATTGGATTTGTTTGACATTTACGTCAATTTAGTCAATATACATAATAGAGGTCCTGAATACAACACTGCCTGTTGGTCATTCCAAACTAGATTTGATAAAAATTACAATTTAATTTCTCAAAAATAATAAGCAAGTCTTCACCGAAAATTGCTGCTTCTTTCTGCATGGCAAATTAAATTTGGGGACTGCACTGGACAACATTAATAGTTACAGGTTTGTATACAGCGATTAGGTGATTGTGATGAGAAGCATTCTTAAACTGTCCAAAACAGTAATCAGGAGATTTCAAATGAATATTAAAGGGGGAAAAAACTGATTTCAAACCGTAAACAAAATTTCGGCAGGTGAAAGCTGAGAGCAAAGGTAAGAAGGCGTCCCTGTACAAGGTATACGTGAAGGTCTACGGACGGCGGCTCGTAGGCGCGGCGGTGCTGAAACTCATCGGCGAGATGTTCTTCTTCATCAACCCACTGGCCGTCGGGGCGCTGACGGCCTACGTCACTAAACTCCAGTATCCACCGGAAGAGACGCAAGTAAGTCCGAGTTTGAAAAGGTCACTGGGATCAGTTGCAGCTACCAATAACAATGAACCACCAAATTAAATTCAAATTTTGCGAATAATGCCCCATTTGCTCAGGATCGAATTGTTAAAAAACACACGCATGTTTTCAAAGTTTGTCCGAACTACAATTCCTATATTTATAGCTGTTGATAGTAAAATCAGTTTAAAAAAATCGTCTTAAAAATGATCTTTATTGCTTTGAAAAGGCAATAAAGATCAAGCTCTTGAGGCTAGATGCATTGAAGGCGATTTCTTAGACGCTGGCATAGACCACGTCAGGAATTGACAAAGTAGCATGTTAAGGTCACGTGACACTGCCTTTTGATACAGAATGAACCTTAGCAAAACCCGAAGTTCCCAATGACAATAACGCTAGGGCCAGCTTATAATGTATAAATATGCGTAGATTTTAGCATCACTACTAGTCAACAAAACAAACGACACTGGTAATGATCAAGATTTGTTCACTGACCCAAAATGAAGTTTAGGTTTTCTTTTAACAGACCGCAGCACCACATCACATCAAAGTGGAGGAGTACTTCGAGAATGGTTTCGTGCTGGTCGTAGTCATGTTCCTGGCTTCCATGGTCAACTTCATCTGTTTGCAGACGCACTTTTACATCGCCATCATCGAGGGTCTCAACGTGCGAGCTGCTATCCAGGTTCTTTGCTTTAGTAGTTGGTCATAAACAATAGGAAAAGTAGCAATTTACAATACCCAAACGACACAAAGAATGGGACAAAGATCAAGAACAGACCATCTGTCTTGAAGGTTGACACAAGAAATTGACAGATTTGGTTGAGGTAGATGGAATGCTTTTCTGCCCGCGTCCGAATTCGGAAGCTGTCGCTCTATTTTGAAAAAAAAAAGTCGGCAAACATTTTTTTCAAAATGGTGGTCGGAGCAGATTGAACGGCTGTTTTGTAACCAATTTGAAATCGTATCGTACATGAAACGGCCGTTGTAGAAGTTGTTATCATCCTCGTCTAAGACTTTTATAATATATGAAATATTGCATAGTATATCGCATGGCAACTACTCATACAATGTTCAATTATGGTAAAGTGCGAGATATGGCGGAGCTGCGCAACCAAATTTTGTGTGTGAAATCTTAGTTTTGATGCGAAGACTGCCTCTGTTGTAACTCTTGGCGGTGCGCTTTATGTGAATCCAATTCAAAATATTTCAATATATTTCAAAATCCAGACAATGGTGTACGAGAAATCGCTGCGCCTGTCCACTGTGGCTACAACGGGAGGCAAGATGAACATGGGCCAGATCACCAACCACATGTCGACCGATCCCAACGCCATACAGTTCATGTTTCAGATGTTTAACAACCTGTGGGCTATCCCAGTGCAGGTAAATGCTTTCATACAGTTTTCCTCCAAAATCTGTTCTGTTCTGTTGTATTGGCCTATATCATTTGTATATCATTATCATTTGCATTCCGGCGGTCATCGTTGTTTTTGGTATTATTTAAGTAAGTGAATACAGATACACAATAGGCTTAATACTTATGCAAATCACCAGTTGTAATTAGTTGTAATACAAAAGATCCTTCATGAATAATTCACGTTTGCGGTTGATCATTTCACACTCTTGTGGCCAATCAAAGTCCATTTATTAAGCATGCAGCTAAATACGGCATACTTTATGTCCTAGCCGTGAACTAAGACATGATTTATGTCCAGATGGGTTACCCTGCTGTGATAGGTGCATCGGCACATCATGCATTAACTTTTAATGAGCCAAATTCAGATTATTAAGCGCTTAACAACGTTCGTTAATTAATCACGTGCGAACGTAACTTATGAATAATTCAACTCCTGTATATTACGCGCAGCTGACCGTGAACCTGGTGCTGCTCTACGTCCAGATGGGCTACCCTGCTCTGATTGGTGCATCGCTCTTCCTCGTGTTGAGTCCGGTCCAGTTTAAGATCGCCGCTCTGATCGGCAAGCAACAGAAGAAACTCTTGGTAAACGAAGAGAAAAAAATCAACATTTTGATCACAAAACTAGCGGTTACAACTAGATTCGAAAGTGTGATTGGATCCCGGGAAATAGGTCTTACAGAAATTTGTATTGCGCTTTTGTTGGAGACAGCATTCAATGTAAATAAGCTTTTAAAACTTTTTTTGCGTTATCCTTGCTTTTTCCACTGTATGAGGAATTCCTATGTTTTATTCTTATTTTTATACGATTTCAGATTTATTTTGTTGTGTTTTGTTAAATTTTAAATTATATTAAATCTGCATCATCATTGTGTGGAAATTGCGAACAAATCGAATCGAATCAAATCGAATCAAATCGAATCAAATCGAATCGAATCGAATCGATTTTGCTTATTTCGATATATCACACAGAATTTTGCAAAAACTATATGTACAAAAATTGGAGGGTCCAAAAAACCCTCAAATGCTCCTCCTTTGAAAATAAAACTTCAACGTAAGGACGGTTTTCCTGGCACAAAAATTAAGACAATTGAGTAAGAATCAAAATATGATCTGCAGGTTTCATTTGTAACTATTACCTATTTCAGCAATGCTCCGACGAACGCCTAAAGAAGACCAATGAGTTACTGCAAGGGATCAAGCTGCTGAAGCTGTACGCCTGGGAAGGACTGTACTGCAAGGCCATTGAAGTCATCAGGGGAAACGAACTCAGACGGTTGCTCAATATCAACATGGGCTTTGTATCCACCAGTAAGATTGAACTATGATTTATCTATTAATTGAGTTATTTTCTAAGACAAGTCCTCTTTATACGGAGGGCCCACATGTATGCCTACACACAGAATGTAGCTGAAAAACATTTTGTTACTCATATTAATTAGTTAAAATTCACATCCGTTTTTTTTTCTTTCAGTCCTTCTGACGTTGTCTACGCCCGTATTTGTCACAATTGTGGTAAGTGAATTTTTTTCGCTTAACCAAACCAACCAACCAATCCAAAGTTTATTTTATTCACGTCTTTTTGTCGTGCTGGTGGTGACTCAAAATTCTGAAATGGTTTCCTTTTTCTGTTTCATTTGGTTGTTTTCTTTGCCGTAATTCATCTTGTCATTATGATGTGATATTTCCCTTTTTATTACGTTTTATGAAAGCCATAGTCGGTTGTTCTTGCAGTGTTGAGCTTGAATCTGCACATTCTCTTCGTTGTTTGGTGGGAATTCCTCAATGACTTGCTGTCATGTACTGAAACCACAATGAATTCTGAAGGAATCTACCAACCGTTTCTACTGAAGTAGCTGTAACACTGAGCTTTATGTCTAAAATGACAATATCGTTTTGCTCATGAATATAATAATTTTCATTAGAATAAAAAAAAGGCATCAAAACATCCTATAAAATGGCAGTATGAAGACACAAAGGTGCCTTTTCAAAGAGTTCTTTAAAAGAATTATACTGCATGCACCCGTTCAAGCATAGCTTGCCTAAAAAGAATTTTTGCTTCATTTTCGATTCTTATCTTAATCCAGGGTTTCGGAACCTACACCGCCCTAACCGGTGACAAATTGACCCCGGAAGTGACCTTCTCGGCCCTGTCCCTCTTCAACATGCTGACCATGCCGCTAATGATGCTCCCAATGAGCCTGCTGATGTTCATCAATGGCGTCGTCAGCACCAACCGAGTCCAGCAGTTTTTGGCGGGTCCCGAGGTGGAAGGTGAAGACGATCAACTGGAAAACGGCGCCGGAAAACCGCAAGTAGGGCTGTTACGTATTTTCAGTTAAGCACTTTTAAGCAACCGACAATAGGGAGGTACAGTTGGAAAAAAACAACAACACATGCTATAGAGCGACCTTTCATAATTTGTAATGGATTATGGAAAGCCATTTGACTTAATACTAGAAGTTGCAGTTGTGATTCAATGCATTCGTCAGAAAGAAGTAGGCCTATCTGTGAGTTTTTTGGTACGCAACAAAGCGCCATGATATTATCTATACAAAATATATTTGTGTGTCCACTTCATAAGAAGGGTTCCAATATAGTATTCAAATTTGATATTACTGCCTCTTTAACATTTTTTCCCTATAGGATTCCTCGCATTACAGTTCGGGCCCATTTAGCTTTTTTGGTTTTTGTAGTGCAATTTGTTAGTATGCATTTTTCATGCCATTTCTTGCTGCATTACAATTGTATGTATGTGTGTCGCTTTCTTTGGGACTATACAGTAAATCGTTATGCATAAATAGTTTAAGTAATCAACATCATTAGGTTCAATTTTTCATACTCCATACATTACAAAATCCTTTAACCAATAAAGTGAACGCTTCAAATGACATCCGATGAACATTTGCCTTAAATATTGAAGGTATGGAGATAGAGTAAAACTCTGAGCTCATGAAGAGGCGTATATATCTACAAAAAATCCTAATGTAGAGTTATTTCCAAAAGTATGGAACTTAAAAAAGAAATTGGAGCCAATGTTTTCATGTTTTAGAGGTGTGGCTCACTTTCTAAATATATTTATTAGGTTGATACGGCAGTAAGATACCGGAAGCCAGACCTCGTGATGATCCCCAGCAGCGCCAGCGAGTTGGAGGATGAGAAACCGGGCACGGAAAGGTCGAGTTTGCTCAGTACAGACGCCAAGGAACGGAAAGCGGCTAGAGGCAGCAGGGAGCCCAAGTACGGATCGGCCGCCCATCAGGCAAAGCCGTCTCAGAACGGATCGAGCAGCAGGAGACTGCCACATGGTGTTGCGATCAAGGTACATGTAGTTGCGTTAAAATGACGATGTCTTAAGCGGATAAATTCGGATAGTGGCCTATTATAGGATGGTCCAAGGTATTGTTAAAGTGCTTTATTCTGCATAATCTTAGAGTTTTCACGCTTGTATTATAGCAAATGTGTGCAAAACGTTAGAAGTGCACATTTTGAATAATTGAACATTATATAGGGATCACTAATGCCGTAAATTTTTCAAACGTTTGACGTGAAATCCGAATGTTTTTCCCCCAAACTATTTCAAAGGCATAATATATCTGAGTTTTGTTTTTCACTGAAGCATCTTTTCTATACGGCTATTTCTTCAAGCAGCACTGATTTTCAAAATGTGGACAGTGAAATGATATGCCTACACTCAAGGCGCAGTGAAAGGCTAAACGTAATATCAAAATTAACACCTAAAGTTATATACGAAAGGTAATAATGATAGCTCTAAGAAATGCATAAAGATAAATATAGTTTCAATACTGGTGTAATGTGAAATTTGGACTCTATGAAACACGGACTTATTGACTGCGGTGCGCATGCCTCAGTGGACAGAATTAGAACAGGGACAAGTTACGGGTGAGAGTTGTGGTAAAAGAGACCACATTTCACAGGAGTAAAAATTCATACAACAACTCTTCGTGACTCCTCTGTTAGCCTTATGGCACCCAAAACCCGCATAAAGGTACTGATACAAATGCATATATTCCAGTTTTCCTAATTGATTTTCAATACTGATTTATCTGTTGAAGATTTCCAATGGCAGTTTTCTGTGGGATCCCGATTCCGGTACGACGATATTGTCGGATATCAATGTGGAGATACCGGAAGGTAGGACTTGAATCTCTCAAAACTCAGATTGTAAAGTCACTCAACAGTCTTCACCAAGAAATTCTGTTTATCGAAACGAAATCGCCTGGGATATGGATAAATATTATTTGAATAACTGTTTATAATAATCGTTCCTGAAAAGCCCCAGATAGTTGTTTCAAAACTCGGTTTTGCTAAGCGCACGGATGCTGTTGATTCTAAAAGCCTTTCAGTAGTGGCGATGTCAAACGAAATAGATCACAAATTGTAATCATCAAGGTGTTATTAATCTGCAGGAAAACTGACGATTGTCACAGGACAAGTTGGCAGCGGGAAATCATCTTTGCTGTCCGCCATCTTGGGAGAAATGACGACTGTATCTGGAACGGTCCAGGTCAAGTAAGCACTCTTCCTGACCGTACTTTGTTTTGAACTTTGAAGATTTTTTTGTATCTTGTGATGATTTGGCAGTACCAATTTACCTTTCATCTTTGATGATTGAGGCGACTTTATCATTTTTTTGTATGACAGGGATAGGAATCAGATAGCCCTAGCCGCTCAGAAACCCTGGCTACTGAACGGCTCGCTTCAAGACAATGTTCTCTTCTCGCTGCCTTTGGAGGCCAAGAGGTAGGGCAGCCATTATCCCAATTGGTATGAGAACAATGGGGCATCCACCAACCATAACTGATTGAAACATGCACACACCACCCAGCGTTGATTAAACCCACACAAAATATTTTGAGATTTCATTATAGACATGTCACACGAGTGGTTATGGGCACTTACGGGAGACGGTTATCAACAGGCAAAAATCTAAATCCGGGGCCATGCTGTTTGTGAAAATTACAAAATGTTTAAAAGAACAGCTACATTTTACAAGCTCACGAAAATCAAGGAAAAGGAAGAAACATCGGTTAATCTCTCTGGGCTAGTGCGGTGTATTTAACATGCTATAATAACCTAGAATACTACGTCTTGAACTGAGGTTCGTTTGCTGAACTCAATTAGCTCAATTAGCTCCGACCTCTGCCAGTTAAACCTCACGTGATGACTCCCAGTATAGCAAAATTGCAATGTGCTCATTGGAACCAACCTCAACAAGTCGTACATTAAACCTCAAGACAATGAACCTCAGCTGTGCTGACAAACAGTGAGATCCATAGCAGTAAATAACAGAAACTCAATTACTATAAGTTCAGAGGAGCCAACCTCAGAAAATGTAAGTTCCCATTGCCGCCAAAGTAACAATGGGTTTAATCACACCTGTGTTAAAATCCTACAAGATTATTATACTCAAATCCTGATAATCTATTGAAACCACTGAATAAATTATTAAGTGACACTAATGCAGGTATAGGCGCGTCATAGACGCTTGCTGCTTGAAGCCGGACATTGACATCTTACCTGCCGGTGATCAGACAGAGATTGGGGAGAAAGGGATCAACCTGAGCGGTGGACAGAAGCAACGAGTCAGCGTGGCCAGAGCCATGTACTCTGAAAGGGATATCATCATAATGGTAGGCTATAACTTCATCTTAGATTTGTAGCAGAGGTGGTGGCAAGTATTCACGAGCCAGAACAAGCCATTACAAGTATCAAAATCAAATAGTATTGTAGTCGAGGTGCTTGTGATTGATCATATGTCATCACAAGTCCCTCTTACCTGCTGGCGATAAGTCTCAAAGTCAAATAATATTGTATTTGAGGTGCTTCTGATCGATCATAAGTCATTACAAGTCCATTAAAAAATCTCGAAGTCAAAAAGTGTTGTATTCAATGTGCTTGTGATTGCTCACAAGTCATCACAAGTCTCAAAATGTGATCGAGGTGTTTGTGATTAATCGTAGTCCATCACAAGTCCATCGCAAGTCTAAAAGTCAAGCAGCATTGCATTTGAGTTGCTTGCCATCGATCACAAATCAACACAAGTCCATCACAAGTCTTAAAGTCAAAAAGTGTTGTGATCCAGGTGCTTGTGATCGATCACAATTTATTAAAAGTCTATCATAAGTCTCAAATCAAATAGTGTTGTAGACGGGGTGATGCTTGTGATGGATCAAAGGTAAGTTAAGACCATTACAAGTTTATCAAAAGTCATCCAGCCCCAAGTCAAACCACAAGCGGATTCTTGCAGAGTCTTTTCTGTGCCGTTGCTCTTCCCCTACATACCTGGTTCTTGTGACTGATTTAAGACTGGACCCGGATTTACTTGACTTTATAGTCTCGACTGCAACTTTGGCTTGTCATAAGCCAGTCTGAGATTTTTAACCAATATAAGTCATATCTTTTCAGCAAGTGAGGGCGCTGTATAAACGACGCCATTTTCTGGGTACAATCTAAATAAAAAATGAAACAATTTATTACTTTTACTCCAATCTCAATTTTAAATATTGTTAAAATAAAATTGATGTTGAATTACAGTAACTTCAATTGACGTAAAATACATGTTTATTCCCTGAAAAGATTGCGTCGTTACCAGTGCTCCCATTTGATCAAACTGTGATCTAATGGTATTTCTATTTGTTCTCACTTTCAGGATGATCCATTGTCTGCTCTTGACGTCCACGTAGGGAGTCATCTATTGAAAGAAGGCATCATGAAACTCCTGGTCAACCACCGACAGACCGTGTTGTTGGTGACTCATCAGCTGCAGTATCTCAACAGGGCTGATATGGTAGGTTAATACCGACTCAAGGCTGGAAGCAACAGCCGTTTCATCATCGAGGTAGTTTAGACTTTGGTATTAGAATAAATGTCACAAATGCAAAAAATATCCTTGTATTACCAAGAAGACGATAGTTGTTGGCCAAGCAAAGGACATGTACGATGTTCTCATGCATGCATGCTACCTGCAAACATGCAGAGTTGTATGAATCGTGACTCGGGCTCGGACTCGGACCGAGTCCGGATTGAGTCCCATTTTCCGTGACTCGGACTCGGACTCGAGTCAGGATGACACATGATGCAGACTCCGACTCGACCTGCCTGAATCGGGACTCTACCAAAATCACAATTTAATTACAGTACAAATACAACTTATTTGAAGACGACCCTTTAACGAGCAGGCGAGTCAGTGCGTTGCAGGAGACACATCTAATTTCTTTACATACACAGCGCGTGCGGCTCATTTTTTTCTCTCCGATAGTACTGAACTGTGACTCGTTACTAGTACTCCGACTCGACCTTTGTGACTCGTGACTCGGACCCGGACTCGGACTAGATGTTTGGTGTGACTCAAATACAAGTCTACCAAAAATGTCATGCTTACTTGCTAACTTGCTTACCGATTTTCTTAAAGCAAGAACCTCACACATGAGATGAGTAGAGGTTTGAAGATGTGTACGTTAATGCCAATCTTTTGTGATGATATGATATCCTCCGGAATAACCGTTTGTAAGAGTTTCTTGATATTTCGGGCAGGATATTCTACGGAAAATGCATTCAGAAAGCAACACCAAGTCTTTACACAAGAGACCAATATTCTCATTACGTCATCCGCAAACCTTAATTTGGTATTCTTTCCGTAATGTAGATAGTATCTTTTTTGACAGATTATCGAGATGAAAAACGGCAAGATAGCTGCCATGGGGACATTGGATGACATTATAGCCGCGGACCCGGAGATGTACAGCGAGTACAACAAGGCCGTCAAGGCCGTCAGCGAGTCCGAGGCCGAGGCAGAGCTGTCTGGGTACGAGTCCGAGGCCACACGGGAGGAACGACTGCGTCTCCAACAGCAAGTGAAGACAGCGGTCCTAAAAAAGCAGCCGTCCGTAACAGGTAAGGCACGGAGGTGGTGGTATGGCTGGTCTGGATTGGCTTTCACAAGGAATTGCTAGACACTGGGTAAGTTTTGGGCACTCGGCCTTCAAACGCTCCATCTGGCAGCCCTCACTGTCAACACTGACTCGATTGAGAACTCGGATAAATTTTGTTTAACTTATAATTTTGAATAAGGCGCTCAGGAGAGCTGCTGTTGGCGCACGTTCGAGTAACAAAAGAAAGAGTAACGTCTGTCACAAGCCGATGTGGCCCATCAGGCCGACGTTTATCTCCGGTTTCAGTAGCATGAAACGAATGAGAATATTTCTAATCCTCCTGAATGGGAGGCGAGTCCATCGCAGGTTACTTCCCAGCTAATGCCGGTACCCATTTATACTCCTGGGTGGAGAGAGGCAAGTGGGGTGAAGTGGCCTGCCCAAGGACACAACATATGACCAACAGGTGGATTCGAACCCCTGACCCTCTGATCATGAGTCACGATTCCATACCACTAGACCACACTCCCCACATTCGAGTACCCGTGAAAAGTCAATATAGGTTGATCCAGTGTTGTAGTGGAGGTCAGCAGTCCATCAAAAATCAATACCAAGACAGCAAGTCGCAAATAAGTATTTACTTTCTTTGAGTTTAGGCACTCTCCTGAAGACGGTCAGAGCATATCGACCGGAACGTCGAGTTTATTCCTCTGGTTCTTTTCAGAACCATTCTCTTAGTTGAGAAAATTATTCGCACATGGTGTTTCCGCAAACCTTTCATTATTAAGTCTCAAATCAATTTACAAGTTATTCAGATGAATTTTGAAAAGCCAGTCACAAGTCTTCCAATCCAATTTCTTCCCTATTGCTCATCCCTGTAATACACGCAGCCAAAGAAGAAGTTTCTCCCTTCCAATATTTTTTTGTCTAACTCAAAAACTAATGTGCCCTCTCGCTCAAATAATGACTAATCAGTACACAAGTTCAAGTACAGACATTCCTCAGCAATCCAGCCATACTCTTTGTTTGGCCCAAAACAGTGATAATGTGTACGAATGTATGCAATTTGTTACAAATCATACCGGAAACGATTGCACTTTTGTAAACGTGCAAGTTGTGGTTCACACTCACCTTGCACGTATACAAAAGTGCAACTTTTTTTCCCCAGTACTATTTATAATAAATTGCATAAGTTTGTACACATTATTGAACTGTTTTGGGCCAAACAAAGAGTATGGCTGGATTATTAAGGAATTTCTATACTGATTAGTTGTAATTTGAGCAAGATGTGCCTAGTAGTTTTTGAGTTGGACAATAAAGTATTAAGGGGGTACTTTCTTTTTTGGTGAGTGTACTTGTGACTGGACTTGACTTGTAATTTAGTTGTAACCAGAATGGTGGTAAACTTGTATAAGGGAAGTAAAGTCCGAGATCCGTCAACAGCAACACGCAAGCCCGTTATGGTCAATGATTAGACTGGATTGCAGTACCCGCATACAGGGTGGAATTCGAACCTGGGTCGATGGATCGCCGGTAAGTGACTTAAATCTTTAAATAAGATTTGTTTGTTCTTTTCCACAGGGCAAAAGGGTGTACTCATGGAGAAGGAAGAGATCGAGCGAGGCTCGGTATCCTACCGCATGTACATTCACTACGCCAAGAATTTCGGCGTGCTTGCCCTGATTCTTGCGTTTACCTTTGCGGGGCTGTACACGGGCTTCGCCATCGCTACCAACTTCCAGCTGTCCGCGTGGTCCGAGTCCGGCCTCGGGGTCTCGGTGAGTGAGAAAGAATTCAGGAGAAGTTGTATCGGAGGGCAAGTTGATAACACCCGTGGCCTATTACTAAGGGGGTTGTCAACGGTGGAGCATGAGGGAGTCCTCGCTTGAGAGCTGTTCCCGGTTGTGCACCGTCGTGTAAGAACTTGAAGCATAGCAAAGATCAGACAGGGACCTTAAGTGCTCAAAACGAAGCAAAAGAAGATCAGGCCAACTTAACTCACTCTTTAGACAGCACATTTTAAATCGGCAAAGAAAAGGTCCTCAGTATTTCACCAACCAAGTTTGAATCCTAACTTCAATTATTAAAAGAGACTTTTCTTCTATATTTGACAGTGGCTTGCACATGAGAGGGAAGTAAAGTGATTTCAAAATGAGGCAAAAGACTAGACTTGTACATGATGTCCATCCATGGTCCAACTAATTGACAAGACTGACTTCTTCATTCATTGCCATTAGTCTGGTGCCTGACTATGGATAAATGTGTAGAAGTAGTGACATAGTACCCGATATCCTGGATATTTCTTTTGGCACAGTCAGCTGACAGTTGATTGATGCAGTTCTGAAGAGTTGTTGGACTGGTTGTTCTAGATGTCAAGTCTATTTTTTTGTATTGTATCATTTCAGTACCTTCACTTTTGGGACTCCCATACACATGTATTTAGAGTCCCAAATTTTTGGACTTGGTGCAGAGTAAGAGCACCCCCCGACGTGCCCCTCCCCAGCAAAGGGGATTCAGTTATGCCATTGGATAACACTGACAGTAATTTTGGCATCTCGTACTGGCTGACCTCAATTGACTTGAATGTGGCCGAATTTAGTAATGATATACCTTAATGACGCAGAATTCAATCTAGACCGAAAAACGATTTAATCTGATGATTGAAGATGCGTTGTTAACGTTAGAGTGTTCTTTTATTGCGTCATAACAGATTTGTTATAAAAAGATATGCCCTAATTAATGTTTGAGTGATCTAACACTTTCTCGTACAAGGAGTTGCTATGCAATTTTAATAGTCCCTGGTGAGACTGACCTAGAATGTGGATGTTATTTGGCCAAATACTGTTCCGGGTCAAAAATGACAACTTTCCGGGTCAAAATGGTCCTACTATGAATCATTTTGGATCACACACGTTACCAACGTGGTACAAAGTGTCACTTTCAGTAAGAAAAGTAGTAATTTGTGACGCTGAAAGTAATCCTATCGGGCTAAATTGGGCCCATATTCCACGTCATATCGGACCAGGCACCCTGTGGAGTGTAAGCAAGTATTAAAAGATACGAAAACGATCAATACAAAATGTATTATGATGTAACAGACATCGCTCCATACCCGGGGATACAGTTAAGTTGGGCTGAACAATAATTAATGAACCTTCCCATTAATCCCGCGCTTAAAAAGTGCATCCGTTTACTTGAAAATGTACAGACAAATAAAGAAAAACCAATCATGTCGTTTTCCCACAGAATAGCACCATTTCACAGCTTGACGAATTCTTCGGAGTCTACGTTGCTCTTGCTGTATCCAATTTACTCTGTCGACTGATATCGACTGCCATCATCGTCTATGGCGTGCTGCGAGCGGCCCGGATGTTCCATGAGGGTATGCTTCGGAATATCATCAAAGTGCCGCTTAGGTAGGACAACACTGCACATAGTAGAGTTTTTGCTTTTTTTGTTTCTATTTAAAATTTCCATAATATTTTACTTGTTGGATACTGAGATTTCCGTAGACCGAATTGCGGGTTAACATTGTCCATCTTGTAGCGCATAAGGCTACACGGCGTGTCTCAAAAATGTAGTAGTAAAACAACATTTTTTTCGACAAAGTATTTCTTTGCCCTTTAAATTTGTTCTGTGTAATTTTGACCTTTCGCTTAAAAGTTACGGCAAAGCAGGCAAAGACTGTCAAACTATGTTTTGACCACACTTCATGCTTGGTATCTGATGAAAAGCTTTCACATACCTTCTTTGTATGCGAATGCCCTTATAATCTGGTATACACCAACTTGAAATTTAAGTTATTTCATTTAATAAGCTGAATCTCTGGACTGGGGTTTCCAAATGAGATGGGATAAAAACCCGTTGTGTAGAGTAGTTGGGTCATTCTATAAATTTGGGGTCCAAAAGTGTGACATTTCGGCGTCCCTGTTATACCCGACCTGTGTGTGATATCTTTGAAATTGACTTCAAACTATTTCAAATTGTTTAGCATTAATTTGCATTACATTATCACTCTTGGAGGTACAAGGCATGAAAAAAACTGATGTCAGATGTAACAGGGATACCACAACAAATTGGACCCCGAATTTAGAGAATTACCCATTTACTAAATCTTTAGACTCTATACATACGTTTTGTAAAAAGAGAGTGCTATTATTTTTTGTAATATTTATGGATTGACTGCAACTTTTTTTTATTGACACACGTTGTCAACGCCATCAGAGGTCTACATACGATTCACGCTTGTTGTATATCAATCAGTGGCGAGTAAAACTTGGGTTCAATTTGTAGGGGCCACATTTGGGTGCCTCATCTTCTGGGAGAGGCACTCATTGGGTAGAGAACAATGACACAATCCTTTGGATTTCCCTAAAAAAGAGTGAACATTATTTTTTTCTGTTGTGATTTATTGTCATCAAATCATGGGGTAGTATGAAGCGAACCGCTGTTGGTTGGAGTCATCATTCATTGCCATTACAAACCCACATTCCGGTTCAAAGTTAGGATGCAACATTTCGTTTGATGACAATGTGCCCCATGCACCGATGCGGACACCAGATGTCGCTGAATACCCATCCGTTGACATTGACTGATAATGCAGTAACTAACTGATAACGTATCACTAACCGATAATGTCACACAAATTGACCGATATTGTATCACTAACAGATAGTGTAACAAAAAATGACCGATAGTGTAGCAAAGTGTTACTACACTATCCGTCAATTTTTTGTTACGTTATCGGTTAGGACTGATAATGTATCAACAATTGACTGATAGTGTAGTACATTTTACTACACCTAGGTCAATTTTGTGTTACATTATCAGTTAGTGATACAGTATCGATTAATTTATGCGACATAATCGGTTGGTGATACATTAGCCATTAGTTACTACATTATCAGTTGTAACAGACTCCATCATCATCACATTCAAATTAAAAATGGGCTCTGACACAACTAGATAACATAACACTGACTTTCTCATTTTCTTTGTGGCAGGAAAAATGAGCTTTTGGATGTCGTGCTGAGGATTTTGTTAACGGGTGCTACTTTAATCTTCTTTTATTTTTTTTTTCTTCAGATTTTTTGACACAACCCCAATTGGGCGCGTTCTGAATCGGTTCTCCAGTGACACATCACTAGTTGACATGGCAAGTCTAAAATATCCATCCTCTTAGAAGATTGTCTTAATAATATTTTGCTATGGGCCTACTGCAGATTTTTGTTAATATCTGAATTAAGCACATGAAAAAAAAAACCCACACGCTGACGCAAGTGGAAGCGACTACAACAACAAGCAATCGAAATATCAACTTTTGCAGTTGTTTAGAATACAATGTACTAATAATATTGATACACAGCATTGCAAGGCGCACAATATCTGAAAAAGTATTCATTCAAAGACGCTGGTTAGAGAAAAGTCAATGTATGTGAAAGTAAAGGTCATGGTTGAGAGAAAAACCGATTAAGGAGGTTGGTCTTTAGGTGGCGTGTGAAGAGAGATAGTTCCTGTATTGCACTGAACTCGTCTGGTTGTGAGATCCAGAGACGTGGTGCAAATCTGGAAAATGCCAAAAGGAGTCCTCTGGACAAAGAGTATTGGATGATGAACTCAGACCTGCTCTCAGTTAATAATCATAATAATTATAACAATAATTATAATAATAATAATCGGCATTTAAAAACGCTCTTATTAGTATACTAAATCACAGCGCTGACAGTATTATTATTACCCCTGATCATTGAGCCAATTAAACATTCCAAATACCATCTCAGCTCGATCCCTGGGGAGTATACAGCTCGATGCCGCCTGTTAGGCGCAAGCAAGCTTATTCAATCACAATAACCATCTCTGCCCTCGCAGGTACCCATTTACTCCTGGGTGGAGAGAAGCAATGAGTGACAAAGTACCTTGCTCAAGAGCACACGCACAATGACCCCGGCTGGATTCGAACCCACAACCGGCAGCTTTACCCACAGACCACAAATCCAGTGCCATTGACCACGATAAAGTGGAGCTAAGCCATGAAGAGCTTTGAATGTGTGTAGGAGAACTTGGTAGTGCAAGCGGGGCTGCACTGGTAACCAATAAAGTTTGCACAAGATGGGTCAGGCCTTTGAGGCGTTGTGTGAGTGTGTGAGCGGCAGCGTTCTGGATAAGTTGGAGGCGTTTTATCGTAGACCTAAAAATGGGCTGTTGCAAATATCGAAGTTGGATAGTATATGAAAGCATGAATGAGTTGTTCTGCAGCAAACGATTTAAGTTAGTTTCTGACTGATGCTATACTTTATAGATGTATGTATGGAAGAGACCCGTTAGTCAAAGTTCATTCACTTGTCAAGAATGACACCAAGAGGGCTTCAGAACAAGGAGTCATCTGTGTAACTTCTATGTGTATGTAAGAGTGGTTTTACTTTGCGTCTCAGGAAAGACTCCAAAGTCTAGTCAATGTAACATGAATGCATAAAGTTTACATGTCTCAATATACATCTCCAATATCTGTTTGGTTCTGCGCGACTCAAACACCAATTGAACGAGTCTTGAACGATGTATTACTACCCCTACTACTATCCATACTACTATCCAAAGCCTTTAAATTGGACTAAAATTACTGGTTTGACGGTGTCATTTGACAAATAAATAACATTGGTTATGAGCTCAAAGTCAAATAATGTGAATTTCTATCTCTGTTCTTCTTTCAGAGAATGACGCAGACAATTAACATGTTAATGAGCAGCTTCCTCAACGTTCTGTCTGCCGTGATAGTCAACACCATCGTCATGCCCATCTTCATCGCTTTCTTCATCCCTGTGGGCATTGTGTATTACATCCTGCAGCGGTACTTTCTGGCGTCATCAAGGTTGGCTTATAACTACAAAACCCTATCCCGGAATGCTGTTAAACTAGCTAAATAATGAGGTTTTTATTGTATATTTTAACCGGTTTTAAAAGTGCTCCAACCAGCGTATACTGCGCGTTAATTTTGGCGCAGAATGCAGCGATATTTTACCGGCGGTTTAAAACCAGCCACGTGACGGGATCTCGACCAATAGGAATGGGTATTGTGTAAACTGTGTTCTGGGGCTCTATGAATTTGGCCTCTGCTTCAAGCCTTTTATGACAAATTTAAGCATCCTTCTAACATTGAATTGCACACTTGAATATTAACGAGAAAGTTAACCTTCAGAGATGAAACGACAGCAAACCCAAGTCCACTCACATGAGTGATGTAGCAAAAATTCAAAAGAATAAATTGCAGCCAATACTGGTGGTGTTATAGCGCCCTCACTCACTCACTCGACCTAGCGCCCTCACTCGACCTATTACTTTGTTTACATTGCAGGGAGCTGCAACGACTGGACAGCATCAGCAAGTCACCTGTATTTGCCTATTTCTCCGAGAGCCTGAATGGACTCACCACAATCCGTGCCTACAAGTAAACAAAAACAATGATATTGAAAACATTGAAAACAATGAAAACATGAAGTCAGAGGTTTAAGGAAAAAAAATCGTGTGTGTTTGAACATGGGCGTCGCCAGGATTTTTTTTCTTGAGGGGAGCATAGCTCTCTAAATCCTTGTACTTTTTTTTAGCATCATTCTCAATTTATAAATTGTCTTAGAGTGGAAGGGGGGAATTGCCCACCCCACCCCCATTGACACACATGCGGACGCCCATGTTTTTAAGTGTGCATTAAATTAACGGAAATATGACTTCGCACCTCGTCCTCTTTTTGTTCTTCTTGTTTTCTCCTGTGTGGTGTTGTTTTTGTTTTTCCGCTCCCCCCCTTGGCTGCCACCCTCGCGACGCCAATGCGTAAACATTTTGTAATTCAAGGACACAAATGAGGAAACTCATTTTTTAAATGAGGACATTTACCCAAGTGAAGACAGTCGTCGTTTGCAAAAGTGTACAAAACCAATGAAGTTTAAAAAAGAAAAAGAAAAAAGAAAAAGAAAACTGAGGACACTATGAGGAAACTCCTATTCCGATTGAGGACATGTGATCAAGTGAGGACAGGTCTCGATTGGAAAACGTATACAAACCAATGAGAAATGCTACGAATGACAGATGCTGCGAAAATACATGTACAAACAAAAGATTACCAATATAGGATGCCCTAAATTTACATCATATACAAACGGGTGTTTTGTGTGAGAGTGGATTGAGTCACTTTTTGTTTTGAAATGTTGATGTTTTGAAATGGCGATTTGAAGATTGCTAAGTAATGACTTGACTTTCGCATGAATGTCTTCAAATTTCTGTTTGTGCTTAGGTGCGGTGCCCGTTTCTACAAGACTGTTGTGGAACGCATCAACAGTAATCTGTCTGCCTTCTTGTATCTACAGCTGGTCAACCGCTGGCTTGCTATCAGATTGGTAAGTAAACGGATATGCAATTATGATATAGAACATCAGAAGATAATAGTATAATCATATTCAACTAATTCTAACTTTCATTTGGTCACCTTAGCATCAAGTCACGCTTGTAACCTTTCTGGTAAACGAGTGGCAGAATATATGCATTTAGTCGACGTTGAACATGAGTCTTTTAATGACCGCAAAGAAGTGGTAAGTACCAATTTTGCAAAATTGTCTGAAATCTTTTGGAACTTCAAAATGCAAAACGACGTAATCTAAAGAGTGTAACCCTCTAAAATATTTCAGCCCTTCATAAAATATATATATAAATATATATAGAAGCCGGGCCTGTCTTTTGGCAACTAAAGCAAAGTTGCTCTTTGTGAACCCAAATAATTCAGAATTATTTGGCATTTTGTGTCTCGCAATTGCAGGATTTTCTTGGCGCACTGATAGTCCTCATTTCTGGTATGACGACACTTATCGGAGCATTGACTGCTGGTTTGGATCCAAGTCTAGTAGGGCTAGCCGTCACCTACACGCTACAGGTGTGTATACCCGAGAGTCAACAAAAAAATGTGTCCCTTGGTAACCGTAATTAAATCAACCTTGCATTAACCATGTTACTTCTTATTCTTACATTGTTTTTGTAAATTAACCAATAAGTTGAGAAGAAGAGCATGAGCAATTTACAATGGAGACTTTATATGAGGAATTATATTTAATTCAATTTCTGAATGAGTTACATGATGACATCAAAGTCATGCATTACATGGCAGCTCACCATATAAGGCGACAACATTGAAACTTATGCGTATGCCTATTCATAAAAGATTACATCCTTGTTTATCTAGCAACATTTTCCGTAACAAGTCAAGCATAGAATGAACCTCAACTCCAAAGAACTTTAAAAGCGATCATCATCACAATAAAACTATACCGGTTTCCTGGGTTGAAGTCAGGGCCATCTGAAGTCCATTCACAAGCTATTATTATTATTCTTCTTAATGTCATTACTATTCTTATTTATTCGGCTTAAAAAAAAACCCCAAAATCACAAAATGCAAAAAAAATAACAACAATAAAAGCCAGAGGCATATGCCTGGAATTGAAAAAAAAAACCGGTGACCCAAAGGCCTGCAGTTCCTATAACTCTCGCTGCACACAAAAATACAAACATATACATATCTATACACAATTGAAAACACCATACATTAAAAAAAAAATTATTTAAAGAAAAATACAAGAATATTGAAAAAATACAAAACAAATATATACGGTATATATAACTAACAATAAGTAACAAGGGCTGAAAAGTGACAAAGAGATGCTCTTGTCACAGTTCATTATAGCTACCAACTTGACTCGGAACTAGCGATTGACCTGTGCATGATATAGGACTTGTGATCGCCTATTTGTACCACTGACGATCACATTTTTGTTCAGGTCGCTGGCTTCATGAACTTCTTCGTACGTCAGGTCACTGAAATGGAGATGCAGATGAATGCAGTGGAACGAATCAAGCACTACACATCCGTTGAGAATGAGCAGTACGAAGGTAGGACAGTTGTCGGTCTCCAAAGTCTATGGCTTTGCGAGCAAGCAATTACACATGCGTTTATGGACGCCGTTGAATCCATTTCCATTGACTCTCATAGACTCTTATATTGAGTAATACACGGTATTACTGTCACGCGTGAAAGCAGCCACGGGTGCTGTGAAAGGAGAAGCCAAAATATAAATTATTTGGAATCTTAACGAAGAAGAGACTTTGGCCTATGCATTTTGAACTTGCACTTTAACAAGACCAAAGTGGTTAGGGTTTGAATATAATTAATGTTAACACAGGTTTTGAAAAAAAGACTGAAGTGGGGCAGAGATTTCATGTTTTACATTTCATGTTTTACATTGTGTATTCTTCACCGTGTTCAGGCAATGATCCGCCGCCGGATTGGCCGCAAGATGGCCGAATCCAATTTGACCACGTGTCGGTGCGCTACGCCATCGACACAGACACCGTGCTGGACGACATCACGGTGGATTTCAGAGCAGGAGAAAAGGTAAGACCTTCTTATAGATCTGGTTAAAAAATTAACAATCAGAATCAGAGCTAAGTTATGACAATTGTAACATATGCCATCCAGTCTCACTCGATCAAAACGAGATCCAATCTTCAATAAAGGGATTCGTGCTTCCCGATTCATTACGCTTGATCTGACTTGTGGTGTAAAACCTGATTTGCTTAACTAAAATTTCTTCTACAGACAGATGTTTTCCCTTCAAAATTCGCAAGCAGTTATCCGCTGCTGTGATGTTTCTCCGGTAAAACAGAGATGGGTACAGAGGTTTTGAAAAATTTAATCCAACGTATCCAATGCAATCATCTCCTGTAGGCGCGGGCGGACTGACGTCATCCGATGAAAACTTGTATTCATTTGCAAACCAGTTTTCATCGGTTGCTATGTATTACCATTCATCGCTCCAGACTCAAGAAGCATTGAGTTTTAAGTAAAAAGGTCTGAGCCAATGTAAAAATACAATCACGGATGTTCGTGCCCACCTTTAATTATGCATCTAATCAAATTCTTTGCCTGCCTCTACTTTGCCTGCTGCTACTCATTCTCGAGTGACCCGCGAACAGTGCGCGTGAAGTGCAGCTGGGTGAAAATTCAAGGTTGCAACAACCATATTTTTAACTCCGAATGAAAAGAATGGAAAACTAATGATCTTACGAAAATAATTCAAATCCCAGAACAACAATAAGGGTCAGTTTTGAAGAGCGCCTCCATTTGGATGATATACCAGCCCCCCCCCCCCCCGCTTTTTGATTTTACGGAGGCCAAGTGTCAAATGAAGGCGTCATTGCATTTGAGATCGCATGTTTCGTGATTTTATTTTAAGATTGGAGTCTGTGGACGTACAGGAGCCGGCAAATCGTCTCTCACGCTGTCTTTGCTTCGTGTGATTGACATATTCAAAGGTAAGCCTAATTTGGCTGCCATAAAAACACGGAACTGATAAAAAAAGCAAGAAAAACCTCCTGACTTAAAAAAACAAAATTGTATTGCGAGTCAGAGAACCTTCAGTTTATTTTTTTTTTAATCAAAGGACAAGAAAAAAACCCAACTGGTTAACGAAATCAAGTTCCCTCAACCACCCCAACAATTAACTGCTACATCTTCGCCCAAATAGAACATTGCACAAAGATGCACGCCAAATAACTCAACATTTGTCTGTTCAACTGTTTAAAAGAACTTAATTGTGAAACTCTTTCTGTTTATTTGTTGGGTTATTTTTGTTGAAATATGAACAGGTCGCATATCGATCGACGACATCGACATCAAGACTGTTCCCCTGACGACCCTGAGGAGTAAACTGAGTATTATTCCGCAGGATCCTGTTCTCTTTACCGGAACAATAAGGTCAGACAACAAATATTATAGGACTCTCCTACTTCAGATTTTTTTTCATCGGAACTCAACAAGGGAGGGTATTATGAGTCACTTGAAACGTTTATTTTTTAAGTTTTACTTTCCAAATTCAGCAAATGTTTTTGGTTGTGCACTGATATCAAAGAAACGCTGTCTTCATTTTTACATTAGATGAAGCCTAACTTCTTTCCGAATTGAGGAAACCACTTCTTTTTTTACGAGTGAAATTCAAACTTCGTCCTCTTTTCTTTCTGAAATTGACTGATTTTCAAGAGGCAATGATTCGGCGATAAAGGCTGCCTTAAAATATAAGTTGGTTGTTATTTTCAGAGAGGTTACCTTTTGTTAACAGGAAGAATTTAGACCCGATCGGTCAAGTTGGTAGTGACAAAGACCTGTGGCGCGCTTTAGAGATTGCGCAACTTAAAGAAGTCGTGTCATCATTGGACGGTGGTCTAGGTGAGCTGTGGCGGATACCACTTATTCGTTTTTATTAGTTCCTGTAATAGATATGTATCAAGTAAACAAAATGTGAAGTTTTGTTGACCTAAACTTTCATTCATTTATTCACAAACTTCATGTGTCCTATATATTTCCACACTGTTCTTTAGTAGGCATTTCTTGGTATTAAAATACTCTCTCTAATTTCCAGAGTGAAAATTCACTCCAGTCGGAAAGTAGGGACTTGACGTTTTGGAGTGAAATTTTTTCAATCGTAAAGATCGAGATTTTACTCGAGCTTCGACTGAAGTGGTTCTTTTTTCCAAACTATTTCAATCGAAAATGAGAGTGATTTTCACTCTTAGAGAGTTGTATCAAAGCTCATGCGAAGTAACGGCGGCTTTATTAACAGCTTTTTGGAGCCACTGAAAGACTTGAAATTCAGGGGCTTGATTTGAAGAATTGTGGTAGTTTGAGCGGAAAGCCATAGCAGATTAGAAAATGTAATTGCAGCGACGTAACTAGGGTTAAACTTCTTGGGGGCACCTGGGGTTTGCAAAATTTGTTTCTTTTGGGGGCGGGTCTGAAGGCAAAATTCCCCTAGGGCCTTTACTTTTTTAAAGGATTCTTCACCATTTATGTGAGTATTTCGTTTAGGTGTCCTGACAATAATGGCGGGAAATTGTCTAGCATTGGTGGAGGTTTGCGCTCTTTGAGTGCTTCCTAGTTCTTATTTTGTTTGAAAACAGAATACATGGTGACCGAGGGCGGTGAGAATTTCAGCGTTGGTCAGCGGCAGCTGTTCTGTCTGGCTCGTGCCTTCTTGCGCAAGTCCCGTATCCTCATCATGGACGAAGCCACCGCCTCCATCGACCTCGAGACGGTAAGACTGTCTGGAAGAAACTAGGATTCTCTGATGGACTTTGTAAATCTGATCCAAAGTGATCAGTTTTGGCCTATTTGCCTCATTGGAGTCAAAACGAGTTACAGGTGGAAACTGTCTTACATGACATTGTGAGATTACACGCTTCCCCTTGGGCCTTTACTTTTTTTCATGAATAACAATTAATAGGCCTACGTATTTGAAAGAAAGGAATTAGAATGGTACCCAGTGGCGGATCTGGCTTTCAAGAAATGGGCGGGGGTGATATAAAAGGGGGGGGGGGGGTTGAATCTTGCGTACGCCCTGCTAGGGGTTATAGGGACGTGCCCCACGAACAGTTTTGGAATCTACGATGCTTTCTTCTACATTATAAGTTATTTCGAGAATAAGTTTCGAAACTTTAGCATTCCATTTATTATTTTTGGCCCTTTTTTACTAGTTTCATCAAAATGTCCTTATTGCCCATCATTGTCCCAAACATTTCAAACAAAGTATGATATATGAAAGTGTCTTTCTTTTTTTCTGACAATGCAACCAAGGATTCCTCAAAAGTGCTCTACGCACTGTAGACCGAAAATCTGACGAAAGCTCTACAGAGAGGAGAAAATGAGAAGAAATTACAGTTTTAGAGGTGGGAGGAAAAGCCCAGAAGAATATTCTGGGTGAAACCCGGGGAATCAGGTAGGGACTGAAAACCCAGTCCACATATTCGCCCAGGCGGGATTCGAACCCGGGTCACAGCGGTGGAAGGCGGTGAAAGTAGAGCCACGCCAACTTGACTCCCCATTTGAAGCAGTATACGGCCTACATGTATCTTATTTTCACAAATGAGTCTTGTTGGTTTTCGTTTTTCCCTTGCAAAAACCTACAGGACAAAATTCTTCAGTCCGTTGTGGCTACTGCCTTTGCCGAACGCACGGTGCTAACAATAGCAGTAAGTATTTACCGTATGAGTAAGTTTAATTACTTGAAACGTTCCACAAATTTACAAAAAAGGAATGTGCTGATTTGTGAAAAACAGTTTCCTTTTGATGCAACCGTACAAGTAAGCAACCTTTTTACCCAAATTATTCAACAGTGAGGTAACTTCATATCAATATTGGGCAAACTACATGACCCAACAATGTTTACTCGGCATTTTTTTTTTTTTTTACAGCGAACTTACGATGTTATTGTATTTCTCATCCGTTGTAATTTACTATGTTTACTTTACTCCAGCATCGCATCTCGACTATCATGAACTCGGACAGGATTTTGGTTCTCAATGAAGGGAAGGTGGCTGAGTATGGAACGCCGAGTGAGCTTCTGGAAAATGAGGATGGGATTTTCGCCTCCTTTATCCAAAACAAGGACATGTAGAAACATCGGTTATGATTACTAATTATCATTACGGGAAATGGGTCATTTGGGAGACATTCCCATAGACTTATGCACAATTTTTTTCCATCTTTAATGTCAACTAACCCCAGGTTGACCTAATCCTACCCCCACGAATTTCGGTATAATACCACGAGCAATCGCTGTAGCCTATTTGCGACTGTAACAATTTGCCTCTAAATAGTAGTTGTGACATTAAAGTACACATTGGAATATATGTCTCCCTAATGTCCAGTGTCTCCCTAAGGAATGACTAATGACGAAACATTGTCTCACAAAGATACCAATGAGTCATTCATTGGTTCTGTTTTATAAGCTGTTACTTAAAAAAACTGGTTTGCTGTATAATTTTAGCGATTCCAATTTACTTTGTACAAACTTACGCTCGATTGCACAAGATTTTCTTCTGTAATTAACCTTTTCATGCAACTTGAGGCTGGAACTCAAATTGTGATCGCCGTACTTTCAGACTGGGGCAATATACTCGTGTTATGAAGGAAAGTAAATTTTTACCAGAACAGGTTGGTTGGTTACCAAATGAGGCAGAGGCAAGTAGACCAAGGAAGGAATTAAGCAAAACGTCTAGAAAATCATATTTTGCGCGCTCCTCCTTACTTAGATCGCTGTAAAATATTTCTGCCAAACATAATAGTAAAAAAAAAGGAAAAGGTGCCAAATGCTGCCCCTTTCCAAAGAAGATTTTCCGCATGTAGCGCCTTCCAAATCTAAGGTATGAAAACACACATCTGACACGCTTTCGTTTAGTGAAAGAATCAGTCAAATCACCCGTGTACTTTTCAAGTTATGGAATTTTAAAAACAAACAGCCTTTCGTATTCCTAACCACGGATCTCACTTTATAAGGTACATGAAACTTCAGTAAAAATAAAACCATGTCGAATCCTGAAAATCATATCAGAATAATCCCATAAGTCTCCGGGGTAGCCAAGTAGAACGCAGGGCAAAACTATAAACTCTTGACATTATAAAGCATGTTATTGTAACATTGGAAGCAGCAGGTTTTTAAATATATGAAATGCTAAGTGCTATTTACCATGGTTGTAAGAGTATTCTGATATGTTTTTTTTTGACAAGTGAATAGTTTTCGTGGTGCTAAAATGTCACTTACTTTTCAGTTCTGTTGACAAGGTAAAAAAAAGGTGTTTGAGACATGACCGATTTGAGTCATTCTTTCACTAAGAGAGAGAATATTAATTTGGCTTTCATATGATAAATCTGGAAAGTGCTACATGCAGAACTTGTTTAACATTAACACCATTTGGCTTTCCTTTTTTTTACCCACCTGTATACGAATTCTGTACTTCATCCGAAGGTAAATGAGCCACCAAGTGTACGTAGGTTTCAGTTCCAAGAGTTAACAGTTTTCTTAGTTAATAATATCATATACTATATCATATATATACTCACGTATTCATATAAATTATGTAACTGACATAATGATATTAGACAGGCCTACGGCAAGATTTTTATTTTTTTCCTTCTTACTATTAAACACGTCGCTATAATGATTAAAATATCAAATTCATCGCGTACCTCAGTTGTACTTCCAATATTCTAAACCCATTTTAATATAAAAAAGTGGTCAAGTTAAGTATATACACTTACCGACTTAGGTTATTTGGAAAGAACTAAATAACAATCCGATGACTATCATTCACTTTTAAACGTTGAACACGGATGTATGCCGACGTGCAGCTTAGAAATTATGGTAATTGCCATTTCTAATGATACACCTTAATCGTCTGGTATTTTGTTTAAATTGTAAGCTTTGCCAGCTCAGCCAGGAAAAGGTACTGTTACCATTTCGTGAAAAGTAAATATATTCAAACCTCTTTTGCATACAGTTTTTGTATGGGCTCTGTGCACAAGTACCCTATCAACAGCCAGAAAAGGAGAGTTGGGGGTTACCTAGACTGGTTCCCGATCCATCCGCTGCGTATTCCAAAGTTATTGGAGGCGGGGATTAGTCTGCAAGACCATTGCAACGTAGGTAAAAACGGGCCCTCTTTGTTGGCGCATGGAGCCCATACAAAAGCAAAAAGTATGCATTTTTAACTCATGATTTTGTTGTATTGTATTCGCGTATTTGTTCTAAAATATGGACTACATTGTATTTTGTATGTTCATTAAAAACAACAGAGTCCACAGAATTCTATTAACTGTAAGTCAATATGCATCTGTGATTACAATAATTCGGCGTACTCTGCTCATTCATGGGCATTTTGGGGTAGTCCTTTTCGATGGCACTGCCCGGCTAACAAGAAACGGTGAGTCAGCGTGTCAGTGCACTGAGCTACACAGAGTACCAACGGCTTGCTCTCTCTCTCATGGACCAGCCCCCAAAACGCATTGCAATTTACCATGCCAGATATTGTATTGGCGTACGGCTGAGACGATAATTGTGCTAAACAGACTGATATATAAACGGATATGAAACCCTAGGCTAAAATTACCCTGCTCTTCTACCATTGACCGCGGTTTGCATTTGCATAAAGGGATAAGGAAATAACAAGTGCGAGTGCACAACAAGCATTGGCGAAAAATTTGACGCCGATAGGATATATGGAACATCATACTTTTGGTAAATTTTCAGGACAGACAGACACCCTGACCGACCGAACGAAAACCAAGGACATGGAGCTTAAAAATCGAATCCCGCCCAGCTTGGGACATTTCCTCCTTCTGGATACCGTCCGCCTTGTTCGAGGAAGATGTTGTACAACGCAAGTGCGAGAGCACAATAAGTGGCGATAATGCAACAAGTCTTGCGTGAAAGTCTTTCATGGAATCGATCAAAATGAACCCTGTCAGAGCTGAAACATGAGACGCGAAAAATGCGACACCGATGGCACATAATTATAATGGCACACCATATCTTTGGTCAATTTTCAAGACAGACAGGCCGACCACCAAATGACATGTAGAAGCTCCTGCAGCTTAGAAATGATTGGGAGAACTGAAATTGAGATTTGAAACGCCGATATTTTTTTTATGGAATTACCAAATAAGAACTGTTTTTGCTCATAACTTCATAGATTTAGGAGACTGCCTGTATTCGTCGATAGATTCTTTGTCTAAAAAGTATTGTATTCCCGAGCTCAATGATACCGAACTGCAGAATATTGTGGATAACAAAAATGTCTTCAGTACTGAAAGTTGTCCACAATGCGGTATAAACTCTAAGAATTCGCTGTATTGCAAACAAAACGAACTTTTCTGAGGGTGAGCAATAACATTCTTTTGGTGAACAGGACAAGTTTCAAAGTGAACAGGACAAAGTTTCAAAGATTTTATGCCTACAGAGGTGCACAGTGCAATTTGGCAAATGAATATGTATGAGGTATAGTAAAACAAAATGATTTATTTCGGCTGGATAGTCGATATTAGCTCCCCTTGGTATCGGGGAGCTAACACCGACTGTCTACCATCAAACCATGTTAGATTTGTATATCAATTAAGAACTCATTTCCATCTGATGAAGAAAGTAATAATTATGGCAAAAATATGTTATGAGGAATCAAAAACATAAATAAATATGATTAAAATTGAAATGTCAATTAAGCCAAAAATGTCAATGCCACGTAGCGACGGAATGATGCACATATACCGACGGTCAAACATCTAGCAGTTGCATAAGAAAAGAAAAAAAAGTGTACAAGACACAGCAGACTCTTTCCCGTTCCAGACCTCGGACCACCAGTTATTGGCTGTAATCACCCCCAGCTGTTATGATTCCATCATGTGCAATGTGAGTATGTGACGGACATAATAAAATCAATTACAGTCTACACGCGAGGTCTGGCCTGACGGTGCACGTGGTGAAACAGAATCTACATGTACCATCTGCCGAGAGAATGAAAAAAGTGCATATTACACGGAAAATACTTTTCAGCTGCTTATGTTGGTTGGCTGGTAGGTAGGTGGGTTGGTTGGTGGACAGTTTACTCGGCCATATCTTGTATTTTTTTCCCAGGGGCCCTTTAGCAGGTAGTCTGAACATCACCCGTTCCCGATCCCCACGGGGCCCATCTCCGGTCCGGGTAAACGTCTGATAAGCAAAGGTGACGTCATTTCATTCGGAAATCTGGACTTAGATTTTAGTTTGATTAATTTCGATGCCACGTTGTTATACGACAACCTGTGCAAAAATATACTCATCGTGGGCGTCCTGTTTGACGCCCGCGAGGAGCTTGCATTACGCGCGTATCGAAGGCGCCCGCTGATTGGTCAGTTGCTTGAGGTCATACGCAGTCAAGTTGCATAAATAATCGCCGAATCTGCTGACGTGTTGCACTTTAAGCTTGTTAAGCTTGTTAAGCTAGAATTGGAACTTTGACTGATGCCGCTTTGGGGGGGGGGGGGGGGGGGGGGGTGGTTGCTTAATCAAACGAGATCGAGAGCAAACAAAGAGAAACTTAGCATTTAAAAACACATACATGTAAATCACACACACAGTATGTTACGCAACAGAGCGCAACTATAATTGACGCGCTGCACCGGAAAGGACAAAATAACCCGTCAACAATTGAAACCAATTTAATGGCCCGATCTTAAGAATACGATGAATGGTTCTTAGGTTTTGAAATCGAATGTTACTGTAACAAGTAAAATAGCCTCGTGGTTAAATTGCTGACCCACGGGAGAAGAATCGGGGGTTCGATCCCGCACTTGTCATTTAAGTTTTCAACACGCGCTGTCCGATACTTTCTATAAAGGATTTGATTTACCGTCCTAAAATACCAACAGTACCTTAGCTTAATCGGTAAGCACTGCTGCTGGTAGGCCTACTGTCCGCGAGTTCCAGGTTGGCATCTTCGTACAGGTTTAGGGCATGTGGTCAACTCGGAGGATCAGGGCTTAGGGTGCCGCCCTGTTCCTCCCTCAGCTCTTTGCTTTTACATGGTGCCTGGCCCTCCGAAGTCTTGGCCGGGACCGCCAAGATCCCAGAAGAGTCCTATGTGGGAGCCGGTAAGGGGCTCATTGAGTTAGAGTCATAAGTCCGTGCACCTGAATGCTTGGTCAGCACATAACTTTTTGCTTTATTCACCACGTTTTTTTTAACACATGCAATCATAATTCACTGGAAATATTTGTACCTTTTCCCCCGGAAACAAACAAAATACAGTCTCCGCATTTAGCTTATAATGCAATGTTCAACAAGATTTAGTGAAGTAGTCAATTTGTGAAAACAAAATGGAAACATAATACAGAGGTCAACGAATCTGCAAAAAATGTGTACATGATAATGCTATTTTACCTTACGCGATCGCATCCACTTAAACTATTACAGTATCACTATATTTCTCCAATCGTCATAAATAGTTAGAAGGAAATCTCTGATATATCGGTAACTCTTATTTCTGTAACACGTTTTGAAGAATATTCAACCTAAAACCTTTAGCAGTTCCACGATATTTGCAGGGCGATTAAATTTCGGGTAACATTACAGGCCCGGATTATCCAAGGATAGTAGGCACTGTGCCTAGGGCCTACGAAAAATTCGGGGAGTACGAACAAATCGAAGGCCTACGAAAATACCGCAGGGTGCAAACCCCCCCCCCCCCCCCCCCCCCCCCACATAAATAGGGTTTCCCTGCACACACATCCGTACGCAGAGAATTTTTAAAACAAGTCGAGGGTGTCTTGGACAGCCATCTTGGAAATATGCAAATAAGGACATCGTGGGACATTTTTTTTTTGCTGCTAACATAAACATTCTTTAACTACGTGCCCAAGTGACGCTAAAATAATTTTGGTATATGGGAACCCATTCTATTCTGCCGTACTGTTTCATGTCACTCCGGGCAGATTAATATTACGTGGCTATTTCAGCACAAAAAGTTGCTTGAATTTGGGATACTTCGCTGTCATAAATTTCTTTTCTTTTGTGATTCTTTGTTGTGGCAAGAAGCCAATGAAGAACCCTTTCTCACAAATGTTTTCGATAAGCAAATTTTGTCTTATTGTTAAGTGTCTTCCTGAAATGAAAAAAGAGAGAAAAGTTACAGCAACAGCGCGCTCAGTAGTCCGGACAAGAAGGGAAAGTCTTTAGTATAGAAGTGCACATTGCAATAAAATTAACCAAAAAAATTATGTCAAATGTGTAATTTTATTATATATCAGAGTAGTATTAGAATAGTAGTTGCAGAAAATGTATTCCTGAGAAAATTCATTTCACGGACCCTTTAATTAAGAAAGAGAGGTGAGAATATACGGATTGAAGACACCAGATATGATTTACGCCGAGATAATTCAGAATTGTACATGCAGGCAGTCTAAAAACACGCTTGACAAAAATGTGAAAGAAAATGTTTACCCATTAATGAAGAGGAATTCCCGATCAACCACTTACTATACTGGCTCAGACAAAATGAAATGAACAACGCGATATTTTGATATTTTGAATGCATCTTTTACAGTGACGAGTGAAGCTAAAAGACTAGACAATGTTGGGATAGTGAAATTGAATGATTTTTTTTGGATTGTCGAATGACAATCTGCGTGATCTTTCAATTTCAATCAAAATTGAAACAGCTACGGCATTAATTTGGATGAAAACTTCATGAAATTGGCAGGGAAAACCTATAGTAAAAATACGTAGCAGTTATTAAAACAAGTGCAAATGAGATTTTATGCTATAGGTTGGCATTTTAGACATATTTGGTGAATGTTTCATACATACATGTATATCCATTGCAGCACCAATTTGAAGTAAAGGGCGAGTAAAGAACACGCTACAAAAATACTCTGACCACGGTTCCGTGGTTCACCAAATTTCATTGAAATCGCGAACTGACGTTAAGCGGTGTAATAGCAAATCTAGTCATTGTCGTGATAGTGACTGACTCACTTGAAATTATAAAGGGCGGATCCTGGGCGGGGGAACGGGGGCCATGCCCCTCCCCCTCCCAAAAAAAAGAACCGTTTTTTTAATGTAACAGAGAAAGGCATAAGCACACCACCAGGTTTTCGTGGTCGAAGGAAAATTTGTCAAAATGGTTAGAAATTGCCTCCGATCGCACCACAGAGCATCAAGAATCAAAAAAAAAAATTAAAAAAAATGGCACACGCCGTAATTTTTGGGCCCACAATTTGGGAAAGAAATTTTGTTTGCCCTCCCCCCAAAAACATGTGCTCTGGATCCGCCCTTGGAAGTTATTGACACATTTAGAAAAGGCAAAACAATCCGCGTGCACACTGGAAAATGTGCCACTTTATTGAACTACTGACCACAGCACTAATTTAAAAAAAAAAAAAAAAAAAAAAAAAATGTCCCCCTTTCGCGACGCCCATGCTAACAACCCCTTGGATTCCGGGTACAAAAGTGGATACAGAACCACATTTTCGGGGCAGAGGAAGGAGGATGGGCTCGAGTGTTTCCACCCCCCCCCCCCAAAAAAAAGGAGGGTTCGGAGTCTGGTGGTTACTACGCAAACACCTCCCTAGTGGTTATTTCGCACAGGTCGGAGTGGTTGGCTTAGTGACCTCAATTTTAAAGTGGGCCTTGTTAACTAACCTGAGGAGATCTTGGTGCTCAATTCTCTCTTTCAAAGCTTGGGGGAGTATCGTCCACTATTTCCACATTGTAATATTAAAACCAAAAGGTACAGGCCTATTTTCAGTTATTTCTTGTAAGTTTATTACAAGAGATATCTTTAACACTGACCCTGCCCCTGGATTCGCCAATGTTTGGGTAAGTTTAAGAGCGACTGTCTTGCTGTCGTTTATTCTATTATAGGATTTTTAGGAATGCAGACAACAGCCGTCTAGAAGATAGCAGTTTTTGTTCAACGCCATAAGGGTCTTGATTACTAACAAGCCTTTAAAACGGGACATTGTACCAACCGGTTTTGTTTTTATCATTGTGCAACCGTTCTTTTATTGAATGCAACGTCACGCGCCAGCGATATTCATTTATTTCAATAAATACAATGCATATACAAAGCTTTTATTGTACTTAATTCATTGCATCTCGTCTGTACTGTTTATACCCAGGCTTCGTTCTGAATTTTTATTATTCGCTTATGTTTCTGAATACAATATATATTACAATAGTGAGTCATCCTTCAGTTTCGGTTTGGTGTTGGTTTCCTGTACCTTATTATCTCACCATGAAAGGACACCGCGTAATTCCCAGTGTCGAGTATTTGAGTGAGCATGTTCTTTCTTCTAGTGCCATTGCTTAAAAAAGCAAATAAACCATTTGAAGTTCTACACGAATTGCGAGGATGGTTTACACTGTTTCTCGAACAGTGGCTGGCTGGGCTTAGATTTTTCCGGTCGCTAACATCGGAGTGCTGTAGTTACTGAAAACTAAGGGGGAAATTAAAAATAAGCCTCTAATTTAAGTGGCCTTCTATGCATAATCTGATTATGTCCTTGGAAAGGACGACCTACTACAACGTCTATGCCCGCCACAGAGCGTGACAATCAATTCAACGTGCCTCAGTTAATTTCCTAGCGCCCTTTATCACAGCTTCGATTCCGATATGGCAGACGGTATGTTGGTGAACCAGATTGACATTTTGTGTGGGTTGCATGTCACAGGGCAGACCATTTCCGAGGCTTACTTAGCTGTCATGCGCAGAGACGAACTTGGACGAGAATGATATTCAGTACAGCGCACCGTATGCCTGGCATACAGAATCACTGGAGTGTGCATTGTGGACTCAGCCAGTGCAATAATAATTACTATTGACTGTCACGACGAGTGCGTGTACTCTGGCTCGGTCTGTTATCACTGCCGGTTCCGATCGATCAAGGACAGTACTGCGTATTCGTCTACAGATCAAAGACATGCTTGCACGTTCATTACAAGCTGGCGAAAACCTTCAGCAGTAAATCTTTGTCAGTGACATTTCCAATGGAGAGCGTGGATTTTGAGTCCTACAATGACAGTGGTTATGTGTTGGACAGCACTGTCTCGCCTGGTGTCGAGGAACGGGACAAGTTTACCGTCTTTTTGGGAGTGCTCTTGTTTGTGTTGTCGGCTGTTACCATAATAGGGAACATAGCCACGATCTTAGCGTTCAGGGACAGCCGTGATCTGCGCCATAAGACCACCAACCTGTTGATTTTGAGTTTGTCATGCAGCGATCTCTTGATTGGAACCACGGGGCTGCCCTTCGCCGCTATCACCTTCACCGCGGGCGACTGGCCGTTGGGTAAGCCTGTCTGCATCATCGGTGTCTTCGTCTCCGTGTTGGGCGTCTCCGGCGGCATGTACACCCTGACCGCTATCAACCTGGACCGCTGGCTGCTGGTTTCCCGGGAGTACTCCTCTTATCTTCGGATCCAGTCGCTACGGAACGTCAAGCTGCAGATTGCCGGTGCCTGGGCCTTGGCGCTGCTGATCAGCTCCTGTGAGATCCTGGTCTGGATCGCCGGTGGGGTGCGAGAGGTGGAGGACACCATCGACTTCACCATGGAGTGCCGGTCGCCGGTCCGGACCGACCTCCGGTTCGCCTTCATTACCGGCTTCCTCCTCTTCTTGGTTCCCTTCTTTGTCATGCTGGTGTGCAGTCTGCGGTTCGTGGTGCTTCTACGTCGGCGTCTGCGGAAGCCCAAGGCTAAAATCACATCCAGTCGCCTCCCATCCTCACCATCCGCCGAGGAGAATGGTGTTGGTTCCCGGAAGGCATCCCCAGGGGCGAGTCCGGTCGAGAGTGAGCCAATGACACCGACGAATAATTCCATATCAGCCGATGTGGCTACGACACCGGAGTCGAATGATTCGCACCCAACAAGCACGCAAAGCTCGAACACTGCACACGCAACATCGCCTACAGAGGCCAAGAGGAGATCCTTCTTCCCCCATCGGAAAAACCATCAACCCAAGACAAACTCCAAGAAGATGAAGAACCGGTACATGAAGCCGGCCATCCGACTGGCCATCCTCATGAGCGTCTTTACCTTTTGTTCCCTCCCGTACCCGTTCTTCGTCTTGATAGCAGATACTAAATGCGAGGACTGTGAGCCGCTCTTGGTAGCCAGGAACCACTTGTCGAACCTCCTCCTGGCCAACTCGGCTCTGAATCCGTTCCTGTATGCAATCATGCACAGAAAAATCCGACGATACCATCAGCGGAAATTCAACTCTATATTTTGTCGACATAAAAGAAATGTAAGCATTTAGGGTACTTTCGTTGTTGTTTGTAATTGACTGGACAGTGTAAAGTGGCAATAAATCGAACCTATTGGCATGTGATTGATGCATTCGTAAAAGAGCATACGACAGATTTTCACTTAATTAACAATGTTTCTTCTCAGCTACGTGAGCTAATAACAAGACAACCATTTGATATAAACTTGTCGTTCATTTAAACTTGTATTATTTTTTCCCGTCTGGACAGTAGGAAACGTCAGATATCAGAATAGATCATAAGACAAACTATTTCTTGAGGTTTTACACATATATTCAAGGTAGACAGACGTCAAATTCACAGATACAATGAAACAAGTGTTACACAAATCGTATTTTATCAGAAAGAAACAGTAGCCTTAAACTACTGCATACTGTTCAAGCGACAGATTATGCTAATCGCGTCTGCATTATGGCGACACGCCTTGTTGGGGCGACAAATTGGTCTGGCCCTTTTGCTAAAACGACCCTAAGAAGAACTGGATCAGTTCCTCGTGGTCCAAAACATAAGTATACCGAACTTCGTGGAGGCAGGATAAGGTAAACTAGCGTTAGATGACATTTTAGGTTTTTGCACAAGTCTATGGGAAAGTCGCCCTATTATAGCATTCAGTGATTATTATATTGGGATCTGTTTGCCAAAACTTAAATACAGAAGCTTGAGATTGCAGGCACACTATTTAGATACATTTAAAAAAAATATTTCTAAGAAAACTCCAATGGAGAGAAAAAAAACGAAAAATGATCTTGTTCTTTTTACAGCAAGAAATATTAATATTTATCTTGATTGATATAAATGTAATTAACTGCTGGTATCTAGACTTAACCAAGTATCAATGCATAATGAAACAAATACAACAGAGAGTAAGTATTGTGTGGCAATCAATAAGACTAATTAGGTAAACATGAGTGTAATTTGCGCGACACTGCTCCGTGAAAAGATAATAATGATCGCTGTGGGTTGTGCAATTAGAAATTAATTGATAAAGGAAATTAACATTCGGTCTGCTAATTGTTGCCAAGAATCGAGTCAGAGGAACACGTAATTAGTACTTGTATGTACAGATACCCTTCCGTAGACAGTTACAATTGTAATTACAATATCGAACAAATTATTCAGAGATAATTTCCAACTGTAATATTGTCAACTGTCTACCGTTTATGGATCTTCAGTGTTTCATTTGATGCTTAATACTTCACCCAATAGACCTTATTTACTAGGAAGCAATTTTCGATCACGTTCCCTGAATCTATTTTATAAATAGTAAACTGTTGCATGGGATAATGCTAGACTATTTTATGATCGGAGTACGTGCAAAGCCCCACTACATTATTTTATTTAAATGTGGCTTGACACATCAGGGTATGTTTAATCACAAATATTAACTAATTCATCAGAGCAGACTGGTATTTGTAATGAACTTTTATTTTCATTGCTTTCATTTCTACTCACAAGTTCCAAAAAACGAAGAGTTTACCTCGCTTTCAATTTTAGTATGTCCGACGCGTGAATAAAGTCTATTCCGTGTTTTTGAGATTGTGTTATAATTATTTGCACCTCGTGTACAGTTTATAGAGTTCGTTGTACTGAAATTCTCCTTAATTGATTCTCTGTAATGATTTCACTGCAGGCCCTTCATCAATTATTCATTGTCTTAACATGGTTGTCTCTGTGCTCGAACAGTTATCCCAATAATCAGCGTAATATGCAGATTTGTAAACAGATGTAACTTACAAAGAAGCTATGATTTGCCGAATGGCCCTTTTCTCTCTCGTCTTTCACTTGATTCTTAATATATCAGCATTTTCAATGTTCAAATTATGAGATGTTTTGTTTTAAATGCATCTCATGTAAAGTTAAAAGGGTATTGAAGTTCTTTTTAATTCCCTCTAATGATCTCACTCTGGGCCGTACATCTTGATACATAATTATGACATGATTGTCACTGCGCTTGAAAATAAATTTACCCCAAGTATCATCACATTGGACATTTAAAAAAAACCCAGATGTAACTAGCAATGAAATTATAATTTGCTGAATGATCATTGTATCAATCTGGCTGCAGAGACTTAACATAATTTTCTTGATTTTTTAAAATTATGATCGGATTGTTGCTTTGTAATATTGGTGGAAGAATGGCATTTGTGTTGGGAACCATGTGAAAGTTAGACTCTGTCCGACAATTTGTGGTTGGGAAGGAATCGGTTATTAGAGTTTTATCTGGACGATTCAGACAGTGTACCCTTTCTATCTTCCAAAAAGGTGCCATGCAGGTCTTTCACTAAAGTCGATTTATTTGTATTTCCTTGATTGATCCTGCGCTTGAAAATTTTGGCACAATTTTCGAGATGTATGCATTCGGAGGCTGTGAAAGGTTAGGATCCGTTTTTGTCCCTGACAAAAGATGCAGTGAGTCCGTCCTTTTCTAGAAGCGAGCTGGGCCTGCCGTATACTCGGCCAGCCTGCTCGGGTGTTGTCCGTTTCCCCGATACTGGTGATGTGATGCTGAAACGAACCGACAGAAATCAAAGCTAAACCACTAAAGGAAACACCAATACCATTTCTGACAATTTTCTGGTTCATTAATTAAATAACATTAGGTTTACACAATTTCATTTAACTTATACAAAGAATTATTTCTATTGCCGAGAGTTACAAGACATATCTGACAGAAGATAGTCATAGAGTAGATTACATAAAGGACGTGCTTAAATAAGGAGGAAGAATAATTGAATAAAAACAAAGGAAACTGACAAAGTGCAAGAAGGAACTAAACAACAAAATCACCTTTGGTACTGCGGTCACGTAAGGCCGATTTTCAGCACAGTTTGTAGTTTGTACTATACTGCGTCAAAATCAATTGACATCTTTGCGATTTAAAAAAAAAAGTATCAATGTGTACAATACGATTTGGGTAAAATTTTACAAAGATGCTTAGGTGGCTTTAACGCATGTCATGAACCGACGGGCATGCCGATATAATGTGAAATTAGAACTCAATGAAATGCAGACTCACTTGTTGTATTGCGCATGCTTGGGTGGACAGAATTGAAAATAAAGGTAAAGGGAACGAACCTGTGTTAACAGGACCGGAGTGCCCATCTCTCTGTCGTTAGCGATTGGGCCAGACTCATATGCTGCTGTGTGGAGATCGCAAAACCTCCTCCACAGCGAGTGTTACCTTTCCAGCATTGAATAATGCCGTTACCCATTGAACACCTGGGTTCAGAGGAGTAATTGAGTTAAAACGCCTGACTTAAAGGCACAACACGCGTGGCCAAGGCGGGGCTTGAACCCATCACAACCACACGATCATCAATTGTGTGCTTACACTGCTAGACCACACGTGACAGAATTAGGATCGGGGCAAGTCATGTTTGCAAGTTGGATTCCAAGCAAGGATTTTATGAGAGTCCAAATAAAACCTTCAAATGTGACATGGTCAGCTATTGGTTTGTGGCTTCTGATCAGTTCCCTTAATTAAAATGAGTAATTGGGATAGCGTCAACTGGAGGGTGGATAGTTCAGTTAATAACGCGCTTGAGCTAGCAGGTGTTATTCCGATCTAGCAAAATGCTTCGTTCAAGGTGATGGTTTTTCAAAAATGAACACATTATGTTTCCTTGTGGTTTGCATATTCGGCTGCAGCCACCTGTACTGATGCATGTCTGTGCTGTACTATACTTCCAGATGCCAAAGTGCATTGGAAACAGAAACTAGGCTTCCGCATCCGGTCAACTGACCTTTATTTCCGGAAATCTGCTGTGTCAAGTTTGTTTTGGCGGGAAACGGAAATTTCGCGAGGTAACAGGTTGATTTGTGCAGGCTGCATATACTCACTGCAATAGTCAATACTGTCCTTGCTGTGAAGGAATTGAAAAAGGCATTTTGCAGTAACTTGCCCTGTGAAAGAAATGCCAGAGGAAATTGTGAACTAAACACTGTGCTAGCCATTAGGAACGGAAGCCTTTAACGGGCACTCTCCTCTGTGTACGGTCTTTCTTTAAAAACTATTGTATCATCTTAAGCTCATTTGACTTCAAACAATGTTAATAACAGCACATACACGACATCCCACAAAACGGCCCACATAAACAAGTACGGGTTTACAAGTTACATATCATTCAGGCATTAACAAAAGTAGTGCCTTAATTAAACAATTAAAGGGACACTGGGTCCTGGAACAGCCCTTGGGCTACAAAACGCGATTTGAACAAAAAGATGCTTATCGGTAAGAACATTAAAAAGTAGGATATAAACATCCACATAACTATCCTTTAAAAACTGGGCTTTTTGTGTTATTCCTGTATTATGCGTGCGAGATCGAATTTCAGGGTCTACTTTTGCGACTCCAAAAAGTCGAGCTGTTTGGGTGCTAGTTGTGATTTCATTCATAAAGTGTTCGCCTTTTGCGGACGTCGAAGAAAATATATTTTGTGCATTGGTGATTGGTCACTGCTGTTCCCGAGACAAACGTGTATATCTTAAAAAACAGGCAGAGGCAACGACAGGAAAAATGTATTCGCGCTCCGTCGTGTCCGATGTAAACAGCCGGTTTTTTCGTCTTTTCTCGGGAACGGTAGGACATTAGGTTGGTTTCCTTTCAACCAGATGTTTGAAATAGGATAAGTAAACAATCCAAAAACATGAATTTTTCGAGGATTTCAGGACCTAGTGCCCATTTTAAGCAACTATGTAGTTTGCTACGGCATAAAATAATATCCATTCACGCGCGGCCGAAGTTTATCAATGCAGCTATTAATAATGCAGTTATTTCAACACAACCAAGTGGGTTTGTGAAAAAATCTTTAATTGAGAGTGTATTCTCACCGCTCTCAGTCACCTGAGAATCCAAATGACAAAAAATGCGTACTTAATTGGGCAACTGAAAAAAGTAATCTGGCCATTAGAATTTCGGATGATCTTTGACATCGTAGAAACGTAATAATTATTATTTATACATGCAGTTTGTAAAGTTATTATATTTTAACAAAAACCTAAACAAAACCTCGCTTAGCACCACCACTGCAAACCAAACCCCACCTTAGCTGACTTACCTTGTCCCTCCAATCATAAGCCCATTCCCTATAGCTGACTTTCCAAGCCCCTCCCTGAGCTCGATTACTAAGCCCCTCCCTGAGCTCGATTACTAAGCTCCTCCCTTAGCTTGATTACTGAGCCCCTCCCTTACTGACCTGCTGAGCCCTTTCCCTTTCTAACTTATCAGGCCCTCTCTCTCAGCTGACGGACTAGGCCCCTACCCTAGCTGACTTACCACGCTCTTTCCATTTCTGACTCCTCCCTGAACTCGATTACCAACCCCCTCCCAGAGCTTGATTCCTGAGCCCCTCCCTTACTGACCTGCCGAACCTCTCTTCCTTTCTAACTTATCGGGCCCTCTCTCTCAGCTGACGGACTAGGCCCCTACCCTAGCTGACTTGCCACGCCCTTTCAATTTCTGAATCACCAACTTCCTCTTCTAACTAACTTATCAAGCCCCTCCCATGACGGATTCAACAAGCCTCTCCCGTAAAATGATCCAGCAAGCCCCGCCCCTAGCTGATTTACCAAGCCCCTCCTCTAGCTGAGATATACCACACCCTTAAGTTGATATATTTCCTAAGCTTCCTATACTTTATCCAATCTGTTTTGATCTTGCGGATTTTGATTTGTTTTGTTATTTATAAAGAATTGAAAACACGATTTTTAAATCGTGACGAACAAATTTGATATTATATATTGGTCCTATCCTGTTTTGAGCGAAATTCACCAGACTTGGTAATTGTTCTTATGATAATGGCAGAAAACCCCATAATTAATCAAATTCCGGTGACCAAGACAGCCAGATAGTTCCTTGGCAAACAACGCCCGGTCAGGAACCATGGGTCACAGCTGATATCCTAGATCTGTGTGATAAAGAAAGAGCTAAAGAAAAAGAAAAACGAAGTAGAAGGGGCACAGCAGTACAAAGCCATTAATCGGGAAGTCAAAAAGGGCATGAAGAAAGCAAAAGAGAATTGGATAGAAGAACAGTGGAAGGATATTGAGAAAAACCTACA